CTCTTCTGCTCCTTTCTGGTATTTGTGGAATCTGCTCTGGAACAAATAGGCCACTTCCTGACCCCGTCTATCTGACATTTTCTTGTGAGGAAGTGTAATGAGGTTCTAAGGATGCAGGAAATGGAGGAGGGGATCCAGCTTAATGTGTGGGAATGTGGTTTACAAAGAGGATCATTTCTCAATCTTCCACTTTGTTTTTGAAGCAGTTATAATGTCTTTAATTTTGGCTTTTATAACTTTTTTATTATGTGGACTTTGATTTTTTTGATTAAAGCTGATTAGGGCGCATCCTAGCCTTTGTATTACAACAACAGATCACTAAATCTCACAAAGGATTTAAAGATTTATGAGTGTGACAGTTTGGATAATTTTAGGGTGAGGTTCTGTAGAGTTATAATTAAATGTTGTTGAAATTGTTGTTTAATCAAAAAACTTGTTTACTGTGGTGTGGTGTTCTGTAACCTGTCCAACTGGCTGCCTTTTAGGACAGACTTTTAGAATGGAAAGTGTGGTTCAAACTCAAATCGTGGTCAATCTGTTAACTCTGCACACATATGGAATAAATTCACGATGACATCCATTTGAAATTTAACAATTTATTAATGGTAATTTAACTCCAGGTCAAACATATTTTAGTTAAAATTCTTGACTTAAACTAGCGAAACTCACATAAAATAATTAGTTACTATTAACACATGCTGGTAGCGACAGTAGGGAGGAAAAACTTCTTTTTAACAGGAAGAAACCTCCAGCAAACCTGACTCAGTGGGGAGTGGCGGCCTAGTGGTTGGGGATAGAGCTGGAAATCCTGAGGTTCTGAGTAGAGACTGACATTTTTTCGGGAATACCACGGGTCACGGGATTCCCGTGGGATGGGAGTCAGTATTAGTAACGATCACGTGATTGGGATGAAACAGGATTAAACATTAACGGGAGCAGACGGGAGCGGGAGCAAACCAATAGTAACTAAAAAAAAACTAGGATCGATGAAAAAATAAAATAAAACAGAGAGAAAAAAAATCCAGTACTGGCGCCGCCATTTTGTAGTTTTTTTCCTTGAAGCCTACACTATAATGCGAGTCAAAAAAACGACACGACCCAAAAACCAACAGTGCTTCCGCTCTGAGTTTTTCACCCGCGCTCAAAAACAACAATGGAGGGACCAACAGTTACTACAGTTAGAAACAGGAACTTAACTGACCCTTCATAGAAATTCAGATTCAATGTATTGGCAGAAATCTTATTGAAGACAACAAGAATGGGAGTGGTGCAGGAGCGGGAGTCAGTCTGAATGGGAGCGGGATGGGAGTGGGAGTAATTTCACCAGGAGTGGGACGGGACAGGAGTGAAAATCCACTCCCGTGTCAGTCTCTAGTTCTGAGTTCAAGCCCCACTCCCACAAACTGCCACTCTGGGTCCCTGAGAAAAGACCTTAACCCCACACTGCTCCCTGGGCGCCGCACAATGGCAGCCAGCTGCTCCTCAGAGGGACGGGTTAAATGCAGAGAATTAATTTCGTTGTGCCATAAAACAGCAGCATCTCCAACTTTAGCTGAAGATGATGGAGAACCAGCAGGATTTCAGCCTCAGATGGAGGATGAAACATTAAAAGTGCTACAGGACAGCTGTGGGTCAGAATGCTGAGCAGAAACTTCTCAGGCTCTGCCCAGACCTCTCTGGTTTAGCTGATCCCTCTGCTTTGCTCTGGCTACTTTCTTGGATTCTATCTGTGCGCTGAACCTTGATCTTTAACTTCCTAACCGCTCTTAAGTTTTTCTCTTCTTTTCTCATTATTACTTCAGTGGAATTGGAGTAAAGTTGGTGTAAAGTGGAAAAATAGGCAAAAATGCAGAATATTTTCCCCTTTAAGAATCCTTTTCATTGTAGGATTACACATTTCCATTAGCTTGGCCATGTAACCTTTTTCCAGACCAAAGTACAGTAGAAATACTCTGGAGTCGTAACTGATGTGTTTGCCAGTTGTTAAGCACCTCCTCTTATTCAGGTTCCTTCGATTGACTGCACCCTGCAGGAGGAATTAGGACTGTCTCTGGAACTGAGCTTTACATTAGCTGATCATTATAAGTGGGACAAAGCTTAAACTCTTACATTATAAGGACATTTGACATCTGTAGCTTATAATTAACAGTACAAGCTTGTAATCCCCGTTCCCACTTAATTCATACCACCTTCACAGCCTCAAATCCTCCTCTTAATCCTGAGCTATTTAAATACAAGCTGCACTTTCCTGCTTTCTGATGGCTGCTTGTGCTTTAACTGGATGTTTGGATGGCTGGATGACCCCTCCCCCCCCAAATGGAAAATTGTTCAGTCAATAAGTTGTTTTACACCATAGGTCCTTTTCATCAATGTCCTTGTTAATGTTCTGCTGGACATCAACAAGGTGTCTTCAGTCAGAGGCTTCTTCAGGACTGTTATTAGACAGGCTGCTAAAGAGAGATGCTGGTAGAAGAAAAAGACCGAGTTAAAAAAAAAAATTTTACCTTTGGAAATAAAATAATTTTGAGTTGAAGTTTTAAGATAAACACAGAAGGAAGTTATCATCAACATAAATTAACTAAGAGAGGCTCAAATGACCATTTACTTGCTATCAATGTTTTCACTGATGGTGATCTAAGCACCAAGGGTCATAACTGAACTCTTTCCATCTGGAAGTAGGAAATAACGTAAAGCTGGACATACACTGTTAGATTTATTCCCCTTTGTGGGACGATTTTCCAAACGTGTGAGAATTTTTTCGATAGGGCCAACTTTCAGCCCCATCGTGCGTTGTGTAGCGTACAGGGGGTAATGAGGGGAATCAGGAATCGTAAGGTCGGGAGAAATTCAGACATGTTTGAAATTCAGTCGGATGTCGTAATGTGGTCGTGGACAAATCCTGCTGCTCAAGCAGCACTACAATTTACCAGAACCTCGAGCACTGCACGTGCAAACGAGGGAGTTCTTCTTCTTCCAGATTGATGAGTCCCACTAGCGCCATCTCTCGGAGCTGAGTCAGACATGGTTTTTAGACATAAAGTGTGTGCAGTTAGATCGCATCAGAGCGTCGGGTCGCACAGTGTGAGAAAATACATCGTGAGTTGTAAACTTTTAAACCCTGCAGTTTTTTCATACAGTTTGAGTTGTAGCTGGGTGCCATGATAGAAAAAACAAACAGTTTATGCCCGGATTAAGCCTCAGAAACTAAACTAATGGTGCGATGGTGAGAGAGATTTCATAGCCGTCTGTGCTACATGAAGCCATGTGTTCTGCAGGAACTTGCTTGATTAAAAATTTTTACATGGATCTTCTTTGTGCATTTTGTTTTAATCAAATAAAAAAAGATTAAATGGACAGAAATAATGAACAACAGTGCAAACAATTATGAAAGATTCATGACAAAGAAAAAGGGGAAAAAAGGGAATGGAGGTTGGGATTTCAAACTAGGCTTACAGCTTCAGAACCGGCCTGTTCAATAATTTAATCATCTAAAACGACTTTTTGATTTCTACTGCTTCATTTATCGATAAGTCACATTCTAACAGAGGAAAAGGTTAATTTTTTCTCTTCCTCCTGCCTCACAGTAAAGGAAAAAACCCAGAAAACTTCCTTCTGTCGAGCTGAAAAACCCAGCATTAAATATAGGGAGCATTGAGTGAATTAAACCATTAATTTAACAGGTCAAAGCTGCATTAACTTTTCTTTTTATGTAAGCAAACCAACTTTAGCGGTTGGCTTTAGGGTTAGAGGCTGACATTCTTCCATTGTTAAGAGGTTCGATTGTTCTATTTTCTGAACTATGACCAATGAAATACACTGGAAAAAATCTTAATCTAGATAAGTCATTTTTTCCTAAAACAAGTGTGATTTCTGTTGAATTGAGGAGGGAAGTAAATCTATTTGCCATTGGAACAAGACAATTTACATTTAAAACAAGAAAAACCCAGTTTCATTGTCTTATTTCAAGTGTATACTATCTAATTTCCTTATTCTGAGAGTAAAAATCCTCATCCCATTGGCAAATCATCTTATTTTTCTGCTCAAATTAAGGGTAAATGCCCTTTATTTAAAACGTTTTGACTTATTTCTAGATCGTTTTTGCAGTGTACATTTCTTATTTAAGTCAAAAATCACAGGGGATGAGCTAGAGAGCATTTACCTCTCAGAGGGAATGCAAAGGTCAGCGGCCTGTTACCGTCCCTGAAACAAAAAGGGTCGGGGATAAAAATATAGATAAAAAATTGACACTCTAAGAGAAAATACACATAAACAAAAAGATTTGTAGTTTATTTATTACATTTTCTAAGTTACTAGTTTCATTGGAGAAAAAAAAATCAGGTTAGGCATAGAAATCAAAGTTTGGTGAACTTTAAAGCAAAGCATAAATGATTCATTCAAAGGAATAAAGTTAAAATTGTGTGGAAGTTTGTTTCTTTAATATTTTGAGTTGTGCCAAATATTTTTCTTCCATTGCTTTCACTAACTCCACCCCTTATTTACACCGTTTCCTGTTACAGTCCTGAAAGTCTGAAGCTTTTGTGCTCAGCTGCCTGAATTATTAATCATTTTTCTTGCTGTGACTCCTTGCTGTCATAATATTAACTGTAAGACGGGTTAAAGCTTTAGGTGTTTCTTTGGTGTTTAAAGCCAAACCAACCCTCTTGACCGTTTCCCTGCTGCCATCTTGTGGTAGAGGTGCTGATAAATGGATAATAATGTCTCATCACGTTGGTTTCTCCTGGAATGTTGTAAACACAGAGGTTAGACACCCCCTATGCACATCAGCATCACAGTTCAAAGTTCTCCTTTAGTAACATTTCCGTGGTGATGATTTCCCCTTTGCAGACTGTCCATTGCATTTCTGATGCACCCCCTCACTGGAGGGACATGTTTGATTGCTGTTGGACTGTAGTGGGCCGGTCTTTGGAAGGCGGTGGGGCGTCTATATTTATCCTACTCAACCACTTGTATCTCAACAGCTGTCCCCACAGCTCTTGTCTGACCACTGACTGAAATAGCTGAGCTATCAGAAGCCCTCCCCCCTGGTTCGCTCTCTGCCTCTTGGTTCTACTTTGTTTCTTTCCAGTTAAGTCAGTTTTCATTCCCTGTATAAACTGACTACTGAGAACTACTTTTGTTTCACCTACAGGTAGAACATCTAATTTTTTTATTACTAATGATGCATGACAGTAAGAGGAAGGTTGTTTTTTGTGGTTTCTTTGTTTTTGTTAAATTGGGTCCGGCGATGAACTTGGTTAAGAGATTTTCATCTGAAAATCCTCGTTCTTCTATGGTGTAGGATGGTTTCTGTGGGTCTATTCGTCTTCTGGAAGGCTTGTACTTTAGCCTTAGCCCCCTTCATGCGTCCAGATGTCCTCTGTCAGGTTTGGCAGTGATCCTCTTTAGGATTAGAGGTAGAACCGGACATCAACCGGCTGATATATTTGGCCGAAGTTAGTGTTTATTTTCTACATTTTTTGTTGTGTTGGTATCGGCCGATTTGTGCATGTGATGGCCCGTCATACCCGGCACACCCTCCATTTGCTGCCCATGGTTAATATAGGCCCAGATATATCAGATGCAATCAACATAAATTATTTAGACATCAAAACAATCTGTTTCGATGGATCTCTGAACAGCACCCTGTGCAAAAATGCATGTTGCGCACACACATAAAGCCTGTTGCAAATGCATAAAGCATGTTTCACACAAACAAATCTTATCACACTCAAATAAATCTTATTGTTCACAAATAAAACTCACAAACTCTCCTCTAATGGCACTCACAAATAAAACTTTTTTTACAAACTGGCCTTAAATGTAGCACACGTACAAAAATTAGTTTTACAAACCAGACTCTAACATGGCACTGAAAATATAATTTGTAAATTGTCCCCGAGGACAAAACGAACTCTGCTCGGATACAAAACAGCCTCTCCTCGCGTACGAGACAATTCTTCACACTCCGCGGTAAGTTTCTGCCAAAAGTCACGTGATACATGGAGAATTGTCATGCTGACTAACTACACAACTGAATTCGAGCTGCGTTTCCCCTGCATCTCCGCACAGCGCAGGCGGCACAATTAACCGTGCATGCGTCAGGAAACGTAACAGCCACCCTGTGCTCGCGCCACAGGGGAACTACGGAGAGCGTGAAGGATCAAATGTTAGCCTATATGGAGAAAGGGAGAAATCGAGATGGATGGATGGATAAATGGATGTTTCAGTATCTATAACAACCCAAACAGACAGGATTTCAGATTTAGACATCCCCAGTTGTTAATTTCATACACTCACCAGATCTGAACGCCCTTTTAAAAAACTTTGGACCCATGAGTAGAGGTAATGCAGCCTGATGATATTTACACCGCATCAGATACCGTTCCCCCCATGTTAAACAGGGAAAACGCTATCTGACGGGGTTTATAGGCCCATCGGATAGCGTTCCACCCATGTTAGACAGGGGCAACGGTATCTGACGGGCCCCGTCAGATACCATTATCTGACCGTTCACCCTGAAATTAATAACTGGGGATGTCTAATTCTTAAATCCTGTGTTTGGGTTGTTATAGATACTGCAACATCCATCCATCCACCCACCCAACCACCCTCTCCGTAGTTCCCCTGTGGCGCGAGCTCAGGGCAGCTGTTACGCACGTTTAGCGAGCATGCGCGTTTCCTGTCGCTTGCGCTGTGAATCGTGCCGCCTGCGCTGTGCAGAGATGCAGGGGAAACGCAGCTCGATTTCAGTTGTGTATGGCGCCTCCTGCTGTCGGTTAGTCAGCATGACAATTCTCCATGTATCATGTGACTTTTGGCAGTGTGAAGAACTGTCTCGTACGCGAGGAGAGGCTGTTTCGTATGTGAGCGCAGATCGTTTTGTACTCGGGGACAATTTAAAAATTATATTTTCAGTGCAATTTTAGAGTGGTTTGTAAAACTAATTTTTGTATGTGTGCTACATTTAAGGACAGTCTGAAAAAAAAAGTTAAATTTGTGTGTGACATTAGTGGAGAGTTTGTAACATAAGTTTTATTTTTGAGTGATAAGATTTTTTTGTGTGAAACATGCATTTGCCACATGCTTTATGTGTGTGCGCAACATGCATTTCTGTACACAACATTCTGGCAGAAAAATCACTCCATACTTGAAAGCTTAGCTAAAGTAACTAAGTCCTAAACAAAGCTCTATGTAAGCAAGTTGATTTTATGCAGCAGTCGACTTAGCTTAATGTTTAGGCTAAAGTCTTTGTTTTTTCAGAAAGGTTTTTGATATAAATTAACTGATGGATGTAAATTAACACAAGCTGTTACCATTAACAGCAACTGGAACCCAGTAGAAACGTGATATTCTGTGTTGACTGTATAGAGTATGAACATAATTCTGGAATCAGACTGTCTATGGTATGTTGAAGAAATGGAAGACTCTTAATTAGTCATACTAGTAGCACCAGCGAAAGGGAATTAAAAAAGGGGCAAAGGTAAGAAGGATCCTAAATGTTGTCTGTAGGGCTTCAAACCAAGCAGCAGTATCTCATTTGAATAGTTTTGCCGTGCAGTCATGGTAGCAGCCCTGTGTTTTCTGAGATCACTCCACATGGAGACTATTTTGAGCCTTTATCAGGACTGCCTAGGTGGTCTCGGTAGTAGCCTAACAGTCAGGTCAGATACAGTAGATTTAGTTCTACTTCAGGTGGCTGTTGGGTCCTAAGCAGGTGTTTAAAAGATAAGGAAGTACAAACTCTGCTATTCAGTAACTGGTAGAACCACTGTTGGAACAACAGATGACCCAGACTCGTCACACGGATGCTGTGTGATGTTATTATCGTTATATAAACACTTATCATTTATTGAACGGTATGTAATAATTTCATACTTAAAGTACTTTCGGAAGTTTAACTTCTGAATACGACCCACTAATTACCATTTCCAGGTCATGTAGCTTCCAAACACCTATTCATCAGTCCACCGCCCCAGTGTTGCACAGTTGGTATGTAGTGTCTACTGTTGTCCGAAGTGTTAAATGCAGCTTTGCAATGCTCAGTCACACCTTCTGTTCTTTTCTGACAGAAGCGAATGTGTGATGCAACCCTCCCAAAACAAGCCCTACTTGCTCAGAATATTTCTGACTAAAACACTGCCGTTTTGTATAAGTTATGAGCACGCTGAAACACGCTGGAACAAGTCGACATACGTAGAGAAATATAGAACACACCCAAAAATTTCCCAGCATTTGCTCATACGTGAGCCATAAGTTACAGATAAGTTATCTGATGGTTGACGTACCTTAAGTGTAAGTTACTTATAAGTCGTGCTGTCTAGCTTATCCAAAACCTATAACTTGTGCATAACTTATGCGTCACTTCAAGAACTTCTGTCCAACGCATATCAATGTATTTGAACTGTTCCAGATGGCCGCTGAACGTGTTTCTAACTTCCAGCTACTGTATGATGATCCATTGGCAGGGTTTGGGTATAAAGGGGGTTCAAACCGTCAGCTTTCCTTCAGACTTCATCCCCATCATAGGATGAGCTGGAAAGTGAGCGTGATGCTGTGATCCTCCCTGCTTCCTAGCAGACATGACGCCGAATCTGCTGCAACTGCAAACCTTCTTTCTTCCTTTTTATTTATTTTTTTGTGTTTTTGGGCAGGAGGTTAACAGCAGTAAAGACATCTTTTTGCTGGGCGCCTCCGTACGCCTGAGCAGCTTTAACTGGTGCTTCGTAATGCCCATGAAATAATGTAGTGAGGCAGTCGTTGGACATAAGGTCTGGATTCGTAATGAATACGCTATTTAAACGCACAGAATTGAAAAAAAATACAGAGAAAGTTCAGCGTATGGCAGTGTTTCAGAAGATTCTGGGACGTCGGGCATATGCTGGATATATCGTAAAAGTGTAACAGGGCCCTAATCAAAGATTTATATATATATTTTTTAATTTGTTTAATCTGTCCTGAGATAAAGTTGAATTCTCATGGTGTTTCTCTGTACATTATTTCTATTCAACCTGTTTTAGCTCTACGTTCTTCTTCTGTTCCATCCTGTCAGTTCTACCTCATGACAGCAGAGCAACATGGCTTTTTCATCTCGCTTTTCCTTCTGGGAACAAAAGGGAAGTCTTACTCGGATATGTGATTGACACAATCTTTAAATGCATGACCTAACAGGAATTTAAGCAAACAATTAACATCTCTGCTTGTAAAGTCTTTCGTTTTGAAGAAGTTTTCGCTTTTCTAATGTTATCATTTGCTGTGGACTTAACTGCTTTTAATCATAACGCCAACATGTTTGGATTGCATCACTTTGTTAAAGAAAGGACACCAGGTAAAGATGAAGCAATAATTTGCAGTGGTGGCATCTTTGCATGTTGAGTTTGGCTCCGTTTGTCAGCATTAGCTTCATGTAAGGAGAAGGTTTTGATTTGGTCTCCTTCTTCACATCAACACTTTTTAGATCAAAGAAGAGAACAAGGTGGGGAGCAAAAGTGTAAGTAAATACTAAAGTCCATTTTAAAACTTTCACCTGAAAAATACCATGATTTGTTAAAGTAACTGTTAAATTTGTCTCAATACATTTTTTTTTTTATGTTTTACATACTCGGATCAATAAGTTAACTACATTAAAAAAGCTTTACTTATGATCATTAGTGTCATTAGGGTCTTAAAAGCATTTGGTTGGGTCAATGACTTCTCACATTACCAAACCAAATGTTCAGACTCAATAAATCCCTTATTTTGTTTCTGAAGTGATGATAATAATAAAACGATACACAGCTAAACCCAAAATGATTTAAACCTCTGACTGAGACCAGCTCTGTGGGCTTATGCAGGCTCAGCTTGAAGAATGGTAAATAGCCTCTAATTGCATCGTACTTTATAAAATCTAAGGAACCCAAAGTGCTCAAAGTACAATCACTCAATTTATATACATTTGCACCCTGGTGGTGGTAGTCTTTAGCCACAGCTCCCTGATAGTGCCTTAACACACCAGACGCATTTTGGGTATCAAAGCATCTGATTTACTTGCAAAGTCTTACTTGTCAGAGTGTTATGGCATCCGAGCCTTCGACTCTGGAGTTCAGAAATTTTAACTTTTGCGACTGGACGCCGGAATGTCAACCAATCAGAAAAGCGGATCCAGTTCTTTTGGGGTCACAGACTGTGGTGGGAAAAAAAGTATTCAACTATTCACCCTAGTTAAATAAACGGCGATCAATGGATTTCACTCAGTCGGCACATTTATTCATATCTTTGCAAAGAAAGAACAGTCATCATACAGCCCTAAAGGCACAGCATTCTGCCCTGTTCTGCTAGAGCAGCGTTCGTTTCTCCTTACTTAGAACAATGCAAAAGTAGTCAGAGTCAAAACAAATTACTGACACTTTGGTTAAACAGTAACATGTTATGAATAAACCTTGAGAAAGAATCTGGTTTGTTGTGGGAAGAAGCTATGTCTGGTCTACAAACACCATCCTGCAGAGAATTGTGTGGCCTTGAGAGACGAACAGGCTGAGTGAAAACTTTTATAGTGAATAAATAGGATAAATTAATATGTAATAGAAGAGAAATAAAGAATTTCCGACAACACAGACAAGTTGTTATTGCTTCTGCAGAGCTGTCTGCATATGGAAAATAAATAAATATAAAGGGATTAAACTCTAAAGGTTTAAAAAAAAGTCGGGAGGGTGGATTATTATGTACAAGGAAAAGAGAGCTGTCATAGAGGTAATGCTTTCAGATGGTGAACACAAAGAGGAAACATGTTTAAGCATTAACAGAATTTATTCCTGACATGTTTAACAAAATCATTGATACAAGCACAAATTGCAGAGGAAGATCTCACCCTCTGTTAGGCGCTTATGTTCCAACCATTTCAGGGGGGAACCCACTGAAAGGCAGACAGCATCTGCTCACTTTCCCATTTTGTCTAAAAGTCCACCTAGAATTGTTTCTCCCAAACCCCCCAGCCCTTCTCACAGAACCCTGCATTAACATATAAGGAAGGGGTGTAAATCACACCCAACATGGCGATTTGATTCAGTATCGATTTCCTGATCCAACGATTTTGTCATGATGGGTTCTCTAATGGAGACCCAAAGATGCAGAACACCACTGACGGACACAGGATGAAAAGTTTAACAAGTTTATTTGCACAATCACACTGAATATGCGGATGGCTGGTTCGGGCCTGGATTCTGGTTTCACCGGAGTCTGCGTGAGAGACAGCAAAGTTAAGGACTGTTGACGGGGTTTGGTTTCCAAAGAAGCACAGATAGTACCTTGAGGGTTCTTGAGGTTCTCTTTGGGAGAGTCACTGTTGGTTCTGGAGAAGGATTTAGTAGCAGAGTCCGTTAGCTGCTTCAGCGTCTCACGTCTAGTTTGAGCAGACCTTGGCATTGGTTTCCCAGCTCTAGCCCAGAGCTGCTTGGAGGTTGTCTGAGAATCTTCAGGGTTTGGCTCTGAGGGTCGGCTCGGCAGGTTAGCTCTTCCAGAGCTTTCACGGAGGAAGCACGAGTTTCCTAGAGGCACAGAAACAGAGGTTAGAATCCAACTAGGGATTAGAGTCATGGAGATAATCACTGAGATCAAGGCTTTAGCGCTGACCAACTGGAACAACACTGCGGCGTTGAGGCAAGGTCTGAAGACAGCTTAAGTAGTGGATCCTCTGATGATCTTGATGAGCTGCACCTGTGCAGGAGGCTCCCTCAGAGGATCCACGGCGGACTCTGCTGGAGAAAGATGGGATTTTCTCCAGCTCCCAACAGATTTGTTTATTTTCGATACTCAAGAATACACCATGATACGCTTTGATTCGGTTAATTGGTTCTTTTTTTTTTTTTTTTTTTTTTTACACCTTACAGGCTAGACAATGTTTCAGATTTGAAATAAATCAATGAAAGTTGTAATATCGTTATGCATTTTATTTGAGAAACAACAGCAAATAACAGAAGTAGAAAAGTTGTACTCCACCTATTCCTATTAAAACCTCATTCACTGAAAAATAATAATACCCCTGCGTTTTAGATTCTGAAAGGCCTTGCATCAAAAAATCCTGCACAAAATCAGTGCAATGAGTGCAATGCAATACCTCGGCTTCAGACGTCCACGCCCCCTCCACAGACGCTCCGCTGCACCTCTCCCAAATTGTAGCTGAACGCAGAGAGGAGGCCGGCTTGTTTTGTTTTTATGACCAAAATTGCGGAAAACATCTCGTGAAGTTTGACCCGCTAGAAGAGCGAGCTGCGTGAAAATGCTGGGACCCTTTTTCCACCTGGATCTCCGCTCTTTTTGGCCCTCATGTCCCTCCGTCGTCGGACTAAACTCGCCCCCATTTCCTCACCGCCTCGGCCGTATCTAGACCCACAGCGTGTAGCTCAGACCACGCTTCAATATTGAGCATAAATCAGAAATGTCTGTCAAGCTCACTGCAGCACGCTGCTGTAACAGTATAACCAGGAAGCGAGGTAGGAGGGCAAAATAGGTTTAGCGCCACCGCAGCACGGGATGGAGAACTACGCCCAGGAGCAAATGGATAAAAATAGACTGGATAAAAAAAAAACAAAACATGAATCGATTCTCTTGCGGACGTAACGATGCATCGGATCGTCCGCTGTTGGATCGATGCATCAATACAAAACGATTATTATTTACACCCCTAATATAAGGTGATGTTAGATCCACTCTGGCCACCATATTTCAGTATAAGAATGTCATTTTTTGGCTGACCCACACAGAAGAGTGAAAAGATGTAACAGTTATTTTAAAATGGAAAATAAAATATAAAGAAATGAATCTTTAACCAAGCTGGCTCTGTTCATTATTACTGCTTTGAAACATTTTTTATAAACAATGTCGAAACAGTTTATAAATAACCAAATTAACTAAAAATGTTAAAACCTGCCGATGGAAAAATATTCGATTGTGATATTCTGGTACCTTAAAAGCTCTTTATGTTCACTTCCAGCCGCTACAAAAGGCTGCCAACAGAGAGTTTTCAGTGGGGATTTCCAGTGCTGCCGAAGATCTGGCGCTCTGAACAAGAACTGCATATTTTAGTGGGAAAATCCTGATGAGCTAACTGCACAGACGATGTTTTGAGGTGGACTTTCTCACTTAAAAACATGTTAAACTTTTTTCTAACTCATAAAGTAAATAAAGCCAAGGTGCTCTCTTGGTTGTAGCTACAGAACAGAGCTTCCAGAGAGTCAAAGCATTAAAGCAACTTGATCGGCATTTGACCCAGTTTCCAAATTTTGGCGTTTGGGCGAGTTTGACGCCCAGATCTTATTGGGTGTGAACGCACCATGATCGATTGCCATACAATAGAATTCCTGGGACTTCTGAATACCAACAGGAACAGCAAATGTAGTGTCTGACTCAACGACACAATGACTGAGGAAGGCAGAGCCAAAGCCCAAACTGGCAACCCACCAGTTACAGGATGCCTCCTTTATGTGAGCCCACCACCCAGTTGTTGGGAATTTTCAGCAGCATAACCTGTTTTTCAGGACATTTAATATCTTCCCACCTGTAGGCGAGGAATCAGAGCTGTGTTTCAGTCAATATCCTGAAAAGGACCTTGTCACAGTCTGATGTGGTTAGGATTGGGGAAAACCCTTTTGCGAGGAGTTAAGCTTGGTTTATGCTTGATGTGTACGCGAGGTCTGCAGAGCCCAAGGTCTGTGGCTTCTCTGTATAGAATGGAGTTGGTTGAGGTGGTCTAATCATCTGACTAGGATGCCTTCGGGTCTTTACCTGATTTTCTGGGAAGGAACTGGTAAGGCATTCAACTTAATGCATGAAGTATCTATTCCTTCTGGCCTAGGAAGACCCTCAGGTCACATGAGGAGCTGGCAAGTGTCCAGTTACCCCAATAACCAGATTGCTCATAAGATAAAGACAAGGGGTGGCTAGAATTTAGAGCTAAATCAGCCAGGGGTCTGCATCATTTCGGGTTTAACTTCTATAATAAGCATACATTAACTATGAAAACGATATACTTCACATTCCTATTTCAGTCATAAAGTAGCTGGAAATGTGTTTTACTCTGAATGTGTGATTATTTCCACATTTTTGAGTTCTACCATCAGGAAACAAGGAACCTTGGTTTTCAATTTCCAAAATTCATAATTTTTCCTCCTATGTTCCCTCTCTATAACTAGTTGGAAAAAGATGGACTAGCAAGCCGAGCCCAGTCAGTTCCGGGTTTAGATCCTGGCAGAGGGTTATTTAGGGCAAAAAGTCCTTCACAACTTTCTCTGTCTGGATCAACTGGTCCTGCCAGAGGATCCTTCAAAAGCTCTGAACTACCACTGAAGATGACAGCAGATTTAAAAGAAAGAGACTCTTCAGAAGTTCATGGGAAAGAAGCAGTTGGCTGTGAACATGGAATTAATGGAGATCTCAACAGTCTGACCAATGGTACAGCAGATCCTTTAGACTCCAAACCAAGCCAGAGGGATGTTATAGATGACAAGAAGATAACACGTAAAACAGAAGTGGGTAACCTTGTTAAAGACAAGGTCACACCAACAGAGGATGGTAAGGCCATGGTGCCAACCCAGAATTTAGCCCAACTTCCAGAGGGAGCCAAGATTACTTCTGATCCCCCACGACCAGTTCCAAGACCAAGAGCAGCCCCATTTCCAAAAGCTAAAACTGGGTCAGCATTCTGTTTTAAACATGACATTATCAAAACGGAAAACAAGGAGGACCTTTCACGAGGTCAGGCACTTTTTATGGCTGGAGACAAAAGGAAAGAGCTGCAGCTACAAATAAACAAAGACCACAAGCTACAAATAGTGGAGATGGAGAAACCACATGAAGAGAAGAAGAGCAGTAAGCTAAATGAAACAAAACGGCAGCGAACAGAAGTTACCTCCCCTCAGGTGGTGCAGAATACAGATGATCTCACCAGTCTAAAGGAAGCTTCATCAGCTCCTGATGGCTCAGCTCAGACTTCGTCCAAAATCACTTCTACAAGACTCTGTTCTCCCCCCCATGCCGTGGGCTCTGTCCCACCTCCAAAGTTACCTCCTTCACATCCGAGCGTCCCATCCACCACCGCTTCTGCCACTCCTTGTAGTCCACCAGCCTGTAAATCCTCACCCTCGCCTCCAATAGAGTCTTGCCTCAGTGCAAATACCTCTGTAGTTGTAAATGGAAGGAAGGTTCCTGATCCCAGCCCTGGTCCACCTGTCCCATCAGGAAACATCTCCATTCAAAAAGCTGCTCTCAGTCAGGAGGAGGTACAGCGTTCCCTGCTTTATGTGTGACCCTGGTTTTATAAATGCATGATTGTTTAAATGTGGGCTGCAGTAAGTAAAAGTAGTGACTGCTTATGTATTAAATGTCTGAATGATTAACATGCTAAGAAAACATTTGGACGCTGTAACATTTAGTAAGGCATGTAAGAGCTTGATTCTGTTAGTATCTGTTAGTATTGAAGTGTTGACATCATCCACGTCGCTGGATTTGATTGGTCCGAATCATTTCTGTAATCTATCTGTTGGATTCTGGCGAGATGGATTTTTGGGAGTTTGCAAATACAAAAACCTCGCGTCGATTCACCTTGTGGTTACACTTTATAACAAGTATCAAAATCATCATTTACATATCTTAAAAAGAGCCAGATAAATAACATAGTTTATTTATGTTTATAATTAATTTATAAGCATCTAAACCATTTATAAAAGGTATATAGAAGGATCAATTGAGATCCTTGGGCCCATAAAATCTTTACATGTATCATTAATACAACTATTCTTTATTTTTACACATGAATTATGTTTTTGATCAAAATCCCTTCCCTTAAATGCCATCAGAACGCTTATAATATTAAGTGTGCAACATCTAAAAGCAGCGAACTCTGCTCTCCAGAGCAAGTAGATTGGTAACCCCGCCTCCTGCTCTCCTCTATCTTGTCTGCTGTCATGATTCATGCAGCTATTATTTCATCCAAATGAAAAATGGAGAACAGATAAGCAGATCATGGCTTGTCTACAGTGAAAAGAAGGACTGGGTTATTTACTTTTGCCTTTTTGGAAACACAGGAAGGAGCAATCACCTAAGTGAGCTTAGTGCTTGGAAAAAATCTTTCATTTCTTTAGAGACAGCATGAAAAGTCAGCTGAGTACAAAACATAGAGAGGAAAACAAGAAGAAAAGGGACAAGAAGAGAGGGACACAACCTAGAACAGATAATGGATGTCTATTCTATTAACATTTCTCTATCTGTAGAATGGGTCTGTTTTATGTATTGTCTTCTAATTCAGAGGGGCCCCCCTGCCTGTCTTTGCCTAGGGCCCCAAATATCCTAAATTCGCCCCTGAATTAACATATAATGATACAGAATTTTTATGCTTAAACAAATTATTTTGATTTCAGTGTACTCGCTCCTGATACAGTCTATTGATTATTTTGCTGATTTAAAAAAAGAAACATTTGTCGACAACTCAAGCAAAACAGTAATGGAAAGTAAATGGAGGGAGTAACAGAGTATGAGGTTTCCCTGATCTGAAGGCATGGCTGCTGAACACACTAATGAAACGGTGAACTTATGCACATTTTGGCCGACCCCGATACAGGACGAAATATCGGCCTGCATATTTATCGGTCTATCTGTTATCTAACTTGTTCAGGTTTGTGCTATATTACTCATTCCTGTCCGTTTTAACCAACTTAAGGCAACCTTTTTCACTTTGCATCTGTGATGTAGGATCATGGCTTTATCAGGTCATGCTGTCAATGCTTTCTCCTGTCTGTGGTTGTGTGTACGTCATGTTGGCCATATATAACTGTTCACTCTGACTTCTTAATGCTGCCAAAATCTTCAGGAATCGGGGGAAGAGGAACTGTTTTCTCCTTTCCGGACGTCACATGTTGCAGTTAAGAACCCTCCAACGCGGCCTGGCCCTGCCGGTCATCTCATGAATCTCAGTCCTGTTGTGCATGTTTTAGATGTTTCTCCACTTGAACACACCAGATTCAAACACTGAATGCTTTGGTCTGCAGGTCATCCCTATAGTCAGCTACTGATTTTAATTAAAAGTGTTGCAGCAGGGAAACATGGGAAACGAGCAGAGACCAGAGCTAGAAAGGCCTGCTCTCCACTGTGGCATGCCGTCCCTGCTCTATCCTTCCCTCTGCCTGCACAGTGCATGCTGCCCACAGCGGTTTGGTGGATCATTGTTAGCCATAATGCAACACTTGTTTGTGAATTCACATTCATAAATGCATCATGTTTCATTCACTTATCTTGGAGTGATTTGCATTATCGTTGGACTTGTGTGTTACTTCACAGGCGTTCTTGTATGTGCTCACTGGTTGAAGTGATGAACGGTTTGTTAGGGAGGTTTCTAACCTGTAGCCAGTAGTGTGCTGGGACTGAAGTCTCACTCACCAGCTAACGCTCCCATCTAGCCAGTGTTCAGCAAACTGACTTAACCTTCCAGCATGCACTGGTGGAGCTGCTGGTGACTTGAGAACCTTTGGTGTGACGATGACTGGCTTTGGTCCCTGCTGAGTTAAAACTGAACTCTTTATGCTTTCAGGTGAAGACCGAGGAGCAGATAACAGCGGAGCAGGCCTGGTATGGCTCAGAGAAAGTCTGGCTTGTTCACAAAGACGGTTTCTCTCTTGGTGAGTCAGGAACGATTTTTTTTTTTTTTTTCATCTTAAATTAGTGCAGGATAATTAAGTGTTTTGAACATTTCTGCTAGCTTTGTGTTCGATTGTTACTGACTGTACTAATTAAAAAACACAGGAAAATCTTCTGCTTGTTCCAGTTCTTTGTTTGGCCTGATTTTTCCAACCCCGGGTCATCGGCTGCTAAGGTTGTTTATTCTTAGCCTCGTGAGACCATCCTGATCTCGCAAGCTTTCAAGATTTCACTCGCTAATCAGTCTGGAGACTCTCTGATTAAGAAAATTTGGAGCCGTTCACCAAACGAACGTCCAATCAGCGTTGGTTTTGAGGCGGTTGAGTTGTGACACAACGAAAAGCGCTACAGTTCAGTCTAAAGAACAAATGGCGGCTTCAGCCGATGAAACTAGCGTTAGCGTGGCTATCGAGCAAGTTTTATCGGAATTACAGAATATTTCTTAACTGAAAGTAGAGCAAAATACTGCTCTGGAGGCTTTTCTCAGAGGAAAAGATGTTTTTGCTCTTCTCCCGACTGGTTTCACCAAGAGTAGCCTGGCTGTTAGTACGTCATATGCTTCGTTGATCTGATTGGTTTATTTGGCCCGTCTATCACCAACATAGGCCAATCAGCTAACCAGTATTTTCGCCCCTTCCCAAAATTACTTCAACGGAAGGTTTCCAGATGGATTTGCTCCGCATATCCATCTGGCGGTGTCAGGTTAGTTTATTCTGCTCTTTTATGTAAAGAAAAGTACATGGTTCATGTTCTTCACATAAAAGTGTGATTGATTGGGGTTGTTTTCATTTGAGAAATTCTGATAGCGTCTACCTACGATCTTCTCTGTGCTCTCAGGTTGGACTTCAAGAAAAGGAGAATTGAACATAGAAAGGGATGAAACCTAACCCTTTAAAGCCCGATCCAAGAATAGAACAAAACAGAAAATTACTTTTTTTTTGGTTTGAAGTCCTTATTTGGACTTTTAACAAAATATGTAAAAAGAAAAAACAGAAATACATTTTTGATATCGCATAGTAATAAATTATTAATAAGTCAAGATTATTTTTTGTGTAGTCTTCTGCCTTCTGTTATCAGGTATATCTGATTGTGTACAATAGGATTTTGAGCAAAGTTTTTACCATTAAATTATGCAAAAGGTGTCAGACGCAAAACATTTCAGAAACCGTATGTATCAAATATGATACATTTGGCATTACAGGGTTAAAGACGTACTAACATTAGAATGCAACCAGATTAGTTAGTTAGATTAGAAGTTTAGGGAAAAATCTACCTGTATAGTTCCTTGGTGATGTAAAGGCAAGTTAGGCTGAAGTTGGCCGTTTCTCAATATGTGTACTTGTGCATTCTCATGTGCTTGTGTACACGTGAAACGTGATCACCCTCAGCCCTAGTACTGTTCAAAAAGTTACAAAAACAAGAAGACATTCTTGAGATTGACAGCTGTCCTAACATACAATGTGGCAGCAGCTTTCACAGTTCTTATACTTCTAAGATTCACTATATGGCCCATTTACTGATTTAGTGCCTAATTTAAAAACAATTTTCGGAAGTTGAGAGGACCGCGGCAACTAGTGGATGTCGGAGGGTAACGGCAGACAGGCTAACAGTTAAATGTTAATTCGATCTATGTTTATCTTACTGTGTTAATTACTTCCGCAATAAATGAAAAAAGTAAGAATTTATTATTATCTAGAGACTATTAATAACAGGAGATGAAAGGCCGCTCCAGACGAGCAGTGTGTGGTGACGTCACTAGGACGCTTCTGTTCCAACTGACCCATATTTACGCTGCGTGGTCCCGTTCTCCCTGAGTCGACACTTTCCTGTGTTCTTCAGAACATACTTGATGAAGAACGAAATCCAGACTGGCGTTCCTGTGAATTGAAAACCCGCCGTTGTTTTAGCTGATCAGAAGCTCCGGGAACGTTTAATGAGTGGTTTGTTTGGGTTATGAATTCAGTGTTAAACCGAGGACTTATTCAGCCTGATGAAGTAAAAAACGGTTTCAGGGGTTGACGTTAAGGATTTTTACCACTTGCCCTTCTGGCAAGTGACTTTCACATTTCACATGCCCAGAAACAATTTTTACTTGCCCAGTATAATGTTTGATAAATATAGTTCCTAATATTCATTTTTGTATATATATTAATGAAACATGTTTGTTATTTAAATGTTTTTTTGTAATTCAGTAAGTTTCCAGGTTCCTGGTGTGTATCTGCATGCGTCAGATAATGAACTCAAGCCTACATTACCGTGTTAACATGCTTTTCAATCCTTCCTGCACATTCTTTTCAAACTAAACTTTGCTTTAAACTGTTGTGTGCTTGGAAAATATAAATTGTAATGTTAAAAATCTAAAAAAAACTTGACAGGTTAAAAACTTAAGATAAATCAAAAGACAGAAGTCAATGTCACAAATGAATAACTTTTATTTTAGAGTCATGGTATGTTTATACAAGATAATACCATTAATATAATGTGACTTTTCTAGAGAATCATATATAGTATATTATTCAGGGTTTCCACAGTCTGACATCATTTCAGAATTCCCTGACTTTTAACTGACTCAGGATTAGTTTTCCCTGACAAAATAAATGCAGCCATGTGTCGTTTTGGTAACGACATCAAAATTACCGCTAGGTGAACAAAAATCACGCCATCTGGCGGCTTTTTCAAATCACGCGAGAATGTGTACAAACAACAAAAATGGCGCCGGCAACGCTTCTGGGTCGTTTTCATCGAATGTTGGTGATTTTAAAGACATTTTGAGTGATAAATAAAAAATTTTTGCGATCATTGCACTTGCCCGGCGGGCAAATGCAATGAAATTTGTACTCTCCCAACAATAAAAACGACTTGCCCCGGGAGATCGAGCGATGGTTAACATCGAGCCCTGGGTTTAATGCCGATTGCCTCTCCAAGCATCCCTGTTTGTTTTTTTTTTTTACCAGTGATTGAGTTATAAACTACTCTTAATTTTCCTTTTCTGAATAAATACGCTAAAATTAAGGTTGGATTTTTTTCAGTTCAGTTCAGTTTTTTTTTATATAGCGCAAATTCACAACTTATGTCATGTCAAGGCAATTTAGAGACATTTCCACCACATCATCCAGTCAGTTCGACTCAAAGTCTGATGAGTCTTGTTTTCAATTCAATTCAATTCAGTTTATTTATATAGCGCCAAATTCACAACACATGTCATCTCAAGGCACTTTACAGTTCAACCAGATCAAATTGATACAAAGTTTTCTATCTAAGGAAAACCAGTTGATTGCATTGACTCATTGACTCAAATACAATCCCCCACACTAAGCATGCTTGTAGCGACAGTGGAGAGGAAAAACTCCCTTTTAACAGGAAGAAACCTCCAGCAGAACCAGGCTCAGTGTGAGCGGCCATCTGCCGAGGCCGACTGGGGTTCAAGGAGACAGAAGCAGAGATACAAAAAGCAGCTGTAAAAGGCGGCCCCGTCCAGGAAACACACAGCCAGGCAGACGAGCTCCAAGGCAGCTCCCATGCCTGCTTTTCAGTCTGATGTTTGAATAGATTAGAATAGAATTTGAATAGTCCTCATATTCCCTCAGTGAGGTTATTCAGGCACATGGAAAATTCACATAATGCTAAAAAATAAAATGAAAATGTCAGAGCAAGCAGTGAGGGGACATTTATAAAGAAAAACTCTACCGTTATTTGAAAGAGCATAAAGGAAAATGCGTATTTTTGCTGTGAATGAGGAATTTAAAAGCTTTTTATTATTCTTTAGCAGAAAAACCAGGAGATATTGACTCTGCGGATATGTTCAGCTGACTGGATGCAATTTACTGCAGTTTTAGTGTTTGAAGCGTTTTAGAGGAATCTGAAGTCGAAATGCAGACTGGAGAGCATGGAGCATGTGATATAATGTGGCTCAAATCTGTCAGATTAAAGGCTCCCTGTTGAAGATGATATCCTTGAAGCAGGTATTAAACAGAAGTTACAAAAAAATTCTGGGTTCTCTGAAACCCTGGAAGATTGCCTTTTTACACTAAGCCCCCATTATATGGCAAAATCCTAATCTCAAATATCCTGCTTACATTTTCTAGAAGCAGAAATCATCAAAATGAACAGAAATAAGGAATAAAATTTGTTTACAGAATGTGTTTCATTCAAAAATGGACTTCCTGAGATCAATGAACTATATATATATATATATATATATATATATATATATATATATATATATATATATATATATATATTTGTTTTCTGCCTTTTATATTTGCAGCCACTGTGCTGAAGACAGAGTCTGGTTCACACCCAGAGGGAAAGGTGAAAATCCAGCTGGAGCATGATGGAACGATCCTGGACGTGGATGAAGATGATATTGAGAAGGTAAGGACCACAAAGCTGCCCTGATAAACCAGACTAAATATCAGATTAAATGTGTAATTTATTCTGGCCCCGATGAATGAGACATCAGAAGATTGTTGATGAGAACAACCTGTTTTTTTTTCAAATCATGTCTGTGCATATTGTCCAAGGCTCTGACCAATGAGCGCAACTGACTGTGACGTAGAAACCGCGACAGAAAGCTAATGGGGGAGTGTTGACGGCAAATATGTCCTTCTTAAAAATGAATGAGCGTAGAGCCTCTTCCTGCTCACGTTTCAACGAACATCCCAAGTCTAATCCTTAAAACTGATTCCAAGGCTGAGTCAAAAATCTCATCAGAGCCAGCGGTCCTTCACACAAGACTATGCTGACAGAGGGCTGCTGCAGACGGGCTGCGGTTAGCCTTGAGGTCCGCTGGTTGACACGGTCCTCTCAACTTCGGAAATTGTTTTTTTAATTATGCATTAAATGGGTAAATGGATCATATAGTGACGCTTTAAAGTATAATATTCTCGCTTTAAATGGTCTTACTTTTATTGAACAAAAGCAACAGAAAAGAGAACTTTTAAGTGTCAATGGAGCGCTCCACTGCTGTTGCTGCCGCAATGCATGCTACTGTTCAATAGTTGTTGCCATCTTCCTTGTTTTGCTTTCTCCAGCGTCGCGCAGCTTTGTCATGATGACCTCAAAATCCACAGGTTTGCAGAGCCTGCCAAATCATGATGATGTGGTCGGATTGGCCCAGTACAGCACTGGGGACCTCGTGATAAGCATCCCCAGTGATCCAGAATGTTATCCTGTCTGGTCAGGCATTTAATTAGCTGTTTATTTTCAGGAAGTTCAGGAGTGAATTTTCCTTTGTTTAAAGTCACCAAGGGCAATAATAGAGTCCGGATTGCTCCGCTCCGCGGGCGTATGTTGTGCATGTTTGCATGTGGTACCATGTGGTCTTGGACCAGAATGAATGAAGCAAACTCCCGGGGTTCATAAAAAAACTTGGGAGATCCGTGATCCTAGCTGCTGTTGATGTAAAAACAGATTCCTCCACCTTTTGCTTTGCCGGAGAGAGGTGTGTCTCTGTCAACTCTGTGGAGTTTGATGCCGGTATTCATTCACACAGCCATGACTCCATGAACAACAAAACAACAGATGAAAAGATGTCCCTATTTCTTATCCCAGAATCAGTCATAGTTTGTCCAGTTAGTTTTGCAGGGAACGTACGTTAGTTCTGGCGAAGAGGTACGAGCGCACAGGCGGTGGTGTTGCCCTGATGTTCATTAGATCTTCTCTGGTGAAAGATGTCCGGCTATCATCGCAAAAACCAGAGTTAAGTTGTAAAACAAAACATAAGAGGCCATACCAACACACCGAGGCAGCCATCCATGGCGCCGTCTTAGATGTTTGTGTTTCCACTTTTCTAATGAATCTTCAAATATTCCTTCAGCAATGCTAATAAAATAAAAAGGAAATCCTCAGTACCTGAGGCTGTGGATGCATGGCTCTAAGCTTTTTGTCCCTTTGCAGGCCAACCCTCCAACTTACGACCGTTCTGAGGACCTTGCTTCACTCGTCTACCTGAATGAATCCAGTGTGATTCACTGCCTGAGGCAGCGCTATGGAGGAAACCTCATCCATTCCTTTGCTGGCCCCAACATGGTCGTTATCAACCCGCTCAGCACACCTTCAATGTATTCTGAGAAGGTGAGTGAAGACTGCTGTTTATCTCAGCCTACATTCATTTTTAGCAGAACATGTGGTACTTTAACTTGTTTGGTCGAAACGTCTGATTACTTCATTCTTCTGGGGATTCCTGCCTGAAACAGGTCATGCACATGTTTAAAGGCTGCAGACGGGAAGACACCGCCCCTCACATCTACGCTGTGGCCCAGTCAGCCTACCGCAACCTGCTCACCACCCAGCAGGATCAGTCCGTTGTGCTGCTTGGCAAGTCTGGTAGCGGTAAAACCACCAACTGTCAGCATCTGGTCCAGTACCTCGTCTCTATGGCTGGGAGCACGGGCAAGATCTTCTCTGGTAAACCTTCGTCTCGTTACCTTTAACACACCTGGGGAGTTTTTTTCAGCTCTTATACACAAACATACCAGAGCATGAATGAATGGAGGACAAAAAGAAATCAACCTACTGTAGTTTCAGACCATGTCAGGTTTTAAAGGAAAAGTCCGGTCAGCAAGGAATAATCAGTGGATCATTATTTATACCTAAAACTAATACGTTTGCGGGGATTTAATACATTTAGCATTAGTCAGTAAAAAGTTAAAAACAATAACTTTCGTTGCGATCACTGATTCTGGGAGCGGCCATTTTTGCCCAAATATAGTAACCCCTCCCTCCTGCCATCTTCCAGCAGTGACGTCACGGTGCGGGAAGCCTAGCGCCATTCTCCCCGCTTTACAAGCTAAATCAATGGGAACTACTAGACACATCTGCAATCAACAACAATTATTGAAGATTTCCAGAGGACTTCACCATTGAAATTCACCAGAGCTATAGTGAAACTGACAATGCCCACGTGCATGGCAGCTGGATGTTGGAATACATCGGGTAAAAGTGGAAAAAAAAAAGAGTTATTCCACCTTTCTGATTCCTGGTCCTCCACGGACGGGTTGGTCGTTGGATTGCCAACTTGAAGAGGGAGGATTTGCCATCGAACTTCTGGCCAGAGAAAAAACCCGTAATATGTAGCCAACATTTGGAAGAAGAATGTTTTCAAGATGACTTGGATAATAGCGCGTTGTGACAAACACCAGATACAGAACTGGGACTTGATCAACAGCCGATACCTCACCGTGACGTCACAAACCAGTAGGTGGCAGTAGTGTTCTTTGACAAACATGGATGCCTCCAGTAAAACACATTCATATGGAAATTACTCTTAATTAAAACACTTATCATTTATTGAACAGTATGGAATAATTTCATACTTAAAGTACTTTCAGAAGTTTGTGTTCTGAATAGGACCGGACTTCTTGAAGTCAGGACTATCAGCAGGTTGACCACGAGTTTCTTTGGAAACTATTGCAAAGTTTTCTATCACTACTACAGAAATAAAATTAATTATCTCCATCTGCCCTTGGAACAGCGGAGAAATGGCAGGCGGTCTACACAATCCTGGAGGCCTTTGGTAACTGCTCCACCACCATGAACTCCAACGCCAGTCGCTTCTCTCATGTTGTGTCGCTGGACTTTGATCAGGCTGGCCAGGTGGCTTCTGCTTCCATTCAGGTAACAAAGCAGTTTTGTTTTCTTCAGTCACAACATTTCCTTGAAGCCCAGCTTTGTAATTCTTCACCTGCCTCCTGTCATTTAGACAATGCTGCTAGACAAGCTGCGGGTGAGCAGAAGACCTGAAGAGGAATCCACCTTCAATGTCTTCTACTATTTGATGGCTGGTGCTGACAGCGCTCTGAGGTGATGATGCTAGCACCTTGTTAGCCTTTTTCCCTGTCCAGTTTAGTATTGATGGGTCCAGCAACTCTGATACGTCAGTGAATGCGTCTAGCCTATAGAAGTATCGGTGCGCGTGACGTTTCAAGAAAGTCATGTGACCGATACAGGAGTTGTTTTTTAACTGACTGACTCGCTAAATTCAGTTTAAAAACATATCTGTCAACATGATGCATCTACTAACATAAAAGTCTCGTCTTTCGCAGTTTATCTTTAAAATCATGAAGAATTTTGGAGCAGCCTGAAAGGAATGTGAACATTTCAGCCGTTGCGTTTTTATTTTAATTACCTCATTTTGTCATCGTTTCACTTAACTTATCTGAATTAAAGTTAATTTAAAATTCAATCTTAGTTTATTTACTGTCTTTACTGTAATTATTGTTTTAAAAATATTATTCAAAAACCTAGTCTACAAGCATCCTCATTCACATTTTATGATGTATGTTTACATTATTTATTGGCTGCATCTAAAAATATCAAAGATATTTTCAGTTTCAACAGAGATATGAAATAATACAATATAACCTACAATAATTGAAATTATATTATTGTACTAGGTCATCAAACCAATTCAGTTTAGTCCTTTAAATAAGCTGCCTGTAGTGTCTTTAAATGTCCAGCAGGTGTCAGTATTCTGTGAGACGGTATCAATGCAGCATCAATCCAGTTCGGCAATGATTCAAAACGCTTCAAGATGCCTCATTAATTCACTACTGTTTAGATCTCCTTGGTCAGGATTCTGGAAGTTGTGTGTGATGAGTTTTAATGATTTTGAGGCCTGTCAGGACATACCTGACTCCTGTCAGGATCATGTTTATATTAACCTCACAGGAAACCCCAGTTAGCTCTCTGTCTTGGAGCTGAGTGTCATGGGAACTGTAGTCCTACATTTTTTAGCTCAAGACATTCTTCCCTCAAATCTCAAATTCAGTTTTCAAATGAAATGTGCTTCGAACATTACAGCTTCACTTAGATTTTGTTAATGATCAGAAACAATCCTCATGAGCGGCAACAATTCAATTCGGTTAATTTATAAAGTGCAAATTCACTTCTCTGGTCTACTGATGACACTTCTTGTTTTGCTGTTAAATCCTGGTGGATTTTCTTCTGACTGTATGTTTTTTTAGAATATTACCTATGTGTTCATTCAGGAAGAGCTAATTCAGCTGAGTTTCCTCATATAGAAAGCTTTAAAACTAGGGCTCCCAGAATTCTGACATTACTAGAACTTCCCAATGAAATAGGCGTCTAAATCACATCCATCATGGCGATGCGAATCAGTATCGATTTCCCGACCTAACGATTCGATTATTTTCGATACTCAAGAATATACCACTATAGGATTCGATTAACTGGTTCATTTTTTTTTTTTTACATCTTACAGGCTAGACAATGTTTCAAATTTGAAATAAATCAATGAAAGCTGTAATATCGTTATGCATTTTTTTGAGAAACTACAGCATATAACAGAAATAGAAAAGTTGCACCAAAAAATACTGCACAAAATCAGTGCAATCAGCGCAATTCAATACCTCGGCTCCAGACGTCCCGGCCCCCTCCATAGACGCTCCGCTGCACCTCTCCCAAATTGTAGCTGACGGCAGACAGTGCTGCAGACAGGAGGCCGGCTTGTTTTGTTTTTATGACCGAAATTACGGAAAACAACATGTGAAATTTGACCTGCTAGAAGAGCGAGCTGTGTGAGAACGCTGGGACCCTTTTTCCACCTGGATCTCCGCTCTTTTTGGCCCTCATGTCCCTCCGTCGTTGTACTAAACCCGCCCCCACTTCCTCGCCGCCTCGGCCATATCTAGACCCACAGCGTGTAGCTCAGACCACGCTTCAATATTGAGCATAAATCAAAAATGTCTGCGTCAAGCTTACTGCAACACACTGCTGTAAGAGTATAACCAGGAAGCGAGGTAGGAGGGCAAAATAGGTTTAGCGCCACCGCAGCACGGGAGGGAGAATTACGTCCAGGAGCAAATGGATAAAAATAGACCGGAGGAAAAAAAAACATGAATCGATTATCTTGCGGACGTATCAATGCATCGGATCGCCAGCTGTTGGATCAATGCATCGATTCAAAACGATAATTATTTACACCCCTACAATGAAATGCATGAGTATTGATGATGTCATCGACTGAAATGGTTTTAGTGTGCTCATGTAAACTCATTGTGGACATGTAAATCCTTAAAACAGGTCTAATATATATTTTTTTAAAGGCTGTGTTGTATGCTATTTTATTTGTGGTCTAAATTTGTATTAAAAATAAATCATTAAAATAAATAAGAGCGTTTTGCTAAATAGGTTTGAAATTTGTAATTTATTTACAGAAATTTATCACCCCTGACCACATTTTTGACATTTATGACAAACATATAAGTGTTTTTTTTTGTGCAGCGCTGACTAGCAACTAGCACTGTTCTCTTTGCTGCTCTCCTGCAGTGGAGGATAAAATCTCTGCATAAGACAGCGATGTTCAAACAGCTCCTGAACAAAACCAACGCGTTCATAGCTGATATGTCCAGGAAATTTTAAAATACAGCTGCACGCCACCTGAATGTTGGAGCTTTCACAGAATACTTTCTAATAATCTGATCGGACACATCCAGCCGACCTGTGTGTGGTTATAGTAGACCATGGGCTCCAGTTTGGCTTTTGGGTCGCTGAGTGTCCCGGCCGAGGTGTGGGCAGTGCTATCCAAACCTTGAACAAAAGTTTCACTATTGTTGGATGGGTGACTGATATGTCTGCATTTTGCCGGGGGTGGGAAACATCCACGGACTCTCCTTCAGAATCTTAGCCGCTTCCTACCCAGCCGTCCTCATCGGCCTCTCAATCTACACCCGAATCGCTATCATCAATATTTTGAAGCATTTCTAAAGCCTGTTTTGCAGTTAGATTTTTTTCTGTATTAGCCAAACATTTCTAGGAAGAATTTTGTTTGCAAGGCAACGGTAGCGGGAAGGTCAATCAAATGTGGGAAGAATTTACAATGCAACTAATAGAGCCCTCAAAATGACGGCTGTGGAAGATCGAGGTAAAATTAACCATATTTATTTTTTACGTTTTTATTTTGTCAAAGAAAATACCTAAAAATGAAGGAAATATAGAAACAGGAAAAGTCAGTTAACGTGAGCAACATATGATTAATGTAAATAAAGTCCTTTCCCTTTAAAATCTCAGAACCGTCATAATGACATTCATGGGAGTTCTAATGTTAAATAATCTGTAGGTATGATCTGATAGAACTAATCTTATAGTGCCTGAAAATGACATGTTGTGAATCAGCTGTATATAGAATTTATTTCATCACCATTCAGAGAATAGTTTTAGTTTTTAGTTTACCCTGCGGCCTCCTATGGTCCAACAGGAAAAGTGAACTATATTCTCCAGTAGCTGAAAGGAGCTGACTCTGTCTTCTTCTCCACTTTTAAGGACGGAGTTGCATCTCAACCAGCTGAATGAGAGCAGTGCGTTTGGAATCCAGCCACTCTCCAAGGTAATGGGCTCCTTTTTATTCCTTCATTTAATGACGGGGCCCAAGCAGCGCCTCCTTAACAGAAGCGGGACTTTGAATCTGGTTTGGTTTTCAGACTGAAGACAAGCAGAGGGCGCTGCAACAGTTCACCAAGCTCCAGGCTGCAATGAAGGTCCTGGGCATCTCTGTGGAGGAACAGAAAGCTCTCTGGCTCATTCTAGGAGCCATTTATCACTTAGGGGCCGCAGGAGCCACTAAAGGTAGGATCTGTTCATCCCAATTCAAACTAATCTGTCGTTAATATGATGTCCTATTACTCATTGCTACCTAAACACGGTTGTTTATTTAGCACATTGAACTTTCACCAAACTAACTTCATTTTTGTAAAATAATCTAAAATATTTTTTTTAAAAGAGCTATAAGGAGATACGAGTCTTAGAAGCTGTGTTAAAGGACAGGAGGACAGTGTCCTTCCCAGCCTTAACGACCATGGGACGTGTCCCTCCTAACCTTCGCTGTCGCCTTCGCCTGGTGTGCAAGAGAACAACATTGTTCCTCCTCAGCCTGATCAGCTCATGCTCCTGAAATGTCTCGGTGGCTTCCCAGCGCTCTTCATGGCTTCTGGTGTTTTATGTGTCAGATGAATAATTGCATCCATAAACTGTTGTCTAACCTCCTCTCTTTGCTTGCATGTTTGCATGCTGCGTCCTATCAAATGCAGACGGAGATGAAGGTAATGGAATAACTGTTATTCTCTTACAAACCTGGTTTTATAGTCAGTTTCATTTTGCTTTTATGTCCTCATGCTTTTATCATTTCATCAGGGCTTTAATCTGATAGCATATACCTTATTATTCATCCACTTCTCTGCTTTGCTTCCGTTTTTTTTGTTTTTTTGTTGGGTTTTTTTACTAAGTGAAGCCTTCCAGTAAATCTGGGCTCTCGATATCTCGATATTAAAAAACATTCAGACCCATCTGTGATGATGCAGCCAACATAAATTACTTTGTGTTCATTTGGCTTCTGATCAGCTGCTAAAAGCAACCAGATCACAGAATCAGTCAGACTTCTAGAGCAGATAGCTGCCGTCAAAAGGAAGGCTGGATCTGCTGCCTGCTTGTTAATGGGATCAGACCAGCTCATTAGAAGAAGAAACCTATCTATGATGTGACATGATAGCTTGAGGTTGGTCCATTTTGGCTTGTCCAAGAAGTCAGGCTTAGAGCTTTAATTCCACGGCATGGAGGTGATGTTCCATCTAGAGACGGTCTTTCTGCACCACAGTCGATTAGCCCTGTCATACCTTGCTGATTTAAGGCTTGTTTATACTCAGAAACCAGGTCGTCTTTGTGTGTGTCGCAGTTAACGCATATATGCCCCGCCCCCTCCGCAGACACTCTGCTGCACCTATCCAAAATTGTAGGTGACTGCAGACAGTGCCACAGAAAAGAGGCCTCTGATTGGTCAAATCTACATCCGCTCTACACTATGTGTATTTCCTGTTTGGTACCAGCTTGTTTTGTTTGTATGACCGCCATTTTGGAAAACGGCTCATGAAGATGGACCAGCTAGTAGAGCGAGGTGCGGGAGAACTCTGGGAGCCTTTTTCCACCTGGATCCACGCTCTTTTTCGCCCTTGTGTCACTACGTTATCACACAAACTTGCCCCTTGAGTTTTTCCACTTCCTCACTGCCTCAGGCGTATCAAGACTCACAGCTAGTTTGGATTGTCCCCTTGCGTTGTTGTGGAATAACAAAGCAAAGTCCATGCTTCAAAATTGGGCATAAATAACAAATCAAAAATATCTGCGTCATACCTGCGACACACTGCTGTGGGTGGATAACCAGCCCTTTAGCCAGCGTATTCCTGACGTCACAGAATCTTCTAAAATGCCGCCATACGCTGAACTTTCTATGTACGTTTTCAAATTTGGGTGTATACATAGATACATATTCATAACGAGTCCAGAACTTATGTCCCACGACAGTAACTTATGAATAATGCACAGCAGCGTAATGAGGTGCCTGGTTTGCATAAAAAGATACATTTCATTGCGGTATTAACCTAGTTGCTGTTTACCGCCCACCCCCGAAAAAATAATGAATAAAAATAAAAAGTAAGAAGGTTTGCAGTCACAGCAGATTCAGCATCATGTCTGCTAGGAAGTTTGTTGGTGGTGGGCGTGAACGCAGGGAGGATCCATCACACTCACCTTCTGGCTCAACATATATGGGGATGAAGTCTGGAGGAGAACTGACGGTTTCGCTGCCAATACGCCATTATACAGTAGTTAGAAGTTAGAAACACATTCAGTGCTCGTCTGGAAAACGTCAGATAAGTTAATATACATTGGAGATAAGTTACACAGAAGTTATGCACACGTTACTCATGTTTTGGATAAGCTGGACACCACGACTTATGAGTAATTTACACTTAACGTGTGTCAACGATCAGATACAGTAGCAGTCATTCAAAATGGCCCTTCAATTTGTTTTTTTACTCTGACTCCACAGTTTCACTGAATGAAAGGGTCTGACCTGATCTTTAGATCTTAATCTCCACAAATCATGACAGAAAGAATATTTTTGCTCAAAGATTGATGTTTAAAAAGGACGTACTTATACAAAACATACCCACAACTTATCCAACGTATGCCAGCATGTTTTTCATACGCTGACTGAATCATCAAGGTGTGACGGGGCTTTACTGTGTTGCTAATGGATAGGGTACATATGATCCCATGTAGACTTTGCTAGTCAGGGATCTTTGTGTCACCTCATTTTCTATGTGTTGGTGGATCTGTGCTGAGGTGTTCACCTGCAGTCAGTCTGTAGTCCTTTGTGCACCAGAAAAGTCCCATCCATTCATGTTCCAGGACCCTATCTATGCACACATCATCCTGCTGTTGTGTTCAACACATTTCCAACACATTATTGATGGTAGCTCCAAGTCCGACTCATCTAAATGCTGCCATCTACTGGTTGAGCTAAGCTAACAGAGAGAAACAGGGAAGAGAAAACATTAAAAGAAAAGTCAAACAGCCAGTCCAGAAGATGTTAGTTTGGTTCAATAACATTCCCTTCTTGTATTTTATTTCCATGCTCTTTTCTGTAATATGTTCTGGCCACTAGATAGTTCTCTGTTGTTGCAGTTTATCATGTTTTGACTCTACTCCTGTTCTTCCAGCTGGACGCAGGCAATTCGCTCGCCATGAATGGGCCCAGAAGGCGTCCTATCTACTGGGCTGCAACCTGGATGAACTGTCCTCACTGATCTTCAAGAACCAGGCCAGAGGAATGCAGCCTTTGTTCAGGGGGGGTACAGATGATGCTGGCCAAGGTGATGGCTTAGGTAAAAAAAAAAAACTTCCAAGAAGTCTGGAGTTATCTTTGATAATTGAGAAATTATAGAAATTATTTGCAGTTTGTTTGTTCAGCATGCTGGTTCCCAGTCTCCTTCTGCTTTAGTTGGAGAAGTCTTAACTGACTAATCCAGAAAACTGACGATTCAAAAAAAAAAGAAAAAAGACTTAACATTTTACCATCAGGTTTATTAAGAAGATACACAGATGATACAGATTATAGCTTCCTGGGGCCTTTTTCAGAGTGTGGGATACATCTAGGGCTGACACAATTAATCGGATTAATCTATAATTTTTCATCAAACTAATTAGTAATCCATTTATCTTTAACTGGATTACAGAGACTCTAAAAAAAATTTAGCTGACAGAGCAACCCACTTAACCAGGGCATACACTTGACATTTTTTTTTGCCTTTTTCGGACCGACTCTCCAGTCATGCGATAATTTTTTGATTGAGTCGGCTTTCAGCCTGATTGTTGGTCGTGTAGATTACAGGGGGTAACGAGGGGCGATCAGCCTCTCACAGCCACCTCCCAATCAGTAATTGTGAGGTCAGAAGAAAACCAAACATGTTTTAAATTCAGTCGGCCGTTGTAAGGTGGACAAATCGCTCAGTGGGCAAACAAGGATTCTTCTTCTACGTTCAGAGCTAAAGCACCAGAGGCAGCCGGAGCAGCTAGTTTACATGCAAAGTCAATGGCACAGCAAACGCAGCTGCTGCTGGAGTTGGAAAAATTTAACTTGCTGCTCGACGCGCCACATAAAGTCATCGGAAAAGCTTATCTGAGAGCTGGCAGGGAGAGAGACACATCGCTGATGATGCAGAGCGCTGCCTCTGAAACAGTTTATTAACGCCTAAATTAACTTAAAATGTAGAAATCTGACGGCAAAACTTGTTCACTTTTATTATCCTGGTGCCTGCAGTTTGGATTACGTACATTAAAAACGCCTTTCAGCCTCCGCGGCAAACCGCGAAGAGGCGACCAGGCCAGAGGTTGCTGTTGATGGGGTTCCTAGTCACAGGGTACCGACGGTATGTGGGGGTCTGAGCAACTCTGACAGCGAACTAATATTTGAAGGCAGGATGGTACTCTGGATGAACTGAATGCACAGATGAAGTTTTCAGATCATCTTTCTCACTTAAAAACATATTAAAACTATTTTTTACCCACTGATCACAGTAAATACAGCTGCCATTGTTACAGACAAATTAAGGATAGGGTAGCTCCGCCCAACTAAGCAGCTGTTGGGCGTCAAAACTAAACTTGTGCAAGGATCAAAAATGAAGCAGCACATGCGTTTTTGCTGCTCTTGCTGCTTTTGGTCTGACTGTAGCATTGTTCTTCTTCCTCTCAGATGAAAACACAGAAGCATGGCGGGGGTGCAATGAGTGAAATGAAGTTCTTTCTATTAAATTAAATTGTCCAAATACGTTGTCGCCTTTTCTTAGAAGGGCTTTCAGCACAAAATTGCAGAAATTGCCAAGGCAGCGCATTTCACTCTAGTTAGCTTCATATTCCTCTTTTAATCCTTTGGCTTCCAGATAAATGAGTCCGAGTAGCGGCATCTCACTGCGGAGCTGAGTCCCACCTGGTTTTTAGATGTACAGTGTGAGCAGGTAGATCGCATCAGAGTGTTGACCTGCACAGTGTGAGAACAAACACCATGAGCTGGGAACTTTTAAACCCTGCGGTTTTGTTGTACAGTGTGAGCTAAGGCTGCATGCAACGGTTGAAAAATTGTAAAGTATGTGCCCAGCTTTAGAGCAGCAATTATACCAAAAATGTTTTGCATTTAAGATGAAAAAAATGTCTGTAATATGTTTTATCAACTGGAAAAGTTTTAGTTTTAATTAGGTTTTAGGTTTACTTTCGTGAAAATCTTCTTTAAGGAACCTTTGGCTCTCTGATCGATTGATCAAAAAAATAATCGGCAGATTAATCGATTTGCAAAACAATGGTTAGTTTCAGCCCAGATAACTTGGATAAACTTTGTTTTCATGCTGAAGGAAACCTGCATGAATTTAGTGTTAAACGTTTAACATACAGCTGGGATGGCCATCAGATCGACCATAATTCCTGCACGGTGTCATCCTTTTATTCTGCAGAGAGGGGAGAGAACACGATGGTTAGGATCCAAACTGAGGTTTTGTTTTTCTGCATTTTGAAAACTGCATTTTGTTTTTCTCTCCAACCATTTAAAAGATTAGGTTTTGTTCAATTATATTTTATAAGTGAGCTTTGAAGACAGGAAAAGATGAAAAAATGGAGCATCAGAATTCATCTTAGAGAAATTAATCTAAATTGATTAAATTAAATTAGTTAAATTACAGATCACAGTACGACTCTTAACTCTAGTCACAGGAGCAAGCCTCTTTTTTTTTGTTGGTCAATTTCATGGGTCATGTCCAGGAGTTGGTCGGCCTTCAATCCTGACCAAGCATCTAACGAACATCTTGGTCCATTAGTGCCCTATACCCACAGGAAGGTGACATTTTAAATCCTCTCCAAGAGAAGGAAGCTGACCACTATGATGGCCACAAGGACTGGCCTGCTCCTTAAAGGTATAGTGGAGAAATTCTGCAAATTTTTTGAAAAATGCTCCCGAGAGGAATTTTCAGCCTATTAAATGCGTGCAAGAGCATGCAGAAGCCCATTTCTCCTTGTGCACACTCTGTTTAAAAGTTGCAGTTGCATCGCTCATACAAGCTTACGTAGCTTAAGAAGATTTGCAATTTTTCCACTATGTCAGACTCGCCACCAGTAATTGTAAATCGGGACAAGCTTACATAAACGCATCACCAGAGCGATTGACAATTAGGAGGACCACTTATTTAGATGATCCAGCTTGAAAAAGATCATCCTCCACTATACCTTTAACAGGCCAACTGTAACACAACTAACAATGACTTCAGACACGCCTTCAGCTTTACATCTGTGTTTCAGCTGCTCTTGAGTTTATTTGGGATTTGACACATTTAGGTCCTCTTTAGCAGCGGTCCCCGACCTTTTTTACACCACAGACCGATTATATGTCAGACAATATTTTCACGGACCGACCTTTAAAGTGTGGGGGGTAAATATGATAAAATAAAATAATACGACTGGCATAAAATCAAATACAAACAGCATAAAAATAAAACTCACCATTATGTTGAATTAGTGGGAGCCCTGAGCTTGTTTCTCTAAAACAAGCCGGTCCCATCTAGGCCTAACTGGAGACAATGACACACGAAGTGTGCTGCTGATGTCCACTCTGCTCCTACCTTTGTTATGGTCGCTCTAACCGCAGGAAATAGGATGCGGGCAGTGACGTGCGGTGAGGTTCATAGCTGGTGAGGCACTGACGTCATCAGAATCAGATTTGCAAATAGATGCATAGATTGACAGCAGTTTACAGGTTATGTTTCACTTCTGCATCCTTACACATACAAACTGTAGCTCACAAAACACACATTTCCTTAAAAAACAAAACAAAATAAATGTTATTACTGTCTTACCTTTACTTATAAATGAATAGAAGTCCTCCTTATCTTCCTTCAGTTTTAAAAGTCTCTCTGTCTCAATGGAGATCACTGCCAGGGAAGAAAGCCTTCCTTGATCCGTCCTGTTCCTGCCTTATGTTTTCAGTCTCTTGAGCACCCCCTGCCATGAGGCAAGAGAACTGCCTGCCTCACCTCGAACTTGTTCTCTGCCGTTTATAATCGCTCATTACACGAAACACGTTACACAAACACAGTTGGTGACAAAAAGCTCTGTACATTATATACATAAGCCAAATTATTAGAAATAAGTTCACATATTACATTTGTTTAAACTATTTTATTGACGCCGTACAGCAACATGCTCTCTCCGCTTTGCAGCCAGCGCAGAGCCAGGGGTTGCGCAATCCAAGGTGAGGCAGAGCTCGCTGCTGCCTCACCGGCATCGCTTCCAAGCATTTGAATGGGAAAATAAGAAAATTCAGCGATTTTGAACAAATAAAAATTGTAATTGGTGAAGCTACATGAAAAATGAATATTTTTTAGTACAAACCACCGGATGAATATAACAATTTAAATTACTTTATGATTATATATTTTCTTTCTTTCCATGATGGCTGGTGAGGCACTGCCTCACCTGCCTCCCCTGACCGCACGTCACTGGATGCGGGTTAGGGTTATAGATAGGATGCGTCTTGACCTGAATTAACCTGTGTCAAGAGGCACAGATGCACCGACTGATGTAATTGGGAGAGAATACTGCAAATTTTTTATATTTTCCTAAATAAAACACTCAGACTCTGATCATCGATAAATTATATATACCGGTATGTATTTTTTTCTGTGCGGCCCGGTGGTTGGGGACTGCAGCTCTATAGCATCTGGGAAACACCTAGACTGAACTTTCCCTTCCCCTTGTTTGGTAGTTTTCACCCTCCTCTTCTGTCTTGTTCCTAAGTACACCTGTTAATGTTTTAGATATGAAAGATATTCTCAGCCAGTTAATGGGTATGTATACCTTTAAAAAATTAAGAGCAGGATTGTTATTGTGTTTGTCAAATACAGGTCTAGCTGTAGAGATCAGTACTATGTCCTAAGGATTATTTATAGAAGCTAATTAACTTAACAGTCATGTTTTCGGTCTTTGGGAGGAAGCCGGAGTACCCAGAGAGAACCCACGCATGCTCAGGGAGAGAAATAGAACCCGGAAACTTTCTGCTGCAAGGCAGCAGTGCTACCCACTATGCTCCACTGTCTTCATCATTATTATCACTTTGAGTCTACTTAATAAACATCTAGTAAATGCTGTAGAGTATAGCCATGTTTTTCATTATAGCCCTGTGATGTTCTGAATCAGTGGAGCCTCACTCCATGCAGTTAGAGCGTCATGGAGAAGTAAATGTCCAATAGTGCTGAACTTATGGTGGCCATGTCCAGAACTGAGGCCTCTGAATGTGACTTACACGAAGAGCAAGAACTTGACCTTCTGGTTCAGTCCATAAATTCACAATCACTTCCCTTGGAGTGAAAATGGACAGTTAGGCTAAGCTTAGTTTACTCAGGTCTTTGGAGATGGATCGTTTTCTGTCGTAGCTTTTAGGCTTTAAATTCACTACAGGGGCGGTGAATCGTCTTTGTATTTTTAAATGACCGACTTTAAACCACCTTCATGTGTTTTAATGCTTATGTATACGTGAAAGCAGATGTGTATTTTCTTCCCCACTAAGTTATTGTCGCTAACTCAGGCTTTGTCTCATAGGATCTAAATTCACGGCTCTGGAGTGTTTGGAGTCGATGGCATCAGGACTGTACTCCGAGGTCTTCACTGTGCTCATCTCTCTCATTAACAGGTAACTTCACCTAAAGTCAGACCCTGATGCTACAGAGACTAAGCTTTTTTTCTGTAGCTGTATTTTTTGGTTGAATTTATTACAAATGGTATAAATTTCAGTGGCGGCTGGTGGAGGTTTCTTTTTTCCAACAACAAAAATAAAATTATAAAAACACTTTATAAAAACAAAACCGTTTTTTTAGAAAAATAAATTATTAAATTATATTTCTCAAATCAAGAAAAACCTGGATAAAATAGTTTAAATATATTTAGTTTTTGATTTCTGAAGAAATGTGCAGCTTCTCTTCCCTTCACAATCAAATCTTTGTTCCCAGGGCTCTGAAATCCAGCCAGCATTCTCTCTGCTCCATCCTGATTGTGGACACGCCAGGTTTCCAGAACCCTCGTCTGGCTCAGCAGCAAAGAGGAGCCACATTTGAGGAGCTTTGCCATAACTACACACAGGAGAGGCTGCAGACCCTGTTTCACGAACGCACCTTTGTCCAGGAGCTGGATCGATATAAGGAGGTGCATCTCTGCAGAAAGCTTTGCACACATGTTCTTACATAAAGAATGATCTGATCAGGCCTGAGGTCAGCCCCGGAAGCTTGATCACCTAAAACAATCAGCACAGAGTGTAAATGGGAATGAATTAGGAATGAAGTTGCTGCAGCATCTTTCCATTAAACTCAGAACAGTAGATAAAGGTCACCAAAAAGAAGATTGCAGGCATTTCACAGTATTACTAGAACACGGTTAAGGTAGTGATGCTGGTTGCCTCCTGATGTGGATCCCTACATGTATCAATGATTCATTGACCGGTCTGCAGGATCTACAGCCTGGTTATTGTTTATTTCAACCAGCTAGCCGTTTGCAGCTGAGGCAGAATTGGACTTTTTAACAACAGAATCTTCTCCTTGTACACCAGAGGCAGATGGCCAGTAACAAAGTACAAATGCTTTGTTACCTTACTTAAGTAGAAATTTTGATTATCTATACTTTACTAGAGTAATTATTTTCTCAACTTTTTGCTGGTACTCCTTACATATTTTTGCAATTATCTCTACTTTCTACTCCTTAGATTTTAAAAATAGGCTCATTAGTTTTGTTTCTTTTAAGCTCGTTTTCGTTATGGGCTGTAGGTATTTAAAATAAAAAAAAACATCAAAGGGGTTTGTTTCATCCATCCAGCCATTTTCAGTCACGTTTATCCCTGCTGGGGTCGTGAGGGGTACAGGTGCCTATCTCCAGCTGTCTACAGGCGAGAGGCGGGGTCCACCCTGGACAGGTCAGCCGTCCATCACAGGGCAATAGAGATAAACAGGACAAACAACCATTCACACACAAACTCACACCTAAGGATTATTTATAGAAGCCAATTAATTCAACAGTCATGTTTTCGGTCTTTGGGAGGAAGCCGGAGTACCCGGAGAGAACCCACGCATGCTCAGGGAGAACATGCAAACCCCATGCAGAAAGACTCCAGGCCGGAAATAGAACCCGGAACCTTCTTGCTGCAAGGCAGCAGTGCTACCCACTGCTCCACTGAGCAGCCATTGATTTGTTTATCTAAGAACATTTCTTTGTGTTTAGACTCGTTGCTGCCACAAACCTAAAATAAATAGTTTGTTAAATATGACCCTGTGACACTGATTATTTATAAAACTAAGAAGATTAAGTATAAGGAGTTTATCATACACGATTGTAGTAAAATGTTCCTTTCATAGGGTAGTGCAGTAACAAGTATAAGGTTTAAAGCATCTGTCCTTAACATTTTTTATAAAAACCACTTGTGTTTTATTATTATAGCACATTAGTTTAGTTTTTAAATAATTTTAGTCACTATTAAGAGCCTCCTGAGCCACGGGTTGCAGACCCCTGATGAAAGGGGCAATTACTTCTAAATAACAACAAATGTAGTTAATTAGACTGCTACATTAGTCTGGAACACTTGCATAATTTGTTCGTATCTGAGAAACGATTAGAAATAGCAGAATGTGGCATTTTCTCCTAAACCAGTCATACGAAAACAATGTAAGAATAAATTTGTTTGTATGAACGTTCTTGCTTGAGGTCCATTGATTGCAGGGCTCGATGTTAACCATCGCTCGATCGCCCGGGGCAAGTAGTTTTTATTGTCGGGAGAGTACAAATTTTATTGCATTTGGAATGATCGCAAAAAAAAAATAATTATTTATCACTCAAAATTACTTTCAAATCGCAGACTGTCGCTGAAAACGACCCACAAGCGTTGTTGGCGCCATTTTTGTTGTTTTGTACACATTCTCGCATGATTTGAAAAAGCCACGTGATTTTCCACTAGATGGCGTTATTCAGCTCTTGGGGAGAGAATTCTGCAGAGCAGCAGCTGGATGATGAATTTAATCTATACTATAATACACGCTAGATTAAAAATGATCAGTCAGGGATTAGGAAAAGAATAACTGTATGCACACAGTGTAAATATTTCTATCATATGACAGTCTTCTGTACAGTGGTCATACATTAAAAAATGTTCATTAAATTCTTTTCTCTTAGACATTAGAGTGGTGCATTTAAATGTTATAGAGCTAAACATGTAAATTGGTGAGTAGTAGTAGTGTAAGTTTTTAAACTGTCAAGTTTTTTTTTTAGATTTTTAACATTACAATTTATATTTTTCCAAGCACACAACAGTTTAAAGCAAAGTTTAGTTTGAAAAGAATGTGCAGGAAGGATTAAAAAGCATGTTAACACGGTAATGTAGGCCTGAGTTCATTATCTGACGCATGCATATACACACCAGGAACCTGGAAACTTACTGAATTATAAAAAAACATTTAAAAAAACAAATATGTTTCGTTGATATATATACAAAAATGAATATTAGGAACTGTGGTTTCAGACCCGAAAAGTTGATGCATTGTCAGACATTTAATTTCTCTTGATATAAAACGCTGATAGCAATAATAATGCCTCCAGCTCGGCACCTGTGCAGCCAGTTTCCTCTGCCTCCAAATGTGCGTCCTCTGTACCCAGGGCTCACAGATGCCCTGAAGTAGTGCACATTTTTATGCCATGTTTGTTTTTATGAATCCCAGCAGAGGTGTAGAAAGTGGGAATAAAACACTAATGACTGGAACCAGAGCTCATCCTTTTGGAAATGAAAAGGAAATGTTTGGATACAGATTTACCTGATTTGCGTGGTGCCTAACATTTCTTCATTGGTTACTTTCTTTTTTCTTTCTTTCATTTTCTCTCTCTTTGTCTCTCTGTCTCTCTCTATTAATGACCCACAGCCTGATTGAAGTCTGACTCTGATCCCATATATCTCTGTGTTATTTTGTACTGTTTGTTGGGCTGCTCTCCATGCTTCCTGGGTATAAATGTGATGTAGCTCACTAACATCAGCTGCTGTCCTTCCTGCTTCTAGGAAAACATAGAGCTTGTCTTAGATGACGTAGAGTCCAGTCCCTCCCTGTCCATAGCAGCCATTGATCAAGCTCCATCTCAGGCTCTGGTAAGTACATCTCACTGCTCTGTGTTGCTCTTACATGTGGTCTAATGCTGTTGAAGATTCTCAGTCATCCAGGTCATAGGCATTCCAAAAGAGATAAAAAAACAATCAACTGGACTTGTGCCTCATTTACACTACCCTTGAAAAACCGATCCATGCCGAGACCTGTCTGATGACCGTTAACACATCACGCTATCTCAGTTCCTCGACTCCTCGCCTCCTAGTGACGATCTGCGGTATTACTGCCAGTATTGAAGGAGGAAATCAAGCAGTTGGTGGCGGTAATGCACCAAACGTTGTTTGCCAACCACCATAAAACACAAGAAGAAGAAGACGAAGAAGGAGGGAATCAAGCAAATCAAAATGGCGGCACCCGTCACATTCAGAAAGTTATACTTGATTATTATTGCTTCGGTGTTATTGTTTAAAATGCCATTATTTAAAATGTTGCGTGGAGGAGATTTCGATTGTTGTTTATAGTTGAACAAGACGTTGTTCTTCTTCTGTTTCCGGAGGGGCATTACCGCCAACTACTGGAATGGAGTGTGAATCGGGATGTGCAGCCAGACAGAGATGACGCGTTCTGCTCATGCGCTCTTGTTATCAGAGAACCGAGCCAGGGAAAAACCCAGCCAAGCCCACCTCTGGAACTGGTCTGCAGTTAGCGCGGTTCTGTTGTGTCTAGCTCGGTTCAGTTCAGTTTGCTTTCCATTTACACACGATAAGTTATCTCAGTTACTGAGCTCGGACCGGTCTCGGCACGGTTTTTCAAGGGTAGTGTAAATGGGGTATACGTTTCCAAGTTTGAAGATGTTTCTCTTCCCATCCAGGAAGCTTTTTCAATTCAAAATGTCTGAGGAGTCAAGTTCGAAGCTTTATACAGTAGCTCAAAAACTTGTTTTGGCTTATAAAACATGCAAATTGAATGGGTCTCCCTGTTGGAATGGGGAGTTGTTTTGGGTTCTCATTGAGTGGTGTATTCGGTTCAGTGCAGCTAGGAATGCTCTGATCTTTATATTGGGAAACCAAACAACCTCTTCACAGACGCATAGCCCAACACAGGAGAGCGATCTCCATGGGACAAGACTCTGCTGTCCACCTGCACATTAAAGGAATAGTACACCCAAAACATGATTAGCCTTCATTTTCTACTCACCCCCATGCTGAACAACACTCTGGAGTACTTTTTTGATATCTCAAATGCATCTGGAGATCTGGGAGGCTTCTTGCTGTCTGCTGACATTCAAATAATGGAGGTCTGTGGCGCCCGAGGGAGAAAGGTCCATAAAAGTCCACAAAAAACGTGTCAATATTCCTCCATACTGCTCGTCCAATGTATTCCAAGTGTCCTGAGTGGGTAGCGTCCATAATTTACTCGAAACAAAGTCATTTAGAATGTTTTTAGAGCATAAACAGTAGTGTATAGGATTTCCTAAAAGCGCGTTCACGAGTCTACGGAAACCGCGGCAGACCAAACCAGATGAAAGTGCGCATTCAGCGTCTGCTCTGCCGATAATGCAAGCGTAAAAGAAGAAATGTGCTGTTTACCTGTGCAAAGAAAGAAACAACGAAAGAAAAATGTCTGAGGACTTCAGTGTTGAGGAAGAGCATGAGTTCTTTGCCGAGCTGAATGCGCTGGTTTGGTCTGCCGGCTTCCGTAGAATCGTGAGCGCGCTTTTAGGAAATCCTATACATTACTGTTTATGCTCTAAAAACATTCTAAATGACTTAGTTTCCAGTAAATTATGGACGCTACCCACTCAGGACACTTGGAATACATTGGACGAGCAGTATGGAGGAATATTGACACGTTTTTTGTGGACTTTTATGGACCTTTCTGCCTCGGGCACCATAGACCTCCATTATTTGAATGTCAGCAGACAGCAAGAAGCCTCCCAGATCTCCAGATGCATTTGAGATATCAAAAAAGTACTCCAGAGTGTTGTTCAGCATAGGGGTGAGTAGAAAATGAAGGCTAATCATGTTTTGAGTGTACTATTCCTTTAAGGACAAGGGACACTCATTTGAGAACCAGAATGTTCACATTTTGGACAAAGAAGACGGGTGGTTTGAAAGGGGCGTGAAGGAAGCCATTTATGTTAAAAATAAGCTACAGTGTGTAATAATTACAGGGATATACAGTCAGAAATGTAATATATTATACATAACTATGTTATTTATCATCATCTACGAGCTCAGCCTCTTAACCTTAATATTTGCGTTGCCTTAGAATTCGTTATTTATAATTACATAGGAGCGGGTCTCGCAGCCATGGAGGCAGACATCTTTGTGCTACGGCAGCGCAGAGCCAATAAACTAGCGATTGCGAGATCGCCCATTACAATAACATGCTGTGTGATGATGCTGTTACTCTCCAGTATACTTATTCAGCAACGTCCCTGACGTTTCACAGGTAATGATTCAGTAATTTTCTGTAAAATAATTTTCTGGATATATACCTCGGTTACTTCTCTCCGGCTCCTTTGGAGATCTTCATGTTGCTGCGGTCTGCAGTCTGGATGTTAGATGTCGCTGGAAAATTACACATTGTAGCTTTAAAAATAAAAAAAACAACCTTAAACAGAGGGGGTGGACTCATGTTTCAGCTTTCCAAAACCTACAATTCAGTGATAGTTTATTCCTTCCCAGTATCATTTCCACCTTCCAACCCCATGCAAGGGACACATCTCCACTGGGCAGCCAAGCCGACAATTGCCCCTAATGACCCGCCTTTCAGAGGCATAGATCAGTATCGGGTATTGCAGGCTAACAAAGAACCCATACGACTCCCAATTCCTAAGAGGCGGACCCATTCTTCTTGTTCAATTTCCATGTTTTCTAAGCCAAAAAAAGTTTTTGGGCTACTATATAAAGATACAAACTCAATTCTATTTCTGACATTTTGAATTTAAAAAGCTTTAAAAAAAAGTCCAGTGGATGGTTTTTTAGCTTATTTAGACTTACATGTGGTCATCACGGGAGTTTTTGGTGGGTCAAATTCTTACATTAGGAGGCTTTTCTTCCAAACTTATTCCTAAACGGTTTTGTTCGTCGGCATCCCAGACCCAAGGTGGACCAGTGTCCCGATGGGTGTCTCCTCCCCTGTTGGCTCACATGTCGCCTGACTCTGTCTAGAACCTGTTATCGTTCTAAATGCAAAGATTTGTCAGCATTAGTTCAGTCTTAGTTGAGTTTTCCCACTTGGTGCACTCACTGCAGGTCCGTACTCTTGCACGGATGGAAGAGGCTCGAGGTCTTTTGTGGCTGATGGAGGAGGAGGGAGTTAAGCCTGGAGGTTCAGAGGAACTGATGTTGGAGAGACTCTTCAGCTACTACAGTGCTGGTCTGGGAGAAAACAAAGGTGATCAATGATCTTTCACCTCCTCAAGGGTCCTTGAGATAAAGGAAATTGACCATACTGATCTTTCTCCCTCTTACTGCAGGAGCCAATCTGTTGCTGCGAGGGGAGAAGTCCCACCTCTTCCTTCTGGGCCACAGCCATGGAACGGACTGGGTGGAGTACAACATCCAGGGCTGGCTGGGACATGCAAAGAACAACCCTGCAGCCCAGAGCGCTGCCACTCTGCTGCAGGACTCTCAGAAGTAAGGAATGCTCATCGGGGATCCCAGCATAGTCACCAGAATAACAGAACGGACATTGCAAATTATTGAAGAAGTAAAAGCACTTTGAATTTATTTTACAATCTGGTAATGGCCTAATTTAAATGTAATATGCCAGCTTATAAAAATGTTAACTGTCAAACAAAGCTGAAAGATTGAACTTCATCTCCTTATAGTTTAATCTGCTCTCCTGAGCTGGCCTCTTCATATTTCAGTGCGTGGTGAGGTAGTTTATAAACCAAAACAAGATTATTCAAATGGAGATTATTGTTAAAAAGACAATGTAAGCTTTGTGTTTTACCTTTAGTCTCCTAATTTCTACGTCTTAGTGATGCCAACTTATTAGCACATGACAGCCATCTCTTCATCATTCTAGGAAGAACATAAGTGGTCTGTTCCTTGGCCGGTCCAGTGGCGCCACTGTGTTGTCAGGCTCCATTGCTGGTCTGGAGGGAAGCTCCCAGCTTGCCCTGCGTCGAGCCACAAGCATGAGGAAGACGTTCACCACAGGTGTTGCTGCTGTCAAGAAAAAGAGTCACTGCATCCAGGTCAAACTCCAAGTGGTGAGTGACTGACTTAGCTACCAGTTACTGGACAGAAACACATCACTGTAGCAACCATCCACGCTACAGAAAACACTTAGCCACACCTGCTAGTTACTTGCCAATAACTTCGAAAAGCCTAAGAGCAAACATTATGAAAGTGCAAAAAGGTAAAACTGTAGTGGCTTCATGTAGGAGATAAACCCATTTAAATAGAATAGTTATATCTAGGAGAGAGACATCAGTAACCACTTAAAGAGAGGACCAAGAGAATCATCTATAGAAGAACACTGAGTCACGAGCTGAGCTGATGTCTCCCTCAAGGACACTGTCACATATAAAAAAAAAAAAAATCAGGCTGTAGCAACTATGAAAGGAAAACGGAGAGAACACTTGGATAAAATTTAAAAAGTTACAAAAAATAACAAAATTGAGTAAGAGTAAAGTCAAGCAGGGTGAGGAGTCCTCCAGCAGCCTTAGGCTATAGCAGCATAACTAGAGATAGATTAGGATAACCTAAGCCTCTATATATACACTATTTATCAAAGAGGAAAGTTGTAATACAGACATTTTCAGTAGAAAAGCTCCAATTTAAATTCTCTTTTTCATAATTACTTATTGCCTCTTTAAGCCCAGTCATAACAGTAGACAGTGTGTTTGCTAAAATTAGTAAAACTAGAAGTTGGATCTGGGGGGTGTTGGCCTAGTGGTTAGAGCAGTGTGCTGGTGCTCTGAGAAGGTTGCCGGTTCCATCCAGACAGCCTGAGAAAAACCCTTAACTCCACACTGCCCCCCGGGTGCCACACAACGGCAGCCCACTGCTACCCGAGGGGATGGGTTCAGTGCAGAGTGAATTTCCCCATTATGGGACAATAAAGGGATTTAAATTTCCATAATCTTAAAAGTATACTTGTGGCATTTTGTTAAAACAGTATTCCTTAACACCTCAGTTACAGCAGACATTACTCCATTCGGAGCAACAATTTTGGTGGCGGTGTGTGCTGATGAACATCAGTCACAAAAATACCAATTTACTGGGGCCGAGTTCTTCAGTTATTGGACAATAGTGTAAGTCACAAGGATACCCAAGGACATGTGCACTTTTTACCTGGACTGGTTAAAGAGTGAGGAGAGAAAAGGTTAGGACATCTTTCCTTTTAAACTCCTATAAAGGCTCTAGTCAAGAAATGGTTAAAAAGGGGCTCCGTGTCTGACACAGTGGGCGAAAATTGTAGTGGACCATCTGATAGCCAACTGCTACCCCTGATATTTCAAAGGCTAATGCTGGATGACTGACTCCCATTCTATGTCAAGATCTTGCAGTAGTTTAGGTGTGAATAAAACATTTGTAATCTTGAGCAAAGGAAGACCTGGAATAAATGTTGGTAAGCTCCAACCTGTGACAGAACCACTGAGCCACAGTACCTGCAGCTCCTTTCACACCAGTAATCAACCACCAGTACAAACCGTGACCTCTGCTTAGTCCAATATCTTCAAGCCAACTCTTAACATCCATCTTTGTGTTTTCAGGATGCTTTGATTGACATGGTGCGTCGTTCCAAGGTTCACTTTGTTCATTGCCTGCTGCCTAAAGCAGAGGCGGTGGGGGGAAGTGAACCCCGTGTGCCGCATGGAGAGAGCTCTGACTCCGGTCTGATGACTTTAGATGTGGGCCTCCTGAGAGCTCAGCTCCGAGGATCTAAGCTGTTAGAGGCTCTACGCATCTATAGGCAAGGTAAGCAAGGGGTTCACTTCATTTGCTTCCACAGAGCTCAAACTAAAGATCACAGAGAAAGAAAAGAAAGAGTTTGGATCTTATCATTTAAAGCCTATCATGTTCTGCTGGGCATGCATGTAGCGACCGTGGAGAGAAAACTCCCCTTTAAAAAGAAGGAACCTGCAGCAAAAGCAGATGGTAAACCATCTTAATAAAACCAGTCCTCCTACATGTTGTAAAACAGATGAAAGTGTCTCCATGAACTCAACAGCCTGCAAGCTATTGGACTCTGCAGTCTTCATCTTTCATCTGATGGTTGACCTCAGCTAAAACGTTGGTAGGACAGCCCTAATTTGGACCTGCCGTTAGTATAAGGTCCTGCTGAGCCCCTGACTAAACAACCACCAAACACAAAAATATTATGCGACTTAGGTCAATAGTGGAAAAAAACAACATCTACAGACATGACTAAAGAACCAACAAAAAAGAAATGTAAGTGACAGAGGCTACGTTCACACAGCACCCTCAAGTGACCCAAATTCAATTTTTTGTTGTCCATATGTGACCTGTATCTGATCTTTTCATGGCAGTCTGAACAACATAGATCCAATTTTCTTCCAATGCGATCCGGGCCACTTGGCTATGTGGTCCTGAATCTGATACGTATCTGATTTTTATTTTTAAATGCGACCTGTGTCTGAACGGCCAGGTCACATTCATCCGACCTGAACGTCATTAATACTGAAGAAAGGTCACTATTCTGCATCTTCTACACAGAAGCGGGAAGAAAACCAACAACCATTGTGGAGGATAATGGAGAGAGCAGTATTTATGTTTAACCATCTTGGAAAGATTGAGTTTTTAAGGTTGGGAACAGTCAGGTCTAAGCACCTAAAACATCATACATACATACAGGGAAAGAAAGAAGGCACAGAGACAATTAATTTAGTTTTACTCGCGAGGAGAGTAGGAAGAGACTGCAGAGTTTACAAATCTCCAACCCACTCTGCGGTCCCAGCGTTCTCCTTGCTATTTATTGAAATCAGTGGTCCCTGGTTACAACAGCTGAGACTAAACTGGGAGGGGGAACAAGATAAGGAATTCAGACTTGCAGTCTCAGTAAACATATCCTCTAAAGCTCAGGGTTCAGTCAAACTTTAAGCTGTTGAAGCTTTTCACCAAAGTTCAGCAGGTTGAGTGCTGCTCGTAGATCAACCACAACCTCCCCAAAAGCAAATCTACAAATCACAGAATACTTCAGAAAATATGGCTATGAACACACGCACATAGCACACAGCTTTATGCATTATAACACTACACAGATACATTAATACAATTATTCTAACAGGAATGATCGCTAGGTGAGCTCCAGCAAAACCATCTGTGTTTACTTCCGTAAACACAGAGCACGCTTGCTTGTGATGTGATTGCTTCGTCTACTGCGCATACGGGACACTTGCGTTGTATGCATGCAGTTTGCAGAGGAGATCACATACAAGTCGCATATATCTGGAAATGTTAACGACAAGAAATTGGATTTCACACAAAATCGGAATCGAGGTGCGTGTTTGTTAACAAAACAGGAGGTTTCTTCTTCTACTACTAAAGCATTCTGGAAAATAAGACAGTTCTGCACATCAAATGATTTAATATGATTGAACGCTTAGTACATGTATTAAAACATCATGATAGGATCATGTTATTTCTGTCTATGTAAGCACAGACTTTGAACTTCTGGTCAACCAAGATCTAGATCGGATTGAGGAAATTTTGCGCATGTAAACAGATCTGCTGTGGGATACCACTAGCAAACAGTTTTGCATGTTAAACATGGTTATTGGTTGCCTTGTAAATTCGGGTTACATCCCAGAGTCCCAGAAGGGTTGATTGAAATTAAAGGCAGTTTTTGAAAGCAATGAATGTCATTTTTGACATTTCTATTATCAACAAAAGAGAAAATTTTAAATTAACTGGATTTGATAGGAAATGTTCAGAGATCAGATTTTTAAGCTGTATGTGTCCTAATGTTGAGCACTGACTGAGAATAAGATCACAGCACGGCCGTGTTTTGCCGTGTTTCCATGGTGACTTCTACGTGTTAGCGTGGTAAAGTGACCTTTCAGTAAAGCTTTTCTGTGTTTTTAAACTGCTGCAATAAAGCAGGTTTACCATGAAAATGAAAGGTTGCTCTAATGAAGGCTGATGTGTTTCCCTCCAGGCTACCCAGAGCATATGGTGTTCTCAGAGTTCCGCAGACGCTTTGATGTCCTCGCACCACAACCAACCAAAAAACATGGCCGCAACCACATCGTCCCAGACGAGAAAAGAGTGAGTCTATAGGCATTCCTCTATGCTGTACACCTGCTGGGCTCTAAATAGAGCCTCTGCAGTAGGGATGGGAATCGAAAACCGGTTCCTGTTAAGAACCGGTTCCGTATTTTCCGATTCCATGGCATCGTTTGGCAGCTCACTGAACGATTCTTTTTTCGATTCCCGCAGCACCAGAGCCTAGAGCGCCGGCTCTGGGGAGCACGACTTACGTCACGTTTTTTACGTAAGTTACGTACGTTACGCAAGTTACGCAAATTACGCAAGTTGGAAGAACTATTCGAGGAGGAAGACAACGAGCTGCGGTCACTTTGTGAATCAAAGCCCCGTCTTTCCTTAGCCCAGAGGGTAGATCAGGAAATCCAGCTCTATAAAAGCTTGCCCTCCATCCCCTGCAGGGATAGCGCCACACTGTGGTGGTGGAACAAGCAAGATACGCTGCCCTTGCTATCTGACTGGCTGAAAACTACCTCTGTGTGCAGGCTTCCTCCACCCCATCTGAGAGGGTGTTCTCCACGGCTGGAGACACCATAAGCCCTGAAAGATCCCGTATCCTTCCAGAAAAAGCAGATATGCTCATCTTTCTGCAAAAGAACTGTTAATTTTCCCTACTACTGTTTTATAATTAGTATTTTTTGTTATTTAAAATAGGTTATTATCCCATCATTTGTTATTAGACATTGTTGGTTATTAAGTTTGTTCTTGTATATTTATTTTTCATTTAAACACAGATGTTACTCCAGTTTCACATTTCCTGTGGACATCTTGATCTTGTTGAGTTTGTAAGATTGTGCAATAGTTAAGTAAACAAAGTTGATTCTGATAATCAAACTGTTTGTTCTCCTTTTTCCCCCAAATTGGAATCGAAATAAGAATCGATAAAGAATCGAATCCTTTCATAGAATCGAAAAGGGAATCGGAATCGTGAAAATCTTTTCAATTCCCAACCCTACTCTGCAGGCCCGTTTTCTGCAAGTATTAGCGGTGGTAATCAGTCCCAAACTGCTGCCTGGTCAGCAGGGTTTTAGCAAACAGCATGGCAGCAGCTACAGCCAACCTTCCTCGTTGACTGACAGGTCTTTAGCTTATTCTTTTATTGAGCTTAAAGGGATAGTACACCCAAAACATGATTAGCCTTCATTTTGTACTCACCCCCATGCTGAACAACACTCTGGAGTACTTTTTTGATATCTCAAATGCATCTGGAGATCTGGGAGGCTTCTTGCTGTCTGCTGACATTCAAATAATGGAGGTCTACGGTGCCCGAGACAGAAAGGTCCATAAAAGTCCACAAAAACGTGTCAATATTCCTCCATACTGCTCGTCCAATGTATTCCAAGTGTCCTGAGTGGGTAGCATCCAGAATTTACTCGAAACGAAGTCATTTAGAATGTTTTTAGAGCATAAACAGTAGTGTATAGGATTTCCTGAAAGCGCACGCCAGCGCGTTCAGGACGCTACGGAAGCCAGCAGACCAAACCAGATGAAAGTGCGCATTCAGCGTCTGCTCTGCTGATAATGCAAGCGTAGAAGAAGAAATGTGCTGTTTACCTGTGCAAAGAAAGAAACAACGAAAGAAAAATGTCTGAGGACTTCAGTGTTGAGGAAGAGCATGAGTTCTTTGCCGAGCTGAATGCGCACTTTCATCTGGTTTGGTCTGCCGCGGTTTCCGTAGACTCGTGAACGCGCTTTTAGGAAATACTATACACTACTGTTTATGCTCTAAAAACATTCTAAATTACTTTGTTTCGAGTAAATTCTGGATGCTACCCACTCAGGACACTTGGAATACATTGGACGAGCAGCATGGAGGAATATTGACACGTTTTTGTGGACTTTTATGGACCTTTCTGTCTCGGGCACAATAGACCTCCATTATTTGAATGTCAGCAGACAGCAAGAAGCCTCCCAGATCTCCAGATGCATTTGAGATATCAAAAATGTACTCCAGAGTGTTGTTTAGCATGGGGGTGAGTAGAAAATGAAGGCTAATCATGTTTTGGGTGTACTATTCCTTTAAATATCAGAGCATCTTCACAGAATGAAGCACAATAATTCTGTCAGTATTTAGCTCTAACCTGAGTTAGCAGGAAGAACAATAGAATATTATCCTCCACAGATTCTGAAATGGTAACAAGAAGAAAACAATGAACTATATTCAGAGAAAGTTGAGTGAACGGAATGCTAAAAAGCTGCAGCAACCTGAGACTGAGTTTGGTAAAAAAGAACAGAAGCAAACAAAACATTTCCCCGCTCTTGATGTGTACTAGATGTAATTAATTAATCTGAGCTTTTGGTCAGGAATAAGTTGAACAAAGTGACATCTTGCACACATTAAGTGTGGAGAAATCTTTAGTTTCCTGAAGTTTTATTCTGAGAAAATGTTTGCATAAAACTAGAGGAGGTCTGATCATTAAAACCAAACTGTACAGTTGGAGTTCTAGACCAATTTTATGTCAATTCCATGTAACATAAAAGCAGCTTCTACCAGATCCCATAAAGAAGCTTTCTTTTATTCATACATTTTCTTAAACCTTAATTTGTTCTTAAACGGAACTGAGCTGAAACTCAGCCTATGGCGTGAGTGAGAAATTTAGGCATCTTCTGACTGACTGTCCTGCTTCTCTTTAGGCAGTGGAAGAGTTGCTGGAATCCCTGGAGTTGGAGAAGAGCAGCTTCCACATGGGGCTGAGCAAGGTGAGTAAATCAGACGCAGGCTCATCTCTTCCTGACAGTTTGGTTTAAAAACTCTCTTATGTATTATTTATTTTTGGCAAACCTTTCATTCCACTCTACTGTTTTCACCCTAAGTCCCTTTTATTGATGAAGTAACTGACCAGCAGGTATATTTCAGACGGCTTTATCTGTTTGGGCCTGTTAAACTCGAATCTGTTCCAAATTCAGATGCAGTAAACCGACTCTAGGCTGTCATTAACCCTTAAAGCCCGATCCAAGAATAAAACAAAACAGAAAATTACTTTTTTTTTTGGTTTGAACTCCTTATTTGCCCTTTTACCAAAATATGTAAAAAGAAAAAACAGAAATTAATTTTTGATATTAATAATTTATTACTATGCGATAAGTCAAGATTATTTTTTGTGTAGTCTTCTGCCCTCTGTTGTCAGGTATATCTGATTGTGTACAATAGGATTTTGAGCAAAGTTTTTACCATTAAATTATGCAAAAGGTGTCAGATGCAAAACATTTCAGAAACTGTATGTATCAAATACGATACATTTGGCATTATAGGGTTAAGGATGGATTATTCACACCACATCCATTGAACCTGCTTAGGACCCTTTTCTCCCTGAATCCTGATCAAATTCACTCTGAATGTCAGGGCTGTTCTTGCTGCCCCTTTTTTTTTCTAAAAACACGTTGCTGGTCATTTGGAGAAGACGGCTTCATTTAGGCTGTTTTTGCTCTGAGGCACCTTGCAAAATATCTGCTGGCAGCTAAAACTGTCTGTATGTTCCTACATCATGGCTGGGAGTTGCTCTGGGTCCAGGCGTTCTCTCCTCTGAGTAAAGACTGATGCTATGTTCAGACCACAAGTACAAGTTTAGTTCTGACATGCGGCTGAAGCATCTTTGCTGCTCTAGTCGAAAAGTGGGTCTGATGTGCCTTGGATGAGCTATCCTATCTTTGCCCGTAACAATGGCAGCTACATTTGCTGTGATCAGTGGGTAAACGGTTGTTTTAAAATGTTTTTAAGTGAGAAATCCATCTGAAAACTTCATCTGTGCAGTCAGTTCATCAAGATTATGATCCTGCCTTCAAATATTATGTTGCTGTTGAAGCCGCTCAGACCCCCGTACACCTGCTGTGCGCTGTCACTGGGAATCCTGTTCAACGGCAGCCTCTGGCCCGGTCGCCTCTTCGCGGTCAGGCTCCAGAATAATAAAAGTAAACATATTTTGCCTGCAGGTTTTGACATTTTTAGAGCGACCGTAGCGCTCTGCGTCAGCAGTGCTGTGTCCGTCTCCCTGCCAGATGCCAAATCAGTTTCTCTGATTGGTTGATGTGGCATGCCGAGCAGCAAAAGGTCTATTTTTCCAACTTCAGCAGCTGCTGCTTCTGAAGTGCGTCACGTTTCAGATGCTCAGAAGCTTATTATGCGCTAATCCTGCTGCTTAAACGCTGCAGGACCCTTTGCTGCACCTTGATGTGCATCAACCGTTGACTTTGCATGTAAACTAGCTGCGTCTGCTGCCTCTGCTGCTTGCAGAGGTTCTGAACGTAGCATGAGACTCAACCTTTGCTAGTGTTCTGCCTTAATGTGCGTATTTCTCTCTGATTTTTAGTCTAATCTTCTTTTTGTATTTCTAATAACAGGATTTTTTTTAAGTTTAAAAACACAAACAGGTCAAAGATTAATGTTACATTTCAATGCTGAAAAAAAAAAACAGTTTGTTGTAAATGTGATATGATTACCCGTGATTGATAATATTGATGTTTCTAAATGAGACACAGACCTGTCTGTTCAGTACTTGGGTTGTTCGGTCTTTTGTGGCGTCATGATGTGCTTCCTCTTTTTCATTGTTTTCATCAGACCAACATGGAAGCACCCTTCAGACTTGTAGGATTGAGAAACACAAGCAGCCATGATGCTAAAAACATTCAAATAAAAAGTTAAACATGTAGAAACAGCACAACTTTCCTTTTTTATAAGCTTTTATTTCAACATTAATATAATCTGTTTATCGTTTGATGAATGTTTCATGGCTCTCGTTCACTGAAAGGACATAAAGGGGATCTGCAGGTTTTGTAGTAGAGCAACCCTTCCTGTTTGCCTTTGTTCCCGTCTCTACCTGAAACCCTCTCTGTCCTGCAGGTCTTTTTCCGAGCGGGGACTCTGTCCCGTCTGGAGGAGCAGCGCGATGTCCAGACCAGGAATAACATCTCGCTGTTCCAGGCTGCCTGCAGAGGCTATCTGGCCAGACAAGCATTCAAAAAGAGGAAGGTAAGTTCCCTGATGGCGGATTCACTGTCCTCTGTATAACGACTCTTCATGAATATCTGACAATATAAGCTGGTTGTCAGGGTTAAATGATAATAACCCCTTATTGCCCTAGAAATAACCAACACAAACAGACACGTTACTTTCCTGCAGAAGAGAAGATAAGAAACAGAAAATGTTCTCTCCCTGAGTCGTCTGTGGTCAACTCTGCTGGGACCTCTCTGTCCCCTGACTTTGTCAGATTTCAAAGGAGTAACAGGAGGGGTCGGATGTTTACACATTCAAAAAGGGGGTGCAGGTTTATTCCTGTTGGTTATCAATCACCTGCATCAGCATAGCTGGATAAGAACAGGTCCTGGCCCCCGCATCCCCAACATCACAGGAGAAAACGTGGAGGAGCTTCACTATTTGCTGCACAGTTAGGGTTTAATTCTGATGTCTACCATGCTATACCCTGAACCTTTGTGGGCCTTTTGATTCTGTTTACAGATCCAAAATCTCGCCATCCGCTGCATCCAGAAGAACATCAAAAAGAACCGCGGCGTGAAGGACTGGCCATGGTGGAAGCTCTTCACCACCGTTAGACCTTTGATAGAAGTGCAGCTCACTGAGGAGCAGATCCGCGGGAAGGATGTGAGTGTGTCGTACCTACAGAACCAGTGTGCATGGGTTTGGGTTAGGGATATCTTCTGCAGTAATAGAACAAAAATACCCTGAAAATTCCTGATGTTTCATTAAAACACATTTTATTCTGCGTCTTTTTTATTTATGACCTTTCTCTACGTCTTCATCTGAATGCTGAGCTAAAAACCAGCCAGACCTGCTTCTGTCATGACGCCTGTCTGTTTTCTCTCAGGAGGAGATCCAGCAGCTGAAACAGAGGCTAGAAAAGGTGGAAAAGGAGAGGAACGAACTGCGGCTCAACAGTGACCGGCTGGAGAGCAGGGTGACTTAACAACTCCCCACACATCTGAAGGGTTCTGATGATAAATGATTGAGTTTGAAGTTGCTCAGGTTGTAGAAACAGGCGCTGGTTCTAAGCTCACAAACAACTCAATGTGGTGGAATGAGTCTAGTTACCGTAGTGTTACCTGTACCAAAAGCTAACAGGTTGGTAGCTAACCTGTTAGCTACTAAACACAGCTAGCCACAGCTCTCACCCTTTATATAGGCCATTTCTCAATATGTGTACTTGTGCGTTTTCATGTGATCGTGTACTCGTGAAACGTAATCAGCCTCAGCCCTAGTACTGTTCCAATTCACAAGAACAAGAAGACCGAGAACGGCTCCTGGATGTTGTTCTCACCCCTCCCTCTTTACCCAGCATGGATCAGAGCAGACTTGTCCATTCTTGAGATTGACAGCTGTCCCATCATGCACTGCGGCAGCAGCAGCTTCCAGTGGAGCGCTCACACAGCTGTGTTAAGATAACTTTTCTGTTGCTGTTTTAAGATCATTTCTAGGAGTGCACACTGTACTTTAAGCTTCACTATATGGCCTATTTACCGATTTAATGCTTAATAAAAAAAAAAAAATCTGAAGTTGAGAGGAGCGCGGCAACCAGTGGAGCTCAGAGGGTAGCCACAGCCAGGGCTAATCCTAGCACGTCTGCAGCAGCCCTCTTTTAGCATAGCCGTGTGTGAAGGGCCGCTGCCTCTGATTATGATTTTTTTGTTTTATTTGGCAAAATCTTCATTTGATTTATGTTTATCTGACTGTGTTAACTGTTATTCCCCCAATTAATGAAAAAAGTAAGAATTTATTATCTAGAGACTATTAATAACATGAGGTGAAATGCAGCTCCAGATGAGCTGAGCGTGTGGTGATGTCATCAGTACGTGTCTGTTCCTATTGACCCATATTTACGCTGCGTGCTCCCGTTCTCCCGCAGTCCAGACTTTCCTGTGTTCTTCTCAAGAACATTCTTGGCGAGATCTAGCAGTTACTTTGTGCACCATAAACATATTTTTTTAGTTTTGATATCACGTAAAACTTCATCCATCATTAGACACGCTAACAGATGCTCCCGACTCAAACTCAGTCACCTGATTTACCGACTGACCAAGAAATGTGTCAGTCATCGCCATAAAGTGGAGGAGAAACTATTTTGTGGAGGATGGTGATTAATAATTATAATTAATAATAATTATTTAGCTTCTTCTCTGTAAGACTAATGGATAGTGAAACATTAGGGTCAGAGGTCATGCAGGTTAGAATTGTTTCATTACAGCTTATTCTGTCCTCAAGTTTAACCCTATTTAACAAACAAATCTAGTTGATTGACTGGCAGCAGGTTGGTGAAATGATCCAGAGTTTTGAGGTTTGTTTAAAACTTACTTTCTGCTTCATGTTCTAGTTTATAAGCTTGGTTCAGATTAGATTCCGGTGCTTTTAGAGGAGCAGAGTGGAACAAAAACAAATGTTGGACCATCAGTGTGAGACCGTCTGTCCCTTCAGGTCACAGAGCTGTCCACAGAGCTGACTGATGAGAGGAATACGGGTGAGTCTGCTTCCCAGCTGCTGGAGGCCGAGACCTCTGAAAGGCTGCGTCTGGAAAAGGACATGAAAGACCTGCAGGTAGAACCTATCAGCTGCTTTCGTCCTCTGCTGTTTTTTGTTTGGGTTGTCATGGTAACAGCTGCTCTGCTCTGTCCAAAAAGACCAAGTTTGACGGCATGAAGAAGCAGATGGAGTCCATGGAGATGGAGGTCATGGAGGCCCGGCTCATCAGGGCTTCCGAGCTGAATGGAGAGTTGGATGATGATGACACAGGTCAGATGACGTTTCCACAGCAACACACAGTTACTCAGCTCCTACCTACCTACTTCTGGACAGATTCCATCTCTACTAAAGGCTGTATGACACCACAATTAAAACACCTGAAGTTCTGAAGGCTATTTTTTTTCCTTGTCAAAATAAACATTTCAAACCAAATTACATTCTTTATATCTAGAATCAACATTCTGGATGTGTAGAAATTAACTTATGCTCCACTAATCTGGAACAAACTCCCAGTAAACTTTAAAAGTGCTGAAACCAAGCCTGGCCAGCCAGACCGACCGGACGTATCCACAGAATATCTGGTAAAGAGGTGGTAGAGCTCAGTTTCCATTAGGGCTGCGACTGAAAGTTATTTTGCAAATTGATTAATCTGTCGAGGATTTTTTGAATCGATTAATAATCGGATAGGAACAGGTTCCTTAAAGAAGACAGTTTAAAAAACATTAAGCCAGGTGAAACTAAAACAACAGCCACTCTGCATTATGGCATGTATACAAAAACAAGTGGAAACTGGGCAGTTAGATACCAAGGTTAAAAGCTCTTCTTCAGTTCAGCATTAAATATAATGTGAGAATCCCGGTTGCAGGTAACCATGCGTCGCTTCATTTCCAATTCAGACTAGATGCTTCTGTTTTTGCCAGTTTTTGTGGGTCCAGATAGAATCAGTTTGACTATTCCAGCTAAAGAGGCGTTCTGTGAATGTGTTTGTGAAACAGGAGGAGAGTGGCGGCTGAAGTATGAGCGAGCCATCAGGGAGATCGAGTTCACCAAGAAGCGACTGCAGCAAGAGTTTGATGACAAGCTGGAGGTTGAACAACAGAACAAGCGGCAGCTGGAGAGGCGGGTGAGTGGACACCTTGGTTTGCTGAGGCTGGTGTGTCCAGTTTCTAGCATTTTAGTATCCGATGAAACCCGTCTGCCTTCTTCCATCCAGAGACTGATGATCCAGGCGGCAGCCTTCGGCTCATAACTCTTCTCTAATTCAGGTTTCTTTAATACAGTCGGTGTTGAACACATTTCAAGATCTCTAAAGGCAAATAAAGCAGAAGTATCAAGCTGCTGTTGGTCAAATACATAAACCTGAAAAGGTCCAGACACAGTAATATCATGAGACATTTATGTGACAGATTTAGGGCTTTTCTGGAAGTTTCCTCTACTCCTGATGAGGGGTGAGTCTAGTGGAAAACCATAGGATTGATTGGCCATTTCAGCAGGAAAAAAGCATTGACTTTTTCACATTTAAACAGGTTGCAGACCGACTTTTATACTGTCAGGGGTTTGGCTAAGTGGTTTAGGTCAGGTTTCTGTGGGATTTTGCTGGTAGGCTTCCACTGCTGCTCTGCAGTTTGGAGCAAAAGTTGAAAGAGAGGATGTTCCTATCCGATTAAATACAGTTTATTACTGCAGCACCAATTCTCAACACTTGTCATCTTAAGACGCTTTTAAGAGACAATTTAAGTTTTCTCTAAGTTTTCTATCTAAGGAAAACCAGCTGATTGCATCAAATCATGCAGGATCCTCTCCTCCTGGATGAGCAGGCAGATACAGTAGATATTCACTTGGATTGTGGCATTGACTCTACAGCAATCTCTTATACAGGGCAAGCATGCAGCGACAGTAGAGAGGAAAAAAACTTCCGTTTAACAGGAAGAAGCACAACAACTTCAGCCAAGGCCGACTGGGGTTCAAGGATACAGAAACAGAAACATTGATTGATACTTAAGCAGGAATGGCTGATCTGGAACACTGCTTTTATATTAAAAGACTTTCACAACTTTTATTGTCGTTTTGTATACACAGAGTGTATACAAAATGTCTGATAACTGAGCTTTTATTCTAACTGGTACTGGGAATAAATGGTTTATGGGTGTGTTTCCCTGTTTTAATTGGGATGTTAAATAAGGTTTATAGGAGTTGGATGGATATTGATTCGATGGGTTTGATGTTCCTTGTTTCTGGTTAATCCACTGTTTCGCTATTTTTAAAAGGGGATACATCTTGCCGTTAATCTAAAAAGTCACTGGCTGCAATCAGCAATGACCTTTAGGATATTAAAGCTGGGATGATTTTTTTATATCAGCTTTTATATCAGAAAAGATTGGTTGCTTGGTTTAGTTTTTTTCTTTTTCTTCAGAAAATACTGCCCTCTAGTGGCTGGATGGAATCCCTTAGTGCTTGTCAGATATAATGGCAAGAAAGACATGCTGTGACTTATTTTATTTGGGTTTCTTTACTCGCTTTTTTTTTTTATTTTTTTTTATTTTATAAAAGTTCAGAGAATTTTAGGTCTACATGTTCTGCTGTTAGGGTTTTGGCAAAAACAAAACTTCCAAAATTAGTGGAAGTTCAAATATTGATAGAAATCTCTATTTTCTTTTGTGTGTTCTTACAGATCAGTGACCTGCAGGCTGACATTGAGGAGTCTCAGCGAAATATTCAGCAGTTGAAGAAGAAGAATCAGCGGCTGATAGCTGAGCTGCAGGACACCAAGCTTCACCTGGAGGGCCAACAGAGCCGGAACCATGACCTGGAGAAAAAGCAGAGAAAGTGTGTTCACACGTCAAGCTTAACTGACAGCATCTGAGTTGATTTCTGCTTTAGTTTTTGGCCTTGCTGATATCAGTCCAAGCTTCTGTGTTCTGATCCGGTTCAATGACTTTTGGTAGGTTTGACAGTGAGCTGAGTGCAGCTCAAGATGAGGCACAGAGGGAGAGGAGCCTGAGGGAGAAGCTAGCTCGGGAGAAGGACATGCAGAGTGGAGATTGCTTCAGCCTCAGACAGCAGCTGGAGGTGAGTGTCCTCCTGTGCCCCCCCATTCAGCAAAGATACTGCTACATGGCTGGACATCTGATATTGCAATTTCACCAATTAGATGAGCCCTTGAATGATATATTACCTAAAAAAGTTAACAAGCCAAGAAGAAAAAAGCTAATTTAAAAGTTCAAAAGTAAAGTTCAAAAGTTAATAAGCCTAGATAACAATTATATTTAGGTTTGTAAACTAAAAATGTCAGTGCCAGTATCAGCATTAATGCCTGTAAGTTTATGTTGTACTAAAAAAATGTGTTTCTTTCACTCTCAGAGTGTTTTTCATGAATTTCTTATAGAAGCGCTTTTGTTATTCAGGCAAGTTGGCGTTTCTTGTTATTACATTGACATTAATTCACAGTCTGACTTCCTTCTTCACTGAAACTTTGCTCGAGCTTCCGTCATTACGTTTAGCCTCTCACTTCCTCTTCCTGTTTCACTCAGTGCTTGACGTTGTCTCACTGGCTGTTTGTGTCTCGTAGGATAAGGACCTTGAATTGCGCACCGTCCAATTAAAGCTCGACCAGTTTGAAGCAGAGCTGCAGGATCTGAACTCCCAGGAATCCAAGGATGAAGCATCTCTAGCTAAGGTCTTTGTTTTTCTTGGATTGATCCACAGAGAAAGTCTTTGTTCGGATGTTTACCTTAGTTGATCTGTGACTGTAAACGCTGTGATTCAGATGAAAAAGCAGCTTCGTGACATGGAAGCAAAGATCAAAGACCAGGAGGAAGAGCTGGATGAGCAAGCCGGGACCATCCAGATGTTGGAGCAGGTAGAGATGGGCTTTCTTTTCTTAATCAAACAGGGCAGCTCTGTTGTCATGCTAGCAGTTGTCTCACACATGCTGTGTTGCAAACAGACCAGGTTCTCATCCTCTGGACTGGATGTATTGATGTGAATCTTTACAGGTCGGAGGGGAGCTGCTGATCTGCTGATGCTTTTCAGGTTTTCCACATTGTGTTTGATGATTGATCTGTTTCAGGCTAAACTACGGCTGGAGATGGAGATGGAACGTTTGCGTCATACTCATTTTAAGGAGATCGAAAGCAAAGACGACGAGGTGGAGGAGATCAGACAGTCTTACAGTAAAAAGGTCAGAATTTATTTTCTTTGTTTATTTATTTTTTTCTTTATTAATAATTAATAACATATTTTCATGCTTGAAAGAAAAAGCTTCCCTTCATGGCCAGAGAAGAGTAAAGAGAGAAGATAACAAGCTGTGAGCAGAGGGGAGTCCATGCCTACACTGATTTAAACCTAAAGCCGGGCATACACTGTGCCATATTTTCAGTCGTTACACACAACTACAACTTAAACTGTACAACGAAACCGCAGAGTTGTGCGACCCGATTCTCTGATGCAATCTACCTTCTCACACTGCACGTCCGAAAACCACACGTCGGACTGATCGGCAAGCGATGGTGCTGGTCCGACTCGTCAATCTGGAAGAAGAAGAAGAAAAACTCTTCTGATAAATCAGCTTGTAGCTCTGCTTCAACAGCAGGATTTTCCACGAACGGCTCGCGACGGCCGACTGAATTTCAAACATATTTGATTTTCTCCCGACCTCAGGATTCCTGACCGGGAGGTCGTCATCAGAGGCTGATTGCCCATCATTACCCCCTGTACACTACACAACGCATGACGTACGATCAGACTGAATGTCGGCCGTTTGAAAAAATTCTCGCACGACTGGAAGAAAAGAAGAATCGGCAAGAAAAGGGCTAAGAATCGTACAGTGTACGCCCTCTGCTGGTGCATCTTTTCTGCATTTCCTCCAGCTTAAATACCATGTGTAGATTTCTCTCTCTAGTCTGCAGATGGTGGCTTAGAGCAGGAAATCATCTCAGTTTATGTTAATTTTCCTACTTTTAGTCTGTTTCATAAACCTCGAGAGCTTAATCTATCTCATCTTTAACTGATGTTTGGAAATGCAAACCTATTTAGACACAATAGGAAGCTGCAGTCCAACAGTATGAGTGATTGATTACTCGACCCAGACCACTGGCAGAGACACTTGGATCCTGGCTCTGGGCCTCGTCCTGTAGACGATAGCAGTGGAAACATTTACCATGACGAGGTGGATGAGAAGTTCTCTCATAGAACAGTCCTGCTTTACTGAACCCGTTAGGTCTTCAAACGTCAGGTCAGAATCATGCTGTGTTTCTGCTATTTCCACTAAAATAGAGCTTTTATAGCCCTTTAGCCACAGCTTCCATATAAATAAAGAGGGGGCTGATTTTAACCAATGCAGAAATGGTGTGAGAAACGCTAGCTGTAGCCCTGCGCACTAGACGCCATCTTTTCAAAGCAGAAGCACCCCTTCTAGATATAGATGGTTACACTTTGTCATGCTGGAGGCATCTAGACCCCAACAGGAGGGCTTGGAGAGTCCATCAATGTCAGACATAGAGAAACAAGGATCCTGCTTTCATGGTGTGTTTTATGTGTGTGTAGCTGAAGCAAATGGAGGTCCAGCTTGAAGAGGAGTACGATGAAAAGCAGAAGGTGCTGAAGGAGAAGAGAGAGCTGGAGGCAAAGCTCCTTTCTGCACAAAGCAAGGTAAGAGCACTTTTGGGTGTACTATTCCTTTAAGGCTCAAATTTCTACATAAACCTGGACGAATGAATGCATCTTCACATCATAGGAGGTCCTGGACGTGATTGGAGCTTCAGTGTTTTTTTAGTGCTTATTTGAGGTGCTGCAGAACCTCCTGAAAGTGACTCAGAACCACAGAAACCCTCAGTGATGCTGATTTAAACCAGCATGTCACAGACTGGTGCCCATTAGTTGGTAAAATTTAAAGAGCTGAAAGCATTGATGAGTTATTTTTTACAAGCTGTAGTTCTGGCGTTTCCAGTTTCCTGCAGAACGCCACGAACACGCCTGTGTGTAACTGCAGCGTTTGAGGAACATTCACAACAAGACTCGTTTTAATCCCACTTCACTCATGTTACTGCCACCATAACGTCTCACATTTGTTCAATTTACCAAGACCAAAACTTGAGTGCGATTTGGAAAGGGCTTTTTTTTTTATTAGGATTTATATTGAAAATGCAATTAGTTGTTCAACACAAGTGTAATTGAAACTCAAAAGGGAGGGAGAAATGTACTGGTTGGATCAGACTTAAACTGATGTTCTTAGACTACAGTTACACTGAAAAGCTCATTAAGATTCACTTTATAAACTCAGCTGCACCACTTTCTAAATTAAACATGTTGGTTGCAGAGTCATGCTTTGGGACAGGATTGCTAGTCAGAGCTGATGGGAAGAGGGATGGAGCTAAACCCTGGAACATCGCTGAAAGAAAACCAGCATAAAGCTGCAGAGGAGCTGAGAAATTTACCTTCCAGCAGGACAACGGCCCTGAACATCCGGCATGATTTACAGCTGATAGTTTATATTAAACCATTAGAAAAGATTTATATGAAATATTAAAAAAACAACAGATATAGATCCAAGCACAAAGTTTCGTCCACAGATGCGGAGTCTTTCCCGTTTAAATTAGCTGTTTTGCTGCATTTTTACATCTTGATTTTCAGAGCTGTCCAGATTTGTTTAAAAAAACAGACCCTCTCTCTTCCACTTATCGATGCTGCAGCTTTTTCAGTGATTTATCACTCAAATCTCTATCAAACACATTGGGGCTTTATATGATGTGAAAAGATTGGAAAGACGTGTGTGAATAAACAATCGATCACATTAATATCATGCTATTAAGATTCTTCGGTTGGTTTTGAAACATGAAGAGTGTCTGATTATTCCTCTCTGCCCAGGTGACCCATTGTGATGTAGAGACTGAGAAGCGCCTGAAGAAGGACTTAAAGAGGACCAAGGCACTACTGGCTGATGCCCAGATCATGTTGGACCACATAAAGAACAATGCGCCCAGTAAGAGAGAGATCGCCCAGCTGAAAAATCAGGTACATAGCAGGTTTTCCACATGCATATGTTTTTACTCTTGAAATTTCTGATTTGTAAGAAAACATTTTCAAATGTAATTCCATATGATATCAAAATGTTTTTGGAGGAAAAATACCAGAATACACCAGTAAAAGACTCAGTTCGGTGGTTAGCCTACATCTCAAACATGGCTTTTTCTCTGTTACAGCTGGAAGAGTCAGAGTTCACCTGTGCAGCTGCAGTAAAAGCTCGTAAATCCATGGAGGTGGAGATTGAAGACCTACATGTCCAGATGGAGGATATCTCTAAAGCCAAACAAATGGTGGGGATGCTTCTCTGCATCATTTACAAGCACTCTGAGCTTAAGGATGACGGAACAGATGCATTTATAAACTACATGACCACTTCATTCATTCATTGTCTAAAATCAAGTAGACGAGGGAAACCCAGACACCCCTGTTACTATCAGCACTCCTACACTCATACTGGCAGAGTCTAAGCTGTTGCAAAGCAACATTACTGTTTTCTGTCCTGATACAAAACTTTTTTGGATCATCTTAGGAGCAGAACTAAATATGACTACAATGAGCAGACTGCTGTTCACCGATTGGCCATTGCCTAATCCACCATATGTTGGCGGTGGAGAGAATGAAAAGCCACAGACTTATCTACGCAACACTTTAGATAAAGATCAATTATTATTGAGGAGAGAAACACAGCTAAACAGAAAATCCCTAAACAAGGAGGAAAATCGGTGGCATGACAAAAAACATGACGATAAAAACTGAAATAACTACAAATATTTCAAAATTAGAGTAGCATGGGAAAGTAGGAGAGTGAGGAAAAGTGGGATTCATGTCTTCCAGCAGCCTAAGCATATAGCAGCATGATTGTAGAGATGGCTCAGGATAACCTGAGTAACGTTTAAGCTTTATGAAAAAGGAACCATTAAGCCTAATCAGGTGTCTGGCACACATTAGAGCTCGGAGTTGGTTCTACTGGAGAGGAGGTTGATAACTAAATGATCTGCCTCCTATTCTACTTTTAGAAGTTGTAGGAACCAATAGTACCATATTTTCATGACCATAAGGCGCACCGTACTAAAAGGCGCAGTCTCAGTTATGTGTGCCATTATTGTATTTAACACACACATAAGGCGCACCGGACTATAGGGCGCGGGTTTTATATACAGGTACATATCCTCTACTACGTTTAAATACCTCTACTGCGTATTTAAAAATAGAGCGGGAGCAAAACTGAGTATGTTTGTCTCACGGCCAGCTCCCAGGTTTGATTAATACTTCGTAATAAATACATGAATAAAGCAGAGACACATCGCTGATGACACAGAGCGCTGTGATCACTCCTCTGAAACAGTTTATTGACGCATAAATTAACTTAAAATGCAGAAATCTGCCGGCAGAATATGTTCGCTTTTATTATCCTGGTGCCTGCAGTTTAGATTATTTAGATGAAAAACACCTACATGCCGCCGCGGTGAACCGCGAGGAGGCGACCCGGCCAGAGGCTGCTGTGGAATGGGATTCCTACTGACAGTGCACCGCTGGTATGTGGGGGTCTGAGCGGCTCCGACAGAAATAATTCGAATGCAGGATTGTAATCTGGATGAACTGACTGCACAGATTATTTTTTTTCAGGTGGACTTTCTCACTTAAAAACATATTAAAACTACTTTATTCCCACTGATCACAGCAAATATAGCTGCAAGGCAAAGAAAGGATAGAGTAGCTCCGCCCAACGCGCGTCAGACACACTTTTGCACCGCGCAGCCAGAGCAGCAAAGCTGCTTCAGCCGCGCGTCAGAACTAACTGGTACAAGCAGCAAAAATAAAGCAGCAGACGCGTGAAAGCAGCCTTACTTTGAACGGCCGGTTCACACCGATGTCGAGCGGTTGAAGTTCCTTTGTCAGACCTCCCGGAATAACAGCGAGCACAGCGTTCATTTGTTTCACCATGTTTTTCACATCGGCTGTGAGATGGGCACGCATGGAGTCACAGATTAACAGCGATGGTGATGCTTGGAAAAAACCACCTGGTCTCCTTACATTTACCTCCCTCAGCCACTCTTTCATCATCTCCTCAATGAGGAGATGAGGAGTTCTGCATAAAGCAAATACCTGTTCTTTTAAACACAATCCACGCCCACACTTCCCCCTTTAACATTCTCATGGTGGTCTCAAACGTCCGCAGTAACAACGCACATAGGGCGCACCGCACATTTTGAGGGGAAAAAAAGACGTTTATATGCACCTTATAGTCGTGAAAATATGGTATTTTTATGTTTATGCATTCAGAAGATGCTTTTATCCAAAGAGACTTACAAAGTAGGCAGAATTTTACAGTTACCATCAATATGAAGGTAAGCTCTCTAGAGGAAAATCCGTTGTCAGAATCAGTGGTGACAGCAGAAAGAGTAGTAGATGGTTACTGAGGTAGGGGTAAGATTTAGGATAAGAGATGCTCTTTGAAGAAGTTGTTAAACCTACTATTTGGGATTTAAGTAGATAAGTAAACATGGGCAAGTTGCGAAGCTGATACTGATTTAATCAACAGTAAGACCAGCATGTTTCCTCTAAGACCTGCTTTTAACCCCTTGAACCCTACGGACCCACCGGCGGGTCCAGCTGCTACATGACCTCGTAGTTTTACCAAACCCCCAGTATTGATGTAAAAAACACATTTGGCACAGTTTGGTGACATTTATGGATAAATGTGCCAAAATGGCCTCTCCGCCTAAGAAATTTCTCACTAATACCATTCTAAAATAAATATGATTCATCTGATTGAGTCCAAATTTGGTTTATTTTTACACAACATTTAGATTTGAAAGTCTGTACTACTTTTTTGTGCTATAAATAATATTTTGGTAGTGTTTTGCAATGTTTATTTCAAAGAAAATTTTGGCGAGGTTCAAAAAATGCAAAATATTTTGTATTTTGTCCCTAATATTTCAGGCAGGGTCAAAGCTACAATGGTGCTGACACCAGAAAACCATTCATGACATCTTACCTTTACAGACGTACCAAAAGTTTCTTCTTAAATCTAATAGCTTTGAGGCTATAAGTTGTTTACTTTTGTGTGTTTTTGTCAGGCAGAAATTTATTTATACCCCTTAGGGTGTAAGAGGTTAACGCATTTATTTATATTTCCAACTGTTGCAGCTTCACTAGCTGATTAATGCAAAGTGTTTTACAATGCTGACCTGCAGTCCAAACCATTCCTTTCACCTCCTACTCCTGGCCTGCTAAGAAAATGTTTTTTAAGCTTGAAATGTGTTTTTACCTGAAGTAGACTGATCTAGAAAACGTTTAAGTGATTAAAGGTGTCCGTTTCATAAGTGTTTCTACATCATTCTACAAAAGTACATCAGCTTCCTGATGTAAACATGCGGGAAATGCCTGTGTTGTTGTGTGATATCATCCAAATCAATATCAGTTTATTTAAACATCTAAAATAAAACTTCTTTTTGTTTATGTTGAGGGGAAAAAATATTTTTCTCTCTATTTCCTAATATATAAAAGATTATTTTCATGCTGTTAGAAGAAGCGGCGGCCATATTTCAGCTGCATTAACGCTCTACAGGACTTGAGGCTAATCAGTGTGCTGCTTTCTGTCTGTCAGCTGGAGGAGCAGCTGAGCCGTCTTCAGAGAGAGAAGAACGACCTGCAGTCCAGGATGGAGGAGGACCAGGAGGACCTGAATGAACTGATGAAAAAGCACAAGTCTGCTGTTGCCCAGGTGAGGGGCTGGTCATGAGAAAAGCAGTGAAAGGATGTGACAAAGATTTAAGAATGCAGATGCATGCAGTTATGTCTTTTCTAGGGCCGATTTTAAGCAAGTTTTTGTGGCCTGAACTGATCTTTAATTCAGGTTTGGAGATGTTGGTGCCCTTCTGGCCGACTGGTGATGGGTGCGATTTAAAGGGATGGATGCCTTTCATAGCAGTGTGTGACTGAACTGATAAAGGTTAAGGCTGTTAGTGATTGTTTTATGGGTAAGCTGAGGCCCAATTTGTTAAAAAAATGAGTAAATGGCAGAAGAAGCTGTTTGGCCTCAGCAGAGAGCAAACCTTTTTCTCACCAATGTCGCCCAGATGGTTTCCAGAGAAATAATGGTCCAAATATCAACCCACCTGCAGTTAAATCAGGTTCAAATTGAATGTAAAGACAAAATTTGATAAAATAAACTGAGTGTTCAGCAGAAAATGTTTGGTTCCATGTCCTGACCTTTCTCTGTTGGTGTTCTGGTTTCAGTTGGCTCAGAACTTGGCTCAGATCAACGATCTTCAGACTCAGCTGGAGGAGGCCCTCAGGGAGAAACAGGAGGTTCAGGAAAAGGTGAGTGTCTGCTTGGATGAGGAAAAAATGAGATGGTCAGATTTATCTCAGTCAGAGATGATATGTATAAGTCCAGCTCAGAGCTCCTGGAGCCTCTTCACATCAGGTGCCCCCGATCTTTAGATCTAGTGACTGTTGCTGTCCCGATGCTGGTGCTTCTGCTCACTGAATACTTTCTAGGCTTTCTGCTGCACTAATTTCCCTGAAGTTGGTGTTTTAACAAATCAGCTTATATCACCTACAGACAAAAAGAAATGAGCTCAGTAGAATCCATCCGTACCTTATTAAGGATGACAGTTCAGGTGATCTCTATATGGAGATAATGAGTCTACAGTCTACCCTTGCTTTAACGCGCTTCACCTTTCATGGCCTCGATGCTTCACGGAGTTGCATTGTGTTCTGTATTCTGATTGGCTAAACAATCTCCACACATGTTCTCTACCGGTTTAATATTTTGATATACATGCATATGTACCTAAAACAGCTTGCCAAATTTAAGTATGCAAATTTTCTCCTAAACCCATATTGTTGGCGAAATGTTCTGCGTCAACAAAGGCACCTATGGACGGGCCCAAAAGGCAGAGGAAGAGGAAACTATTGCAGAAAAAGATAAACCTCTGGACATGCTAAAGGAGGGAAGAAGCTATATGGCTGTAGGTCACCATTACGGACTTAATGAATCTTCCGTTCATTCCATAAAAAAGAAGGCAAATAACAAACGGACGACAGCAGCAATAAGTTTTAATTAGGATGCAACAAGAGCATGGTAAGGATGGGTTCTGGGTCAGCTTTGTGGATTAGTGACTGCAGAAAAAAAAAACATTATGCTGGATGTGAATGTTATAAAGCTTGAAAACTGTAACAAACTTCTGCTGACAGCGATGAAGTTCATGACAGGGAGGAGCAGGAGAATGCAGATACCGGGCCATTTAATGCTAGCAACAGGAAATGTACCAAGCACATTTAATGCTAGCAAGTGCTGGTTTGAAAAATGTAAGAAACACTTTGGACTTGTTTGTCCAAAACTGTTTCTCTGCAGAGAGAGAGATACTGCAGGAGGGTCAGACACACCAAACATAGTAACACCTGCAGCATTATTTAAACTGTAAATAGTATTATTAATGTTTATACAAATGTCAGATGTTTGCATTCAGGCCTAATGACTGTTGAGCTGTTCTTGATTTATTTATCTTGTTTATTTACAGGCAGAAGTTGGTTTTGGTCGAGCTTATTGCCTTAAATCTCTGACATTTCCATTTTCAAAGCACCAACTTTCAAGGAAATAAATATATTGACACTGAGGCTCTTTTAGAATAAAACTTCTTTTTTTTTTTACTCAGGATTTTATATCATTTAACACAATATTTGATATAATACCACTGAGATGTGCATTTATAACTCAGATGCAGGTCCTCCAGAGCCAGCTGGAGTTCCAGGAACAGTCCACGGTTGAGAAGTCCCTCGCCAATCGACAGGAAGCCAAGATCCGGGAGCTGGAGACCAAAATGGAGTTTGAAAAGACGCAGGTCAAACGGCTAGAGGTGAGTAAACATGGCTGGACAGTAGCTGCTGACCTAAGAACTAATTCATGTCCTTATTTTCTTAATGAATATTCCTTAAGGTGGCCCTAATCATCTTCAAATAACTATTTGAATTTTGTAATGGGGGGATTTTTTTTTATTTTATTTATAGTAAATCCATGTTGTTGGCATTATAATAAAAAAGTTGTAGAACTGCACCAAAAACAGTCTTTGTTGTATCTTCGTTGTGACATTCAGTAGAGCCCATTTCCCAGTGTGCAATGAGGCAAGGCAAGGCAAATTTATTTGTACAGCACAATTCAGTACAAAGACAATGCAAAGTGCTTTACATGATTAAAATACAGGAAAATAAAACAGAATCAAAGCAAGTAGGAAAAAATAAATGAAATAAAAAATGCAGAAACAAAAAATAATATTAAAAACAGTTGGACTAAGGAAAATAAAAAGTTGAACTAATGATGTTTTAGTTAAACTGTTTAACTAGAACAGTGGAAGGCAATCCTAAACAAATGTGTTTTTAGTCTTGATTTAAAGGAACTCAGGCTTTCCGCACTTTTACAGTTTTCTGGAAGTTTGTTCCAGATAAGTGGAGCATAGGAACTAAATGGTTCCTGAGGTCATCCTTCTGTTCCGTGACCCATTATGGTTTCACTTTATGGATGTGCAGCGCGGCAAGATTCATCACAAACTCTTGAACAGTTCTCCAAACTGATCCAGCAACAAAACAACAAAACAAGCACTTTTTAGATTTATTTTTCTCAGGGATATTTTAGTTAATGTTATGAGCTCAGATGACCAATCAGATTTAGATGACTAAATAGACTATAGAACCACCAAATCTACAGATTCAATTATCAGTATAGCTCTAATCACAATAATGGGCCTAATAATTACTTACGTAATACGCGTACATTAAAGCTCCTATATCGTGTTTTTTTAAAGTCCTCTCTAGGAAAATATGTGAAATATTGCCTCGAAGTAATAATACTATGAAGTATTCCTTCACCTTCCTTCAAAGCAAAGCCGTATATGCATGACTGCCTATGCATGACTGGTAACGATCTTCATAAAGTCACTGTGAACCCTTTAATCAAGTTCAGGTCAACCTCCAAACATTTAACTAGGCTGGAACATGTTTGCAACCTTTTGTTTTTCTATACAGAACCTTGTAGCTCGTTTAAAGGAGAATGTGGAGAAGCTGACGGAGGAAAGAGATCAGCGCATCACCAGCGAGAATCGCGAGAAGGAGCAAAATAAACGTTTGCAAAGACAGATCCGAGACATCAAAGAGGAGATGGGCGAACTTGCTAAGAAGGAAGCAGAAGCGAGTCACAAAAAACATGAACTGGTAAGAATAACGGAAACTGTAGAGGAAGAGTTCGTCCTGCCAAGAGGTGCTTCTGGATGCCAAATTCATTGACCAGATTTCCCTTTGACCCTTTAATCAGGAGATGGATATTGAGAGTCTAGAGGCTGCGAATCAGAGCCTCCAGGCAGACCTGAAGCTGGCCTTCAAAAGGATCGGTGACCTGCAGGCTGCCATCGAGGACGACATGGAGAGCGATGAGAACGAAGACATTATGAACAGGTACAGAGCCCATACCCAGCAAAACATAGCAGAGGATCAGGGGCGCCCATGTTCAAAGGTTTGATAGCACTGCAAGAAATTGAAATCTAAATAAGTCATTTTTTCCTGAATTGAGAAGGTAAGTGAGACACTGCCAATAGAACAAGACAATTTACATTTAAATAAGACAAAGCAATCGCATTGCCTTATTTTAAGTGCATATTATATAATGATCTTATTTTAAGAGATATTATACTAATTCCATTGGCAAATAATCTTATTTACCTACTCAAATTAAGGGTAAATACACTGAATTTAAGATATATTTACTTATTTCTAGATCATTCTTGCAATGAGCTTTTAACATCTTTTCTTTACTGCAGTTAAAACTTGTTCCAACATCTTTAACCAGTTTATGAGTTTATACTGGAAAAAAAAAAAACAGTTAAACTGATTAATGGTGATAGTTTATGGTTATTTAGAAAAAAGACCCCTCCCTTCAAGGTGAGCTAGGTATTATTCATATGTAGATCAATAAATTAGTCTTCAACTCAATTTGACGATTTAGACAGCGTAGATGGGATATGTTTTATAAAAGTTATGAGGACGCTGAAGCACGCTGGCACACGTTGACCTACGGCAAGTACGTTGTGCGAGCGTATGCTCATTCATAGGGCATATGTTTCGGGTAAGTTATCTAATCGTTGACATACGTTAAGTGTAAGTTACTCACAAGTCGTGGCATCTAGTTTATCTATGAGTAACTTGTGCATAACCTATGCATAACTTATCAAGAACTTATCTCCAACGCATATCAGCATATTTGACGTGTTTCAGACTGCCCTCCTCAGGACACTGGCTTGTGCATAATTTCAAAGACATTACGTTGCCATGCATTATGCATAAGTTAGGACATAAGTTCTGGACTCATTATTTATATGCTATGTATACGCCCAAAATTGAAAATAATACGTAGAAAGTCCAGCGGGCTAAATCGTCACTTAGCTGTAAAGCTTTACCTTCTTCTCTCGAGAATCTGCAGTGTTCAGATTCCTGCAGATTCAGGATTTTCTAAAGGGGTTACCTTACATTTAGATTGAATCAGTCCAACTGATCTGTTTCTGCAAATAAAAAAGCAAATAGAAGTTTTTTTTTCCAGCAGCCCCCTCACTGATGGGAGGCCCTATCAATGTTCTTAGGCTTCCTGTACAATATATAATTCAGTTTATCCATATTTAAATACCGAAAAATTTCATTTCAATGTTTCAAGTGAGTCAAATCATACAGACTGGTTGGTTAATGGAAAACCAGCTGATTGACTTTGCAGGATTCTCTCCTCCTGGATGAACGTGAAGCAACATTAGATTCTCTGCAGCAATCCCTCATATCGAGCATGCATGAGGCAACAATGGAGAAAAAAAAATCTCCTTTTAATATGAAGAAACTGAGAGCAGAACCAGGCTGAGTGTCAGCAGCCGTCTGCTGCGGCCGACTGAGAGGACAGAGCACAGACAGAAAGAAGAAAGAGGCAGCGATGCAGGCAGGGGCGGATCTAGAAAAATATTTATGGGGTGGCGAGAGGGGGGCAGGAATTTTTGAGGGGTGGCAACATATGGCATTTTTTACACTTAATTTAATCACAGTTATCACAGTTTGGTGAGAATAGAATGTACAGTAAGTGTTTCATGTTGAAAAGTTCATATTAGAAATACATCGTATAATGTGATCTCACTTAATGGGAGATAGAAGAATGATAACACTACTTCTAGAGGGGCATTATCACAGGAAAGGTATTAAGGTAAGACACAGGTGCTGAGTCGCAGATGTGTGAGATTGATTGTCAGAGAGGCAGCTTTGCAGCATTTGCACAAGAAGAAACAATAAAAGGAAAAAAATTACCCCTCAGAGATCAATAGACTGAGCTGTACTAAAGTGAGCATAACTACACAGTAGAAATAAATGGGTCTAGGCCCCCAAACAAGGTACCGGACATCCATGTATTGTTTACTCTGAACACACATTTACCCCATTTGTTCCTCAGTAACTTGACATACAGCAGCAACATGAAAGGGACATTTCATGCATGTAGATATGCTGTAGATAGAGCTGCTGTATCAACAAATCAACAAAAAGGCAGGTACTGTATGTTACATCAAAATCTCCACAAATCTGAAAAGAAGCAACATAAAAATAAATTTTGCTTCTAGTCTGAAAAAGTACAAAACATTTTGTGAATAGGTTCATACAGGTAATTTCTGGATAGTTTCATACTATATATACCGTATTTTCACGACTATAAGGCGCACTTAAACGTCTTTTTTTTCCCTCAAAATGTGCGGTGCGCCCTTTGGTGCGGTGCGCCCTATGTGTGTTGTAACTGCGACTTTTGAGACCACCTCATTGAGGAGATGATGAAAGAGTGGCTGAATGTAAGGAGACCAGCTGTTTTTTTCCCACTCATCACCATTAATCTGTAACTCCATGCGTGCCCATCTCACAGCTGATGTGAAAAACATTGGGAAACAAATTAACGCTGTGCTCGCTGTTCAACCGCTCGACATCGGTGTGAACCGGACCCAGCAGGTGCAGCAGAAGCAGCGAGTTTACATGCAAAGTCAATGGTTGACGCGCATATAGGTGCAGCAAAAGGTCCCGCAGCGCGTTTTGGTGCAGCACGTCGGGAGCGTTTAAGCATCTGACGCACCGCCAACGCGCTGCTGCTGCTCAGATGGAAAAATTGAAGTTTTGCTGCTGGACGCGCCGCATCAACCAATCAGAGAAGCTGATCTGGGAGCTGACAGCGAGACAGACAGCGCTCTGATGACATATGATATTAACGCAAATGAAAAGGCTGGGTGGATGCGTGGCTGAGACAGGTGTATGTGAGAAGACTAGGTGGTTTTTTCCACGCATCACCATCGCTGCGTGCCCATCTCACAGCCGATGTGAAAAAAAGATGAATCAAATGAACGCTGTGCTCGCCGTTATCCCGGGGGGTCTGACAAAGGAACTTCCACCGCTCGACATCGGTGTGAAGCGGCCGTTCACAGTAAGGCTGCGAGCGGCGTGGGAGCGATGGATGACAGACGGAGACCACAGTTTCAGGATAAGTGGAAGGCAGCGCCGGGCAAGTTACGCCACCATTAGCGGATGGATTGTTGATGCTTGGACTAATGTGTCTGCTGGCTCTGTTGTTCAAGCTTTCGCAAAAGCCGGCATCATTTCTGAGGAGCCACGCTGCACGGAAAGTGACTCTGACAGCGAAGAAGGGGAAACTGGCATGTCTGATTTAGCGCAGCTGTTTTATTCAGAGGAATGCTGAGGATAACAGAGGATGATGACTTTGATGGGTTTGATTAATACTTTGTAATAAATACATGAATAAAGCACAATCATACTCAGTTTTGCTCCCGCTCTATTTTTCTACCTGAAAACTTAATTCAACAGCAGCCTCTGGGCGCGTCTCCTCCTCTTCAGCGCGGTGGCTGGCAGGTGTTTTTTCATCTAAATAATCTAAATCTTGCAGCTATATTTGCTGTGATCAGTGGGAATAAAGTAGTTTTAATATGTTTTTAAGTGAGAAAGGCCACCTGAAAACTTAATAATTGCAGTCAGTTCATCCAGATTATCTATTTCTGTCGGAGGCGCTCAGACCCCCACATACCAGCGGTGCACCGACAGGAGAAATCCTTTCGTTCACCGCGGCTGCTGGCAGGTGTTTTTCATCTAAATAATTTTAGCTGCAGGCACCAGGATACCGGTAATAAAAGCGAACATATTCTGTCGGCAGGTTTCAGGATTTTAAGTTAATTTAGGAGTGACCACAGCGCTGTGTCATCTGCGATGTGTTTGTCTCACGGACAGCTGCCAGGTTTGATTAATACTTTGTAATAAATACATGAATAAAGCACAGTCATACTCAGTTTTGCCCCCGCTGTATTTTTAAATACGCAGTAGAGGTATTTAAAGGTAGTAGAGGACATGTACCTGTATATAAAAAACGCGCCCTATAGTCCGGTGCGCCTTATGTGTGTGTTAAATACAGAAATGGGACACATAACTGAGAGTGTGCCTTTTAGTACGGTGCGCCTTATGGTCGTGAAAATACGGTACAAAAAAAGAAACAACACTGCTTCATATTAAGCAGGATTTACACCAGTATCACATTTTTAACTTTACTTTTAACACTTTTGGTTTTATTAAAGGAAATATCAGATTTTCTCAGGTGCCAAAACAAAATGTAGCAGCTCTGTAAAGGCTCACCAGAGAGCATTACATAAAGTTGACATGACTATAACAGCTGAATGTGGCAATTTCCATGTTGCTCAACAAAACGCTTCACAAATTTATTTAGATCCTAAGCCTTTGTGCGTTTTGATTCAATGCTGAGTAAAGCCAAACTTGATAGTCTTTTTCTGTCGTAGTTGACCGCAAATATGTCTTTATGAGCCTCAGACATCAGGTCTTACTAACATCATAGATAGAGAAATAACGTTCTGCAACCTGATTTTTATCGTCTCAAAATTAGCATTGCAGCTATGCTAGCAACATTGTGCTTTCATTATGATTTAATATCTTGATAGTTAATCAGTTTTCACCTGTTTCATCCCGTGTCTCCTCTCCCCATGACCCCTGGCTCCCTCGCTTTGCCCCATTCGGTTTTCAAAACAAATCAGTTTTGAAACAATCTGGATTCACTGCAGTCCGACATTGGAAATTAGCGGCCGTAATTCTCAAATTATCCATAATTTATAAGCCTCGCCACCCCTGCCGCCAACTGGGGTGGCAGCAGGGGTGGCAAGGCTGTCATTTAGGGAGGCATTTGTCACCCGATGCCACCCCAGTAGATCCGCCTATGGATGCAGGAACACTTTCTTTGTTATATTAGCTAACAGTTGGGGCTGCAACTAACGATTACTTTGAAAATCAATTAATCTGTTGATTATTTTTTCAATTAATTATCATATAGCAAAAGGTTCCTTAAAGGTTTTTTACAAAATTAAACCAGGTGAAATTTCAGTTTATTTATATAGCGCCAAATTCACAACACATGTTATCTCAAGGCACTTTACAGTTCAACCAGATCATACAGTCAAATTGATACAAAGTTTTCTATCTAAGGAAAACCAATTGATTGCATCAACTCATTGACTTGAATGCAATCCCTCACACTAAGCATGCTTGTAGCGACAGTGGAGAGGAAAAATTCCCTTTTAACAGGAAGAAACCTCCAGCAGAACCAGGCTCAGTGTGAGCGGCCATCTGCCGAGGCCGACTGGGGTTGAAAGAGACAGGAGACGAGGCAAAGCTACTCTGAGGAAAAGCAGAGAGAGCAGAAGGTTAGAGATTGAACTAACAGATTCTGCAGAATAGGAGAACAGAGAGAGAATGAAGCAGAATGATGAAATTGGGGGTCCCTATGTCCTCCAGCAGTCTAAGCCTATAGCAGCAGAACTATAGAGATGGATCAGGATATCCTGAGCCACTCTAACTAGAAGCTTTATCAAAAAGGAAAGTTTTAAGCCTAGCCTTAAAAGTAGACAGGGTGTCTGCCTCACGGACTAAAACTGGTAGTTGGTTCCACAGGAGAGGAGCCTGAGAACTAAAAGATCTGCCTCCCATTCTACTTTTAGAAATTCTAGGAACCACTAGTAAACCTGCAGATTGAGAGCGAAGTGCTCTGTTAGGAACATTAGGAACAATCAGATCTCTGATATCAGATGGAGCTTGGCCATTTAAGGCTTTATATGTGAGAAGGAGGATTTTAAATTCTAATGAAATGAAAACTTTTCCACTTGAGGAGTTCTGGATAGATATTGACAGAATTTTTTTTTATTTTTTATCTTGAATGCAAAACGTTTACATATTTATTTTTACATTGTTGATATAAGTACTGCTCTAAGTGGGTTCCTCTGTCACCTAAAGACACTCCAGTTAACGATTAGAGAATTAAAGAGAGATTTTCTGTATCAGGAACAGGAAACAGACATGCTTCCTGAAAACAGCTCCGTTCAGTGAAGGAAAGAACATCTCAACATTGATCCCAGCATCCATCCACCTCTCACCATCACACCCAAAACACTGCTCACCTTTCTGCAGTTCATTTAACACGATTCTCATCTCATGTCCTTCTGTTGTCTTTTATTTTTCTCCTTTCTACCTTTTCATCGTAACCATCATCACTACGGCCAGTTTGCAGGACATGGTGGCAAAGTACCAGAGAAGAAGAAACCGAACGTGAGGATCATGTGTTGTTTTGTGCTTTGCTGCAGACGATGATGCATCTAGCATCTCCAAACGGTTACAAACATTACTGCAGCACCTGGCTTTGGTTTTCTCCATCTGTTGTTTCAAATATGCACTCATACATCATTACTCTGCTTGGTCATAAATCAACAAGGTTCACCTGTCCCCATAACCAACCTTTACTGTTTTATTGCATGTCTTCCCATCCAGTCTCATTAACTTTCCTGCTATTAACTGCATTTTAAAACATGAAGTCAGAATAAAATTTCTCCTTTTTAACTGATGTGTGATGCAGATTGAGATTAACCCCCAGAGTGAAGGAAAATGTAGATCTCCACTTGAAGGATAGATAGATGCATGGATGGATGGATGGATGGATGGATGCTCTGCCTCCCCACCACCACTTCAGTCTGTTTTCTTGGGCCCTCCTATTGACCACATGCTTTGTTCCTAATTTCTGAATGTCAGGGCAGTCTGCAGCTGACTAACACGTCCACACCCGGGTTTTCTCTGATTTCTACCATTTCTAACTTCTCTTCTTTCTCTGATCTGCTCTGACCAGTCAGGGCCAGTCGGATACAGACTCTGAGCTGGAGGATCGGGTGGACGGAGTGAAGTCCTGGTTGTCCAAAAATGACAGCTCTGCCAAGAACCTGTCAGATGACGGCAGCCTGAAGGGCCGCAGGTCAGTGGAAATGTTTCTGCTCTTTCTGTAGAAGTTGTCTGGTTTATCTGTCAGACATTATTTGGCTGTAAGCAACATAAACTGACCTCTTAGATGGGAGCTGAGGTGTGGTCAGCTAATCTGGTCAGCTCCAGACTCCTGTACGTTTAGCAGACTTCTTTCCCTTCTGACATTATTGAATTAGTACTTTTTAAATTTCCCCTCATCTGTCCTCCTTGGTTCACCTGCTGTACCTGTATCCTTCTAGATATGCTGTTAAAACAGACATAAAGGAGGTCAAAGAGGCACAGAAAGAGCACAGAGAGGGAAAGACAAACAAGCCAGTTACTGTTTTGGGCTCTCTGAGTTACAGAAAACAATCAAACCTAGATTTCATTGAAGGCCAAAGCGAGAAGAAAGCAGAGCCAGATGACGTCCTAAGTTTCAAGAGGAGCAGATCCAGAACTGATCTGCTAAAGCAGAGAGGTCACCTTGACCCCGACCCAGTCCGTCCTCCTTCCCTACACGACCAAAGTGACGGTCAGTCAGTCATTTCCGTCCATTCAGTGGCCAGCAGCATCAGGAGAGACAGTCGGAGGGGTCAGCTTGATCCAGAAGCATCTAGCTGGCTGGCTAAGCCAGGCTGGTCCTCCACACTTCCTGAGATGAACCTGGGGCAGAAGGTCCGTCCTGGCAGCAGGATGGATGGAATCAGCAGCAGTGTGTCACTGAGAGGCAGCCCTCCCAGTAGCCTGAGCTTTAGTAAGAGATCAAGGAGTCAAAGTCCGGGAAGTGCTGTCCAACCCAATTCCCGGGTATCGCTGGTTGGCAGCTGTTGCCTTGGGGATGGTGGCGTTGATCTGGATGACAGAGGAAGGGTGTCCCTAACTGAGGGGTCCACATACAGCCCCCTCTCTTTCATTGGTCGCAGTTGCTCTATGCCACCACCACGAGACAGGTCCGCTTCTGCCAATCAGCCACTCGATAGCTCAGAGATCAGGCCCGTCCGTCATCAGAACTACCTAGACCCTGATTTGGAGAAAGCCATCAATGAAGTTTTGAGTTTTAAACCAATAAAAGTCAAGCGGAGGAGCTTGGAAGACTCTGAAGATGAAACAAGATCCAGGAGTAAAGATCAGGGTCAAAGTAGTAAGAACGGAGAGAGGATGTATCCCAGCAGCAATCTTGGACGTTCTGAGTCTGCCATGGACTTCATGAGACCGTCCCGCAGTGCCAGCAGCCGCAGCAATCACCGTGACAGCAGGAGGAAAAGAAAGGGCAAGAAAAAGAGGAGAAGCCGAAGCTTTGATTCTCACAGCTCTGGAGACGATCCTGTTCCAAGGAGCAGCTCGAGAAGAAGGTCCAGAAACTCCTCTAAATATGCCTCATCCTCCACATCATCCGAATCCGATTCAGAGTCTAGCTCCTCCTCCAGCTCTGATGCATCCACCATCTCCTACCGGAGTTGCAGTGGTGTGAAAAAAGCCCTGGATAAATCTGCTCTCAGTCCAGACGAGGACAAGGAGACCCGGAGAGGGAGCGAGAAAAGGAGGAAGAAGAAGGTGGACAGCCTGATGATGAAGTACTTGTACCAGAATGAGAGCGACTGAGGCAGACAGTAGGTTCCTGGCTTGGAGGATGCTTTGAAGCATGGTGTGACCTAACCAATCACAGAGTGGATGTGTGGATCCCCACTTTGTTACTGCATGGCAGCAGTTTGAATTTCAATTGAGAACATTTTCTATTCCTCTAAGGAACAACAGAATATGAAAGTCAGGACGTAATGAAATATATCCTCAGCTTATTTCCACATGCCTTAAACTTCTCTGCATGTCAAAGGTTTTAAGTTTGTTTAGTTCCTCTAAAACGGGTCGGCAACCCAAACTGCTCTAAGAGCCATATTGGATCAAAAAAAAAAAAATTATAATAAAATCTGTCTGGAGCTGCAAAAAGTCTTCTATAATCCTCGTATGGGAACATGTGCTCTAAGTGTATTAGCCCACTACAAAAAATATTAGATAAATGTGCATGGGCTTAAATATAAAATAAGCAGTCATGATTAACTGTTTATCCTGCCGCAAATGTCAGATAGTAGCACGACGTGAGGGTGGAGCAGTGAGCGCTCTCACCGCGTATCGCTTCACCACGTGGTTTGTATTTATTAGGTTTTGTTGCAATGATGAAATTATAGAAACAGGATAAAGGAATCTTTCTATGGTGGACGAGTTTCTGTTGAGTCATGAGGAACCAAGCAGGAACTGACATCCATCAGAGCAGAGCTCTCTGACCCCGAAATCCATCATCCTCCACCTCCAGCGTTCCTTGGTGCTGTTTTTATTTTGAGGATTTGGGGGAAATAATTGAAGAAAGTTCACATACCTGCATGTTAGAGCTACCTGTTGGATCTGTGGACGGTTTTCTATGCTTGCAACAAAACTAGCAGCAGTAGCGGAGTTTGGAGATGCAATCCACTTCTTAAATCTATCTTTGCTCTCCTTTACTTTATCCAGAAGTTGTGCAATCGCACTTTTTCTCTCACTCCCAGCTTGTGTGGACTTCCCTGAAAATGCCTTTCTAAATTACTGTTTTTATTTTTTGACAAACTCTTGTTACAAAGCATAAATGCAGGCAATCCTTCCACATTGATGATGAAAGCAAATGATTCGGTTCATTCTTCTTTGAATCCTCTATTCTCATCAGCTATCTTCGTTTTTCCTCTTTGGGATCCATGGTCTGAGACAAACCCGTCGCTTTTTTTGCCTGCGCTGAAACGTGTGCTGCAGGCTGTGACCACTGATCTCTGTGGCTATGACGGACATTTTTACATTGATTATTTAACTTTATTTATTATACAAATGTTTCCAGGATTTGAAAAAAATATGAATGTTTATTAGAGCTCCTGCACACCATAATAATATAAACAAATAAATGTATTTTCATACATTTTTGAAAAAGCTCCAGCGAGCCACAAGGGGGCCCTAAAGAGCCATGGGTTACCGACCCCTGACCCTGTTTATATTCATTCGTTTTTTTTTTAAATAGCTCCTAGAATTTTAGATTTTTCCAGATTTCCACAGATTTTATTGTCAGAATAATTTAGTCTTTGTTGGTAGGTGTGGTTCAGAGTGGATCAGTCCGTGGAAGTAGGAGGTGTGGATAGAAAAGACGATCTCGAACCTCGGTGGTCGTGTTTCTGTTGACTTTGCTGTCAGAAAGTGGACAGAAAGTGGAACCATGCGTGCTGATCCAACTCTTCCTGTTGTCACATGCATGCTTTGAATTTAAACTGTCACGTGTCTGCAGTCATATCATGTATTAGCTGAAGTTAGCAGCATGTGAAGCAAGAGCTACACAATGGACTGATCTCTGCAGAAGGAACTGAACCAACTAAATCACTGAGATAAGGAGTTCAACTAACATTTCTACTGTGATGGAGGATCAGTATAGCCTCCCTGCCTGCCTTTCCTTTGGTTGAAGCTCATAGTTCCTGATGATGTCAATTTCTTTCTTTTTTGACTTGATTGTTTATCCCCTTTGTCTCCTATCTGTCTTTGCTGCTCCAGCTCCCCCAGCCGATGGCGCTCCCGCACTGACAGATCTGATGAAGAGGAAGATGCTCCAGGGACCCCGGGCTTATCCAAGTACAGATACAGCAGTCATTTGAAAGATGATGGCGAGGAGGAGGAGTCGTAGTCCTCGCTGCGCACCCTGTGGAGTGGACTCTCAGCCAAGTCATACACTTTGGTTTGCATGCAGAACTGCCTCCGGTGTTGGACAATCAAACACGGATAAAGTGCATTGATCTGCACTAATAGACCCATGGAGCCAACCGAGCAGCTCCATGTTAGCAGCTGCTTGCTCAATTAACCTTCTGCTGTTTGGTTGTAAACTGAATAACAGATTCTGCAAAATAAAATGTCTCTTTCCACTTTTTTCCCCCACAGTTCACACTGAAAAAACCAAAGTTCTACAGTTTCTATACCAGTGTGAAGCTAAAAAGTATTGAGTTCACATTTACACGATGTAACGTTTCACAATGACGGCGAATTCCTGAGAAAAACACCAACTTTTCTTTCTCATCTTTCTGAGATGCTGTTGCTTCTCATTCAGTCAGTTTCTTCTTTCCTCTTTTCCTCACAAAAAAACATTTTCCTTTCTAAGAATTTGCTGATGACCAACTTCAGACGAACAGGTCTGCTGAGCTTCAAGACCACAGAATTCCCAAAGTAAAAATGAGATTTTAAAACCTAATATTTCTGCTGTTTCTTAGGTTACTTTCCAAAAAAAAAGTTAAAAAACAATCCACTGGACTTTGTTTCCATGTTTGAAGACATTTCCCTTCCCATCCAGGAAACTTTTTCCATTCTAAATGCTTGGCTTACTTGTTTATCCGATATGTTTCACTTTTCACATATTTATTTTTAACACCCTAACACCACTGAACTTTACACCTACATTTACACTGAATATTAAACATTATTTTATTACACTGGAAAAAATCCAAATCTAGATATGTCATTTTTTTCTTAGAATAAATGCATTTGTTCTTGGATTGAGGAGGTAAAGGAGACATTTTGCCAATGGAACAAGACAATTTACACTTTAGAAAACACAATTGCATTGTCTTATTTCAAGTGCATATTATCTAAATATCTGATTTTAAGAGTAAAATTGCTCATTCCGTTGGCAAACTATCTCATTTACCTGCTCAAACTAAGGGTAAATACACGTAATTTAAGACATTTTTTACAAATTTTTAGATCGTTTTTGCAGTGTATAAGATCAACATTCAACCTTCTGACAATGAGGCCTGTTTAAACTGCAAAGAAAATCTAGATATACTTCAAAATTTCTTAAATAAAGTGTATTTACCCTTAATATGAGGCGGTAAATAAGATGATTTGCCAATGGAATGAGTAGTTTTACTCTTAAAATAAGATCATTAGATAAAATATGCATTTGAAATAAGACAATGTGTTTATTTTTTCCTATTTTAAATGTAAATGTTCTTGTTCCACGGCAAAGTGTCTCACTTACCACATCAATTAAAGAACAAATGCGCTTTATATTTTTTTTTAAGAAAAAAAGGACTTATTTAGATTTTATTTTTTCCTGTGTAGAGTCTGATCCCAGCTCTACTCTCTGAATTAAAAGGTCTTTATTTTTATAAATGGAAAAGGTACATAGATAACTCAGCAGCAGCCTCCTTCTGTTGGAGTAATTGCTGTAAACCGCAGATCCGCACCATAAACCATCCAGCTTTATCACGGCATGACCTGTCCAACAGGGCCTTACCTTCTCTTTAGCTTCACGTGTGTCTGTGCTGTGTGTAAATTAATTGCGTGTTATGGCTGCTGCTTAACTGCTCCGATACAGGCATATTTAAAATCAAAAAGGATCAATGGAGCACAAAGAAGCATCAGTGTAGTTTTGGTCGGCTGGGAGGATTGCTGCACGGTGCCTCCGATTGTCTAAAGTCTTTCTTTTTATTAAAGGCATTACTCTTCATCTTTCCGTGGTTCCTTGCTAACCCACAGCCTCCTGAAACACAGTCACATGTCTTACAGGTTAAGCCAAGTTGTTTGTGTTTTTAGTGTGTCCTGTTTCCATTTAAATTTTTAAGCAGCAAAAATCAACAAACCTGTACTTGAATTTTGATATTTGCTCGATGGCTTGATGCATTCCAGTGATTAACCTTGGAAGAGCCCGAAAGCCGTTAAGTCTTTCAAAGACGAGGGTTTGGTATCCGTCTGGGAGTTCAGATGGGTGGGATATTTCCAATATGTGCTTTATTGAAGCTTTTTAAAGAGATATCTAAAATAGACTCAACAGCTAAAGTACGTATTTTTACTGACAACCAGCCTCCCCATTTATTTGGCTCTTACTGCACACTGTGTTTATATAAGGAAATGTATGATTCTTTCTAGCTTTGGAAAACTTGCTGACCACTTGTTAATCTTGCAACGTGTAAATAAATTCTAGTTATTGACCTGAAGTGTGTTTCAGATCATTTTTTTCCTAACAGCTATTCTGGAATCTGGCTTGTTGGTGGAGATTCTCAGTCATCCAGGTCGTAGCCATTCATAATCATTCCAAAAAAGTTCATAAAAAAATCTGGACTTTCACTTCCAATCCAGGAAGCGATTTTTATTCAAAATGTCTAAATTAGCGTTTAGTTCCAATCTCTTTAGAGTAGCCCAAGAACGTCTAGTTTTGGCTTAGAAAACATGAAATTGAACTGGAAGAACAGGTCCGCCCCTTAGTAATGGGGAGTCATTAAGGTCTTTATTAGCTTGCAATACTCAAAGATTAAATGTAAGAACATCACCATCCCATATGTAGCTGGACATGGGTGGTTCTAGACAGGGGCCAACGGGGGCCAGGGCCCCTGTACTGAAGACTAATACTCAAAGAAATTCTAATGATATGCACTGGAACAGAAATGGTTACCAATAGATCCTTTGGATCTATTTCATTTTTTTCTTTACAAATTCTGTTTTATTAACTGTACAAAAACATAACATCAGTGGTATTGAGATAGGATCCCAGTTTTCATCTGCTTAATGTTTTTTTTTTTTCAAAACACGTAAAAAAAATATAATCTAATTAAACTCTAATTCAGATTTTATAGAAAACTGTAATTTCAACTTAAGTTTAAAAAATGTAATATTCCTAAATTCTGAATCTATATTGACCTATTTTTTTTTATTTTATATACTCTATTAATCCCAAAGGGAAATTACTTCTCTGCATTTAACCCACCCCCTTGGGAAGCAGTGGGCTGCCATTGTGAGGTGCTCCGGGAGCAGTGTGAGGTTAAGGGTCTTGCTCAGGGAGCCAGAGTGGCAGTCTGTGGGGGTGGGTGATCGAACTCACAATCTCAGGATTCAAAGCCCTATGCTTTGATATTTGAATCCCTGTTTTTTATTTCATGCTTTTCTCTGCCCCCATGAAAACACGCTGGCCCCCTCCTGGCCCCCTGGTACATTTGGTCTAGAACCCCCACTGTTGCTGGAGTCTGAAAAACTCGAGAATTATTCTCCAAACACAAAATCCCAGTAGATTTCAAACCAAACAAGGGCCGACTTGGCAGACAACTTAATTTAGTTAAGACAGTGTTTGAATTTATCTATTTTCTATTCAAATATTAGTGCTTGCAAGATGGATTTCTGTCTAGATGGTGAACATGTCTTCCAGTTATTTTATAACCCAAAGATTGCAGTAAAAAAAAACATATTGAGGTCTTGCCCCTCTGAGAACGAGGACCTTGGAGACTTTTTAGGGAAACGGCAAACAAATTTTTATTCTTTAAGAGGCTTCATATTCTGCTTTATTCCAGTCTAATCAATTAATACAAATTTATTCTCTTACATATGAAGAGTATCACGTTAGACCCGTGAAAAGGCACAGTGAGTTAAAAAAGAATAACATTGAATCAACACTTGTTTAAACTTTAGTTGTACGTTTCTACTAATAAAACGATTTCATTTCAAAAAATGAGATTTAATTTTATGCTTTGCAATAGATTCAATACATTTGGTTTCTGAGTAATCCTAGATTTCTGTTTAAAGAGTTGCTGATTTAAATCCTTAATTTAGGATTTAAATCTGTCTCTACCAAGGTAGGTAGGATTTAATAATAATTTAACTTTACTGATTTCTTTGGAGAAGAGATTTACCCTTGCATTTAACTCAACCCCTTGGGGAACAGTGGGCTGCCATTGTGGGACGCCCTGGGAGCAGTGTGAGGTTTAAGGGTCTTTGCTCAGAGACCCAGAGTGGCAGTCTGTGGGAGTGGGGCTCGAACTCAGAACCTCAGATTTCCAGCCTCTATGCCCTAACCACTAGGCTGCCAGTTATCGATTTAAACTATGTATGTAAAATAAAACAGAAATCAATGTGGTCCAATGGGTTGTATTTACCTATAAACCATAAACAATAAATGTCTTTCAGAGCTACAAAACTGATATTTGGCTGTAGATTTTATCAATGATTTTGAAAAATTAAACAGAGGTGCTGAAACCAGTTCCAACTCTACAAAGCTGATTTGGTCTTTGACTGGAAACGTCTGATTCGGAAAGGTGAAAGGTCAAAGGAGGGCACCTCTCCCAGGCTGAGCTCACACAGAAGCTTTCCGATAACCGGTCCAAACTTGAAACCGTGACCTTAAGAGAAGAATCATAGTAAGAAATTATTATTTATGTCAGATGTCAAAAAAACAAAGACCAGTTATTTTAATCAGTTTTGAAGGAAAAGAGATCTCCAAAAAAAACCAAAAGGGAGGAGAGTTTTCAGATCTGCATATCAGCAATCAGATAGATTATACTTACTGTAGCTTTGAGGGAAAATGTGAATGTTGGTGATTGGCTGACTAAATCTTTTTTTAATTATCATTATACCTGAAAATCCTGCTCCAATGATGATATTGCTGTAGTTGGGATGGTAATCCAGCACAAAGTGACGATCAGGTGTTAGCTACAAAGAAAAAACAAGCAAAAATATATAACGAGTAAGAAAGTTCTAACAAATAATTTATATTTTGACATTCAAGACATTTTACAAGTAGTCATAACTTGAACAGATTACTGCCTTTAAACATATCACACTGTAACAATTAAGTAATATTTGACTATTTCATTCTGGTTTTGTTTTTTTAAATTTAGGGAAATGTCTGTGCAGCCAAACTGCTGATTCTTGTATTTATTTACATCCATGAGTAAGATCAACATTTGCGAATTAGCATAAGATGCTGGCCTTCACCACAGGACTTAAAAAGGCTTCTACAAAAGTAGTAATGGAAATTAAAATCCATTAATTTGAATTGAATTTGGAGGTTAATGCTGGAAAATGAGGTGTTGTGAATTAGCACTATTTAAATAAAATACTTATTTAATAGACGGACAATCCTTCCTTTGAATAATTATTGAGATTAAACAAGGTTTAAATAACAGCTGCAGTTCTGATCCAGCATGTTTGCTGACCTCACTATGTTTTGTGTTTTTTTTCCCAGTAGTTTAGTGTTTTCTTTTGGGGTTATTGAACAGAACAATAGTAGGGAATTATTTGGTAATAAAGTTAACTTATATAAAAGCATCATATATATATAAGTGTGGTCGTTTTTTTTTTTTGTTTGTTTGTTTTATATCAGTAATCTGTCATAAGGACTAGTCATTCCAAAAAAGTTTAAAAACAATCCACTGGACTTTGTTTCCAAGTTTGAAGACGTCTCGCTTCTAATCCAGGAAGTGAAACAGTGGCGCTGTAAAGTGCCTTGAGATGACATCTGTTGGGAATTGGTGCTATATAAATTAACTGAATTGAATTAAAGCTTTTTTTCAATTCATAATGTTAGAAATAGCGTTGAGTTTGAGGCTTTATATAGTAACCCAATAAAGCCTTCTGGTCTCCTGTAAAGCAGTTGGGGTTGAAGCTTTCAAAAACCTACAATGCAGCAACTGAGTTGATCCCTTCCCGCTATCATGGCAACCACAACCCCGTTACAGGTGAACGGAAGACCTCGCCTATTCAGCAGGCCAACAATTCCCTTTAACGACCCCCCTTTTCTAGACATAGACAGGTATGAGGTATTGCTGGCCAACAAGAGAAGCCAAACGACCCCCATTCCAAAGGGATGGACCTGTTCGTTTCAATTTGCATGTTGTCGAAGCAAAAACAAAGCTTTGTTAGGCTACTGTATAAAGCCTCAAACTATTTCTGACATTTTGAATTGAAAAAGCTTCCTGGATGGGAAGAGAAACATCATCAAACTTGGAAACAAAGTCCAGTGGATTGGTTTTTTTTTTTTACTTTTTGGAATGACTACGACCTGGATGACTGAGAATCTTCACCCTCATAAGGACTAGAGCTGTTGGCGTGGTTTTAAAGTGAACCCAGCAGTAAAATAACAGAAGTTTTCAAAGTTAGCTTACTGTGTACATGCAGCTCTCCACCACAGCAGGTTCAGGGATCAGGCCAGGCATGCATCGGGCTACGTAGCGCTTCAGGATGTCAATATCGGATTTATCTGTCTGCAGGTCTCTGTAATCTGGGTCGGTCTTGGCACCCATGTGGTAGCATATCTACAAACAGAAATTAAGATCAGTGACACCAACAACACTGCATTAAAACTGAACATATCTATGTGTGGTAAGAAGTTATTAATCAAATCCTGATTTTGAGCTGTTTTATCTGTTTCCTTTAGTTAGATTCTTCTTTTTTTTTTTTTTTTTTTTGCTTCTATTCAGTAGGCAAGTTTTTTATTGGATTTTGCACAAAACAAACCAAACAACAAAACCTAACGTCAATTCAGATTCAAGGCATCACACGAATCAGAGGCAGGTGAGAAAAAGAAAAAAGGTATTTCAACTGGATATGAAGCATTATGGCTGAGACGTTTGCTGCAGCCAAAAGAAAATGCAGTCTTATCAATTATTATATTCAATTATTCTATCTATTTCCATATTTATATCTATACTTTCCATTTCATAGTCAGAACCTGTTATGGAAATAGTCAACCATTAACTTCTCTAATATACAGAGTACCTTTAGATCAATGGGCTTCATGCATAAACATTTTTATATTCTTGTAAATTTCAACCCAAAGAAACACAGAGAAAAGCTGCAATGAGAAAAGTATTCAATTTATTTTTACATTTAGCACAATCTTATTCTTCAAAATATTTCTATCAGAGGCGAACCAGCTGATTGGATCAGTCGTTGACCCTCTGCAATCCCTTGCACTGAGCATGCATCCAGTGACAGTGGAGACGAAAACTCCCTTTTAAAAGGAAGAAACCTCCAGCAGAACCAGGCTCAGCGGGAGCGGCCATCTGCTGAGGTTCAAGGAGACAGGCGCAGATAAAGACATAAATAAGCTCTTTGGCGCTCAGACGCCGGCAGAAGAGTTCCATACTGTGAATTAACATTCAGTTGGAGGAGTAACTTAGAAAAGGATTAGAGTAGCCTTCCCCCCGGGGCCCGGACACCAGTGGGGGAATAAGCCAGAGAGTGAGAAGGACAAAAAATGAGGGAGGAGAGGGGGCCAAGATGAGTGAAAGTTCTCTTGTCTGTGGGAGAGAGAAGCTAGGCCAGGAGCTGAATGAGGGCGATCTAAAAAGATGATTGGCTTTGAGAAGGTGCAGCCCCGAGTTGATTGGCTGGAGCTGAACAGGGGACATCACAGGTGGTTCAGGTAAACATGATCAGAGTCTAACAGATTGAATTTTCACTTAAGCTTAATTTCTCATACTTTTTCTCCTACTGTGGGCTTTTATGAATAAACCACATCAGATTCAACAAACATTCCTAACTTCAGTAAATTATCATAAAACCTGATGAAGTCCAGTGATGTACTTTCCCCGGAAACGTAATGCCATATAGGGGCATGACTGTCCATGTTTCACAGAAAGGGCAGTGAAGATAAAGATGAAAAAATTGATTGTTTTTGGAGATCAAGGATATGCTGACTGAGGGCTGAGCAGCAGAATTAAAGGGCCAGTAAAAGCCGAGCTGAAAATGATGTGGTTGCACTGTTACATATACACTATATTGCCAAAAGTATTTGCTCACCCATCCAAATTATTGGAATCAGGTGTTCCAATCACTTCCATGGCCACAGGTGTATAAATTCAAGCACCTAGGCATGCAGACTGTTTTTACAAACATTTGTGAAAGAATGGGTCGCTCTCAGGAGCTCAGTGAATTCCAGCGTGGAACTGTGATAGGATGCCACCTGTGCAACAAATGCAGTCGTGAAATTTCCTCGCTCCTAAATATTCCACAGTCAACTGTCAGCTGTATTATAAGAAAATGGAAGTGTTTGGGAACGACAGCAACTCAGCCACGAAGTGGTAGGCCACGTAAACTGACGGAGCGGGGTCAGCGGATGCTGACGCGCATAGTGCGAAGAGGTCGCCAACTTTCTGCAGAGTCAATCACTACAGACCTCCAAACTTCATGTGGCCTTCAGATTAGCTCAAGAACAGTGCGCAGAGAGCTTCATGGAATGGGTTTCCATGGTCGAGCAGCTGCATCCAAGCCATACATCACCAAGTGCAATGCAAAGCGTCGGATGCGGTGGTGTAAAGCACGCCGCCACTGGACTCTAGAGCAGTGGAGACGCGTTCTCTGGAGTGACGAATCGCGCTTCTCCATCTGGCAATCTGATGGACGGGTCTGGGTTTGGCGGTTGCCAGGAGAACGGTACTTGTCTGACTGCATTGTGCCAAGTGTAAAGTTTGGTGGAGGGGGGATTATGGTGTGAGGTTGTTTTTCAGGAGCTGGGCTTGGCCCCTTAGTTCCAGTGAAAGGAACTCTGAATGCTTCAGCATACCAAGACATTTTGGACAATTCCATGCTCCCAACTTTGTGGGAACAGTTTGGAGCTGGCCCCTTCCTCTTCCAACATGACTGTGCACCAGTGCACAAAGCAAGGTCCATAAAGACATGGATGACAGAGTCTGGTGTGGATGAACTTGACTGGCCTGCACAGAGTCCTGACCTCAACCCGATAGAACACCTTTGGGATGAATTAGAGCGGAGACTGAGAGCCAGGCCTTCTCGTCCAACATCAGTGTGCGACCTCACAAATGCGCTTCTGGAAGAATGGTCAAAAATTCCCATAAACACACTCCTAAACCTTGTGGACAGCCTTCCCAGAAGAGTTGAAGCTGTTCTAGCTGCAAAGGGTGGACCGACGTCATATTGAACCCTATGGATTAGGAACGGGATGTCACTTAAGCTCATATGTGAGTCAAGGCAGGTGAGCAAATACTTTTGGCAATATAGTGTATGAATATAAAGTAAAAATATGGAAATAATAATAAAAATAATTTGATCTGAAACCATTGAAAAGATCTGATGGAGGCAAGAGGGGCATTATATGATGGAAATGCTTAATATAAGTTCAATATCAACAAAAAAGACAACATTCTGCTAAATCTGCTTCTAATACACTCACACTGGTACTGTAGGTGTCCAGCCCTCGTCTGCCATCCTTTCATCCACTCTTCATCTCCTTTATGTGCCCCCACTGCTAACATTAAATGTGCTAACACCAGGCTATCTCTGAGCTCCAATCTGCACACAGAGGGTGTTTCATCATTGCTAAGGGATTTTAACCAGGCTAACATGAAGACTGTGCTCCCATATTTTCACCAACATGGGGAGTTTGCAACTCTTGGTGAAAACACTTTAGACCTGATTTACTCTAACATCAATGATGCATTCAGAGTGCCCCAACCCCCCCCCCCACTCCCCCCACCCCCCCCAAACCCCACCCCACTCACACCACCCCCACCACCCACATCTCAGGTCATCAGATCACATCTGGGTCACGCTAATCCCTGCATATAAGCCCCAGCTGGTCAGGCCAAAACCAACAGTTAAAGAGGTCCGAGTGTGGTCTGAGGACGCCATGGAGAAACTCCAAGAATGTTTTTAATGACTAGAACATCTTCAAAGCTGCTGCAACCTATGAAAACGTATTAAATATTGATGAGTATGCCATGACTGTGACAGCCTACATTAAGAAATGCATTTAGGACGTCAGTGTCAAAAAGAACATCATCACCTGAGCCAACCAACCACCCTGGATCAATGGAGAGGTTCGGAAATTGCTAAAAGCCCCGGAACTCAGCTTTCAAGTCTGCTGACAGAGAGGCACGAAGGACAGCGTGTGCCAACTTCAACCGTGCCCTCAGATCAGCGAAGCAGAACCACAGTGTTCCCAAATGTTATATCCTGCAGATAATGAATAGATTAACTAGAACTGGAGTTGTAGTTAATTATTTTACTTATTCAAAATTGGAGGTGAAATAATTTAGTGTGCTTAGTTGAATAACTGTAGCTCTAATTTGCTCACTTACCAGGGTTTAAGCCTTTCACCTCTGGATGGTTCCCGGATCGGCTGTTAAAATCCAGGTAACCCCACCAATTTAGTGACTTAGGCTAAATTATCAGCAGAGCTTTTTATTATAAATCAAATACCTATTTATCTATGTTACCAAAAGAGGGTGAATCTGGCCTGAGTGATAAATCATTCGTATATCAATTAAAAACAACTTCAAGTTAAACAATGATGTCTTTATTTTATATAATTTAGGATAACAGAAATCTAACATCTATGCAGAACACTACACGCTTTCAGAAAAAAACACGAGGTAGACTTAAGTGACTAGTTTTGAAAGAAAAGGAACAAAACCCTAAGAGCCCGTTTAATTGGCTTCTGAGATTGTCCAAAATACCAGATGTTAATAAATTCAATAGTGTCTGTTTGGAATAGCAGCAGATATGATGACAACAGTGCAATTAAAAACAACGTAAATACATTCAGCTTAAATAGTGGTTAAAAATAAATTAACAACACCAGCATGTTACAACCAAACTCATACATCAACAGTAGAAGTTCGTTCAAGCAACAGGAGGGGCAGACAGTGTGTGTCTGTGTGTGTGTGCTATGCACGAAGAATACACTGCGGTCCGAGAATTTTGATGCAACCACCCCCAACCGCTCCACAGAGGACACCATCTCTGCTGCATCTCTACAATCATTGATTGAGGCCCATTGATTCTGTGTTTCTTCTGTCTCTCTTCTCTGTCTGCCAGAACCTCCAGTCATTGTGCAGATGCAACTTCACACTGGGACTTTTCCACTGTGGCCGATTACTTACAGTGTTTAATGGAAAGATGTTTACTTGATGCAATCATCTGGTTTCCCTTAGATGGAAAGCTTTTAATCAGTCTGTCTGGATGATTTGTTTAAATTAACTCTAAAAATGCTTTTAGATGACATGTTAATTGCCATTATGTAAACAAAATTAATCAAATTAAATCAAAAGGATTTATAATCCCTTTCACATCTCATATATATGCCACCATTTAACCTGCTAATCTGTGATTCGCCAGAAAGCAATCCCTGCCCTGTCTGTGCATAAACAAATATTAAAATAAATAAGAGGAAACAAAGCATTTAGCATCTGCCGTCTTAAAAGAAAAGCTGCATCTAACTTTATACTAAACAAAACCAGATGGGATCTGCAAGGATGAAATACACATCGAATTAATCAACCTAGTCACATGGAAATATTTTTTATTGATCGTTTTTGTAAGCTGTGTACTTTCTGACAGTGCAGATGAAGGCAAATAGGGAATTTATTAATCATGCTGCTAGATTTGAGTTTTTAAAGTTAAGGATCATCACGGGTGCAAATTGAAACATATTTTACTGGTAGTGGTAATCCTAAACTCTACATTTAATCTGTGCAAAATGAAGCCCAAAAATGGAGTCTAGTAGACAACCGGAGAGAAAACAAATGAATCAAATAGTTTCAGTCAAAGGGCTAGCTCAGCAGAGGGACAGAGAGAATGAACACCAATGGACACACAAAGCACAAAAAGGCATAAATATATTATAACTGAAAAGCAATAGAAGACAAGCAGAGAACTTAAACAAGTTTCAACTGTCTCAATAATCAAACCGATGTCCTACTGTAATCCTACTGGTTAGCACACAATGCTGAAGGGTCTAAAACACACACCCACCTTTACCAAACCTGGATACTCATTGGACGGGAGACCATAGATGTGTTCTTTGGTCTCCGCACCCTCAGTGAGTAGGAAGCACGGAAAGCGCTGCTTCACATCGTATGTCCCAGGAGTCTTCTCTCTCCAGTAGCAAACATTGATCTTGACTACCTGCAGTGCAAAGGTCAAATCAAGAACACAGATTACCTCAGTTACATAAAAAAAACAACAATCTTAAATGAAATAATTATACGTTTCAGTTTTCAGTTTCATGTTGATGTCTTTTGTTTTCTAGTTTTATTTGTTTAATTCCTATTTTGTTGTGTTTTTGGTTGTATTTGACTTCTTAGACTTTTCTTTGTTGCCCTCTTGTGTTGGTTTCCTTTTCCTTAGCTGTTTTCCTAGAAGCCTCTGTTCACACCTGCTCCCAAACAATCCTCCATCTGTTCAATCAACCATAAATACTCTTCCTGTGCAGTTCCTCAGTGCTGGTTCCTCATCTCTCCTGGTCTTTCCCTGGCTTCTCCTGCTTGTTTTCCCAAATGTCTCCCTGTAGGTAGAGGGGCTCAGGTTTTTCTGAGCATGTCTAAAATTATGATGCAATAGGCGTAGACTGCTGGAGGACATAGGGGCCCCTTTTTCATAATTCTGCTTCATTCTATCTCTATTCTCCAACTCTGTAGAATTATAGTCCAATCTCTATGTCACTCTTGTCTGCTTCTGTCTCCTTGAACCCCAGTCGGCCTCGGCAGATGGCCGCTCACACTGAGCCTGGTTCTGCTGGAGGTTTCTTCCTGTTAAATGGGAGTTTTTCCTTTCCACTGTCGCTACAAGCATGCTTAGTGTGAGGGATTGCCTTTGCTCCAATGAGTCAATGCAATCAACTTTTCTTCCTTAGATTCCTAGAAAACTTTTAATCAGTTTGACTGTATGATCTATTGAACATGTGATGACATGTGATGAGATGACGTGTGTTGTGAATTGGCCCTATATAAAATAACCCGAATAAATGAACTGAATTGAGTTAGCCCTATATAGAAGCACTCAACAAACTTGAACTGAATTAAGTTTATAAAGCAAATGATCCAGTTTACAGGGAGTCAAATCAATGCAATTATACATTAAAATATTAAAGCTAGAACGATTATAGAAAAAATTCACTGATCCTTTAGGACTGTAACGCTTACTGAGCATGCAGTGTTGACCTTGGAAAGGAAAACTGAAAGAAAAGTCCAGTTTAAAGTGACTCAGTATGAGCAGCTACCTGGAAAAACCTCTACTTTGGGCAATAGAACTAAAGAGAAGCAGTGATTCATGAGTACTTTCTATGTTAAAGAAAACATATATTTTTTATTAATTTAACAATATTGTTATACTGAAACATCACTTCCTATATCACTTTCTTCAGACTGCCGTCTTTCAATCAATGTTTTGTATGTTAATGGTTGTTAGTCACTGATTCTGGTAAATAAAACAATCTGCTGGTGCATGAGAGCTGGATGCTGCTAGCTGTTATAGACCTGTCTCTGTTCCCTTGAACCTATTGATGCAGTTTCAGTTCATTTTTAGCATAGAACATGTCCTGGCACTTGTAATGTGTCATTTTTGTCTCTGTAGGTACAGTCCGCTCAGTTCCTTCCTGTTAACGGCATCACTGTTGCAGCTCTGTGCATTTGAACTCTCAGGAAGTTTTACTCCTCCATCACTTCCCATAATAAGAATAATCTCTGCTTATAATTATAATAAATCGATGACTATATCCTTTGTCTTCATTCAAGACCAGGTTGTTTCCACACAATACTGAAAATTGATGCACATATCTAAACTACATCAGACAGCTTCAGTATTTACAGAATCAGACTGATGTCAGAGGTGTACAGAGTGAGAAAAGGTCCCTCAGCTTCCCAACTACTGTCTGTTCATCAGGTGTGCATCATACTAAAAATATCCTATGAAACCAAAAGAGATTTGGAATAGAAGAATAGAAAATCCCTTTATTGTCCCACAACAGGGAGATTCATTAGTCAAATGGTTTAAATTAGAATACCTTTGAAGACAAATGTACTTAATGAATTTTGTCCAGAAAAGGACCACTGTGGCTCTAACCAGGAAACAAATTATGCATAACTGGCTGAGATCATGATGGTGTGCAGATAACCATTGCAACATACAGTTGATTCTAGGCTGGGATTCTCTAGTATGGTCTGGATTTTAGTTTTTAAATAATCATAAATGCTTCACTTCACAAAAAACTACTATAATCATGTTTATCCTATGAAATGTTGCAATGCTGCATACAGTAAATACAGTCATACCAGCAATATTACACATAAGAACTGCTGAATACCTCCAGTGGTAACTGGAAACCAGTGTGAGCCAGGAGTCTGTTGGTCCAGGGTCCAGCAGTGATCACAACACTCCTCGCTTGATAAACTCCTTTAGACGTTGTCACCTTGACAACAGAGCCAGGCTTGATTTCCATAACCCTCTCATTGTCTCTTATGACCCCTCCCAACTTCTGAAACTGGCCCTGGAAAAATAAAAAATAAATACAACTTTTTGTGAGAAGGGAAGTCAGTTTTATCCAAATTTGAATCAATAAATATTAATGCTTCAAAACATGTATTTAAAAAAAAACAGCAAAGAAACTTTAACATTTTTAATTTATTTGAACCTAAATTCATTTCTTTACAGTTTTGCAATTAATGAATATAAAATTGAGGAGTGATTAACATAAATTTCCTAACTTCATGCAATTGTGTGGCTTTCTTAAGATGGATCACTTTTTGCCTTTTTTAAATTACGGACTGTTCAGCGGTCTTCAATGTGGGAGTCAGGGGGTTTGTGAGTTCTGCATTGAATGTGCTGTGCTGTTTCCATCAACACCTTTGTATATATATATATATATATATATATATATGTTCGAACTCAGCCTGTTTTTCAGTGTAGTCCTGTTTCTCTGACTTTGCTGTGCTCTCTTTCATCCTCTGACATGGGAGCTGGCTCGGAGCTCATCTGCCTGGATGTGTGTTTCCTGGACGGAGCTGGTTGACAGTTGCCTTTTGCATCTTTGCTTCCGTCTCCTTGAACCCCAGTCAGCCTCGGCAGATGGTCAGGTTTCTTATGCTTAGTGTGAGGGATTGCTGAAGAGTCAATGAGTCGATGCAATAAACTGGTTTTCCTTAGATAGAAAACTTTGTTGCATATTTTGACTGTATGATGTGGTTGAACTGTCTCTGTAAAGTGCCTTGAGATGACATGTGGTGAATTGGCGCTATATAAATAAACTTAATTAAAATTAAATTGAATTATCAATACTTTGCATTGAGGGCTGGTTACTGTAGAATTTTTCTAGATTTATTTAGTTACATCATTTCAAGTATAAATTAGCTCTAAAATTCTCTGAGCTAAATGGGTCAAATCAGCATGTCAACTGTAGTTCATACCTATAGGGGGATTGTTGGCCTAGTGGTTAGAGCTTTGTGCTCTGAGAAGGTTGCAAGTTCGATCCCCTCTCCAGTTCCAACCAAAACATTTAAGCAAGCTCTGATTTCCACCTTATTTCGGATATGAACGATCAATTCCTAATACATATGTGCCATAGGTTTATAAAATAGCTGTAATTAAACCTTTACTTATGAAACCTTCACTCAATCCAACTTATTAAATTAATACGTTTATTTCCACAAATTCTTTCCACAAATTCTGGAGAATATAGTTGCTAGTTTAGTTTTATTCAATTCAATTCAGTGTATTAATATAGCACAAATTCACAACACGTCATCTCAAGGAACTTTACAGTTCACCAAATCATACAGTCAAATTGATTCAGTGTTTTCTGTCTAAAAAAATAAACAGTTGAGTCATGATCGTGGCACCATAGGCTGGGTTTTACTCCTTCTCGATCTGTTTTGCTCCTTCCCATAATTATCTCTTATCAGATCCACCTGTTTCTTCTGTTATTTATGCCACCGGTTCCCAGCCCATGGTGCCAGATTATTCGAGCTTCCAGCATGGAACATGGTAGGGTGAAGTCACGTTCATACTCGCGTTTTAGCCTTCCAAAACTGAAAAGATTTATTTGTTTAAAAAAATGCAGAATAAAACTACAAAATGATCAAAAATGCTTATAAACTAATTCTATTCACTTGTCTCCGAGTTGATGCAGATCCAAATGCTGATGAAGACAGTTTGGTGCTCGGAAAATAGGGAATTGGCCTTTTTTTTTTTTTTGGTATGACTGAAGATAATATATTTAATAGCCTGAAATTTATTAAGCAATTAGTTCTGCTTGTTTTAGATCTCGGTTTTGCAGTACTCCTGCTTGTTTGCAGGAGCTGCTGAGCAGACATCAAGTTCTGCAGAAGTTTGTTAATCATTTCTTCATATAAGTTAGGTGTGTAGCAGCAAGGAGAGACCTAAAACTTCCAGGACAATGATACAGGACCAGGGATGAGAACCACTGTATGAAGCATAAATTACAGGTTTATTTATGTTAATGTTTTTTAACATATTCTTGGAAATGTAATTAAATAAGTATATTTGTGTAACTTTAACAATAGCTGCCAAAAGTGTCATTACAAGCTTCTGGCTACTGTCGTGCAACCAGCTTGATTTCAGCTTGATTAGAACATACACTTTAGAAGATGTAGCCCTACTTTAGGAAAATTAAATTCTGAGAATATAACTGGAAGAAACATTTTTTCTCTTTGCTCTAGATAATGAAAGAGTTACTTCCTAAGACTAAGTGAACCGTACCTGTACAGCTTTCAGGGCGCGGTCTGCAAACAGGACTCCAGCTGTTACATCTACCAGGGCACCATCTCCTTCAGCCAGGATGACATTCGGGATGTTCTGCTTGAAGTTGTCACGGGTCAAAATCACTGTGGGAACCTTATTCTTCTGTAGAGTATTCTTGAATAACTGGTAATCTCCATGGTTTTCTGGTCCCATGACCAACAGTCCTGTTTGTCTGTAGAGATAAAGATCTTAGAGTTATAAGGCTCACCTAATCCAAACTGAAATAAACATAACTTGTTCTGCTACATTTGGAAAACAAGGTCGTCAAAGTGTTTCTGACTGCTAATATCATCATGTTCATGATGATGATGATCGTCATCATCACCATCATCACCTCCATATGCTGGTATCCATATTTATCCTATTGCAGCACATGCACATGTAGTACCATGATTATAACATAACTCTATAGGCAAGTCATTAGACTGGCTAACCTGAACAGTTGCACACCGGCATCCTTCTGCAGTTGAGTCCACTGACGGTAGCATTCCTCCATCATTCGAGTGTAAAAGTCTTGCTCATAGGCCTTGCGAATAATTCGAGTTTGTCCATGGGAACTACCCCGGGTGTGAGGGAGGATAAACTAAAAAACACATTTTCAAGATTAAGGAGAAGGACAACCTGCTGCTAAAATTATGTACTGTAAAGTAAATATGCTATAATGGGGCATAAAATAGCAGATTGCCTCAATTTGAAAACATGACTAGATTAAAAAATGTAAAGAGACGTTTAGAACACAGCCATGCAGGTGAACTCCGAGCCAGCTCCCATCTGAGGATGCTCTCTCTGCTTTTGCCAAAGTAGCTTCGCCTTGTCTGTTCCTGCTTGGCTGTGACAATACTGCAAATCACTGGACGACATGCACAGAGGATTCTGCCATCCGTTCATTGATTTTGAGAAAATTGATAAGCTACAAGACCCCGAAACAGCAGTGCATGAGCTGCAACTGGAGCTGATCGAGCTTGAGTCTGACTATGTTTTAAAAGAGAAGTACAAATCAATTAAACTTAAAGACTTTTACGCTTCACTTAACAAAGCAACGTTTCCAAACCTCCAAAAGACTGCACAGAAGATGCTGGCATTGCTTGGCTCGACCTACATGTGTGAGCAGAATTTCAGCTTAATTTTAATTCAGTTAAGTTTATTTATATAACGCCAATCCAATACACGTGATCTTAAGGCACTTTACAAAGACAATTCAACCAGACCATAAAGTCAAAGTATTCAAACTTTTCTATCTATGGAAAACCAGTTGATTGCATCGACTCATTGACTCAAATGCAATCCCTCACACTAAGCATGCTTGTAGTGACAGTGGAGAGGAAAATCTCCCTTTTAACAGGAAGACACCTCCAGCAGAACCAGGCTCAGTGTGAGCGGCCATCTGCTGAGACCCACTGGGGTTCAAGGAGACAGAAGCAGAGATACAGAAATAAGCACAGATACAAAAGGCAACTGTCAACCAGCTCTACAGGCGGCTGCGTCCAGGAAACACACAGCCAGGCAGATGAGCTCCAGGCCGGCTCAAATGTCAGAGGATGAAGAGAGCACATCTAGTTTGTCACAATCAGAGAAACAGGACTACACTGAAAAACAGGCCAAGCTCAACATCTATAAACAAAAGCATTGATGACAGCAGCACAGCTGATATTTCTCTCCATGATGGAGTCAGAGCCAAACAGGAACTGAGCAGATGAAGCTACTATGAGAAAAAACAGAGATAGAAGAATGTTAGAGATTGAACTAACAAATTAGAATAGAGATAGAATGAAGACAAAGAATGAAGAGGGGGTCCCTTTGTCATGTTTATAGCAGCATAACTATAGAGATAGCTCAGGATAACCTGAGCCACTCTAACTAGAAGCTTTATCAAAAAGGAAAGTTTTAAGCCTAGCCTTAAAAGTAGACAGGGTGTCTGCCTCAGGGACTAAAACTGGTAGTTGGTTCCACAGGAGAGGAGCCTGATAACTAAAAGATCTGCCTCCCATTCTACTTTTAGAAATTCTAGGAACCACTAGTAAACCTGCAGATTGAGAGTGAAGTGCTCTGTTAGGAACATAAAGAACAATCATATCGTAAGATGGAGCTTGACCATTTAAGCAGGATTTTAAATTCTATTCTGGATTTACCAGGAAGCCAAAGAAGAGAAGCCAGGATAGGAGAGATATGATCTCTCTTTTTCATTTTCATCAGAACTCTGGCTGCAGCATTTTGGATCAGCTGAAGGCTTTTAACTACAGTTTGTGGACTTCCTGATAGTAAAGAATTACAATAGTCCAGCCTTGAAGTAACAAATGCATGGACTAGTTTCTCAGCATCACCACAGGACAGGATATTTGTAATTTTTGCAAGATTGTGCAGATGAAAGAAGGGAATTCTAGAAACCTCTTTGATATGGGATTAAAATGACAGGTCCTTAACAAAAATAACACCAAGATTTATGTCTTTATTATCCGAGATCAATCTAATCACTTACAAATTAAATGACTGAGTAATGAACATCAACAAAGCCCGTCACAGATCCTGGTTACCTGTCCAAAACCGCAGATCTATTTTGAAAGTTGCCATAACAAAACTTGCAAAAGCGGGAGAACAACAACACCATTCACACTGAAATGGGAGTTTTTCTACTGTGTTATTAGGAAAAAATAGCAACTTGCGCTTTTATGCACAGCAGCGGCACAGAAGCTTAATTAACATGCTGCTAATTAACATAACACACCACTCTAAAATGAAAGACCCCTTTCTTTCATTGGGTAATTATATGTTATGATTGTTTAAAGTGATTCCATTGATATTTTTCCAGTAAATGTTGATTTCTATAAATTTGCCCCTTCAATTATTTTTTTCATCCTTTCCAATCCCCAGGTTTGATAAATTACATTGCATGTCCAAATGCTCCTGTCAAATTTTAAAACCCATTAATGGTTCATTAAGAGACCATGCTAAGTTTAAGTTTAAACAAAAAAAAGCATTTATTAAAAAATCTAACAAAACATAAGTAATGGAGGGAGCAGCAATTCCATGTTTTTAAAGGGGCACACTATCTCAACAAACTTTTTTTTTGTCTCAGGCTTAACCATTGCTATGGCTACTGTGCTTAGAGGATAAAATATATTAATAAAATACCCCCCAAAAAAAGAATAGTTAAATTCAAACTATAAGGCTGCATCCATTCTATTCACTCCAACGTTTTACATCAGTCTAAATACATATATTGATAAACATGAATGCAGATGTCAGGCTGAGGGAGTCAGTAGAGCTAACTACAGCAGCACCACCCACCAATGCATGGTTTGTCCCACTTCCATCAGGAAATCAATTCAGGATTATTGCATCAGAAACAGAGTGGGGATAGAAACTAGTCACATTTACTCAGTTACATTTACTTGAGAAAATGTATTTAAAAAAGTACTTTAGGAAGCAGTTATACAGCAAAATACTTTTTACTTTTACATTAAGAAAATATCTGGCTACTCCATCCATTGTAGGAAACTCTACTTACTGTTTTAAACAAATATGAACCATTTGGAGAAACACTTTCTTCTTTTTATACTCAAGGCTTATTGGTTGAATTTATAAATACTGACTGACTAAGTAAATTTAACAAATAAAAAAATCCTTTGAAGAGTGTTCATTCCACCTATTTTTTTATTGTGTAATCACTGTATTTTATATATTTATCTTAATCTAGGCTTTCTCAGACCATAGATCAGCAATGGACCAAAATTTAATAAACGAGTTGTAATCGGATTAATTTTTCTAACTTTCTAATGTCCGGCAGTATTAGCAACGGTTCATGCCATCTGAACCATTGAGAAAGAAGTGTCTTAAATATAGTAATGTTCGGTACATTTTCACTGTCTCAGAACTTATTTACAAAATGTGTTTCCATTTCCTCTTTAGTATATTTATGCTTGTAATACATCGGGTAAATCACCTTTAAAAAACAAAAGTCTAAAACCATGAACTTAAAAACCTTTTTCACAAAATGTATTACGTTTATTTGAATGTTGCTGTTTACCTATTGTAATACTTCAAAATAAAAGCTTGTTTACTTATGGTGGTAAGCTAAATTGTTGCCCCAGCTGCCCTGGGGGCACAGGTGGCACCAGGCAGGGGCGGATTTAGGAAATGTTGGGCCCCTGGCAGGCAGGGGGCCCTCTGAAATGAGAAGACAATACATAAAACAGACCCATTCTACAAATAGAATGGGTCTGTTTATGTATTGTCTAGCTTGGTGCTAGGCGCTTTTTTGAAATAAAAGTGCTAGAGGGGTTTGAAAAGTCGCTAAATATAGCAACAAAAGCGAAAAGGTTGGCAACATTGCTCTTTAAAATGTTTGTTTTCAAATGGTTTGCTGCTGCCTGTTCAAACCTTTCTGAACATGTGCAGCAAATGGACTGATCCAATATGGTGGACACTGAAGGGGGGGACTGAGACCCACTTAATATTATAAGCGTTCTAATGGCATTTTAGCCATTTTTTAAAGGATTTTTTTATCAAAAAACATAATTAATGTGCACAAATAAGGAATGGTTGTTTTAACCATACATGTAAACAGAATTTTTTGGGGCCCCCAGGAACTTGGGGCCCTAAGCAACTGCCTAGTATTGCCTAATGGTAAATCCCCCCCCGGCACCAGGCCCTATGATCGTCAACAGTAGGCCGTCCCACAGTGGGGAAGTTGAGGTATGAGAGTATCAAAAACAAGTATGCAGAAGTCAAAATATATGTCTCTCTCAGTGAATATAAATGCTGTGCAATTATTAATTCTCAAAGGCTTATGTAGTTAAAAAATAGAAATGTTCAAGCCAACGTTATTTTATAATCTGAAAAACTTTCTATGTTATTCATACTGTTTTACACATTCCCCCATTCCCCCCATACACATCTTCAAATTAAAATCAACATTTAAATTTCCTTTAGTTTCCCAAACCCACTTGAGTTCAGTGTGAACAATGTCACAAACAAATGGCTGCAAAATAAATAAACCGCAGCGAAAGTAAACTGCTCTTTGAATCCATGAACACAATCTATGGCTCTTGCAATGAGCACACATGTGCTATTAGTGGCCTTAAAGCCACAGGCTGCATGTTTGTGTGCAACACACCTGCTCCAGCAGCAGAGTCTTCTTGTTCTGTTTAACCAGCTGGTAGGCCGTGCAGGAGCCCTGGACACCCGCCCCGATCACCACACAGTCATAGTCCTGCTGGGTGGACATGATGGCCTCCTTCTTCTCATGCAAACAGCAGTTGCTGTTGGGTGACAGCTTTCTACACTTTATACCATACTTCTCCGCCCCCACCAACTGAAGGCGGACCGAAGATAATCTTTCAGTCTAAAACCCACAGTGCTGCCTGGCAGCAACATGTCACTGAATTAAAGGAAAAGTCTGGTCATATTTAGAATTCAAACTTCTGAAATTACTTTAAATATGAAATTATTATGAACTGTTCAATAAATGAGCAGTGTTTTTAATTCAGAGTAATTTTCATGTGAATGTGCTTTACTGGAGGCATCCATGTTTGTCAAAGAACACTACTGCCACCTACTGGTTAGTGACGTCACGGTGCGGTATTGGCTGTTGATCAAGTCCCAATGCTGTATCTGGTGTTTGTCACAACGCGCTATTATCCAAATCATCTTGAAAACATTCTTCTTCCAAATGTTGGCTACATATTACGTGTTTTTTCTCTGGCCAGAAGTTCGATGGCAAATCCTCCCTCTTCAAGTTGGCGATCCAACGTCGAACCCGTCCGTGGAGGATCAGGAATCGGAAAGGTGGAATAACACATTTTTTGCCACTTTTACCCGATGTATTCCAGCATCCAGCTGCCATGCACGTGGGCATTGTCAGTTTCACTATAGCTCTGGTGAATTTCAATGGTGAAGTCCTCTGGAAATCTTCAATAATAGTTGCTGATTGCAGACGTGTCTAGTAGTTCCCACTGATTTTGCTTGTAAAGCGGGGAGAGGGGGAGGTCAATGATAGATAAAGACGCAAAAAAAAGGCTACATACTTAATTTACCCTTAACCACAATCTTTGTGCTTTTTCAGGAACAATAACTATTTTATTGCTTTAAATTCCACAGATCCCTTTACCATCTTACTACACCTTCAACCCAACTGAGACTTAAGTTTACTTAACTTTTATCGGTATTGATATAATCTGCTTTGCTGCTTGAATTTATGTTTTTACAGAGTTTTTACAGATTTTAAGCTGCTTTGCTTCCAGCCATTATTGAAGTTTATTTGATCTTATTCACAGCTCTATCTTTCAGGTGTGGTTGGTATCAAAGCACTTTTTAAAATAAAGTTGATGATGATGGGAAATGTTGTGTAAATATGTATGAGTTCCTAAAGTTCACAAATATAAGAAAGAAGATGATCAATACATTTGACAATCCTATCAACCACATCTGTATTTGTTAATTCCATGTAGCATATATTTAACACAGAGTAGGATAAAATTGTCAGAACTCACTACAGAACAGTTAAATGTTCCTTAACGTATTTTGTAAACATTGCTTTCAACAATGTTTATAAAGATCTTTTCTTGCACAGTCAATCTTTCAGTTTGCAAAACCGCAATAATTCAGGAAAGATGTATCTCTTTACTGCTGCTCAATGTCAACTTAAACATATCTTGCTGAAAACACAGATGTCACTTAAAACCTTTCCAAGAGGCAACACAGACAGACCTCTTTAGTGGCTGTAAAGGGCTGCACATTCTTATCACTTTACAAGATTTGAATGCACAAGCAGGACTTGCGTCATTCAATGTTTTCAGCACTCTTGCCCGATGCTGGGACAGCGGGCCATGAATGGTTTGCCCTGGTCATATCTGGCCTTTTCCTGCACGAGTGTTACAGCAGATCAAAGGGCACTGTTACGCTTATATAACAGACAGAAAATGTAGGTTACTGGTTATTGTTTGCTGTCTCTTTTGGCAGATCTGCAAAAGGAGAAATGCTGCCATTGCACAATACAAACACAAAAAAAAACACACTGCTTATACATTACACTTTTCATTTTTATTACCAAAATCTTGATCCTGACATATACACTCACCGGCCACATTATTAGGTACCCCATGCTAGTAACGGGTTGGACCCCCTTTTGCCTTCAGAACTGCCTCAATTCTTCGTGGCATAGATTCAACAAGGTGCTGGAAGCATTCCTCAGGGAGTTTGGTCCATATTGACATGATGGCATCACACAGTTGCCGCAGATTTGTCGGCTGCACATCCATGATGCAAATCTCCCGTTCCACCACATCCCAAAGATGCTCTATTGGATTGAGATCTGGTGACTGTGGAGGCCATTTGAGTACAGTGAACTCATTGTCATGTTCAAGAAACCAGTCTGAGATGATTCCCACTTTATGACATGGCGCATTATCCTGCTGAAAGTAGCCATCAGAAGTTGGGTACATTGTGGTCATAAAGGGATGGACATGGTCAGCAACAATACTCAGGTAGGCTGTGGCGTTGCAACGATGCTCAATTGGTACCAAGGGGCCCAAAGAGTGCCAAGAAAATATTCCCCACACCATGACACCACCACCACCAGCCTGAACCGTTGATACAAGGCAGGATGGATCCATGCTTTCATGTTGTAGACGCCAAATTCTGACCCTACCATCCGAATGTCGCAGCAGAAATCGAGACTCATCAGACCAGGCAATGTTTTTCCAATCTTCTATTGTCCAATTTCGATGAGCTTGTGCAAATTGTAGCCTCAGTTTCCTGTTCTTAGCTGAAAGGAGTGGCACCCGGTGTGGTCTTCTGCTGCTGTAGCCCATCTGCCTCAAAGTTCGATGTACTGTGCGTTCAGAGATTCTCTTCTGCCCACCTTGGTTATAACGGCTGGTTATTTGAGTCACCGTTGCCCTTCTATCAGCTCGAACCAGTCTGGCCATTCTCCTCTGACCTCTGGCATCAACAAGGCATTTCCGCCCACAGAACTGCCGCTCACTGGATGTTTTTTCTTTTTAGGACCATTCTCTGTAAACCCTACAGATGGTTGTGCGTGAAAATCCCAGTAGATCAGCAGTTTCTGAAATACTCAGACCAGCCCTTCTGGCACCAACAATCATGCCACGTTCAAAGTCACTCAAATCACCTTTCTTCCCCGTACTGATGCTCGGTTTGAACTGCAGGAGATTGTCTTGACCATGTCTACATGCCTAAATGCACTGAGTTGCCGCCATGTCATTGGCTGCTTAGAAATTAAGTGTTAACGAGCAGTTGGACAGGTGTACCTAATAAAGTGGCCGGTGAGTGTATGTCTCACCTATAACAGTTCTCAACATAAACTAATACTGAATATACTAAAATATTTCTTAGAAAGCAAAGAACCATTTCAGTGAGTTGTGAACAGAGGTATGCTAGGGCAATATTTTATACATCCTGTGCTCACAATCATCATAGCACTGGGCGTCACATCCATAAAATCAAAACTGTAATTGCATGACTTGAATGAATTGGTGAATAAATATTTTGAAGAAATCAATTAAATTAACTTATTCTATATTAGCATTTGACAATTTAGACATTGAATTTTCCGACTGTGCCTCCAGTCTGTTCCTCTCTTGAGCTATCTGTACTTCTTTTCTCCCTTCGTTTTCTCACCCCTCCCTCTCCTGTTGCTCCTTGAAAGCTGATTGTCTCTCTTTCCTCTCTCACATTAGGTATTGATTCCCCCATCCCTGACAGTCATAACCAAAGCATTGAAGGAAAAGAAAATGCCATATGATTGTTGATGTAGCCATTTGGAAAAACATGGAAAGAGTCAAACCAATATTCCATAATACTTTAAATTTCATATCAGTTTAATGTTATCTTCATCCAAGCCATAGCATGGGCCAACAGTGTAACACTAATTAACCCTAACCCAAGGGCCAACAGGGGCCCTATAGAACTGGTCCCGGACCCTATTATGGCCCCTGTACTGTACTGACATAATACAAAATCAATTTTATATGCTGATCTGCTTTTGCAAAGAAACTGGAACTGACTTGGAACCAGTAGGGTCACAATTCTCCAGAATCATCATGGCTGTTTGGCTTTCTTGATATATTGAAATTATGAATTATGTCTGTGTTTTTTGTGCGACTGTTTTTCTGTGGGTCGCCACAAAAATAACACCGGCCCCAGCCTAGATCTCTTGGTAGAACTAGTCTAGAACGGCACTGGTGAACACTATAGTGTCTGCCTCATGGACTCACTAATCCATGAGGTAGACACTATGTCTACTTTTAACGGCCACATCTGGCAGGGGAAAATTTCAGTCCAGACAGATGTTTCTCCTTGACTTCATTCCAAATAGTTCGGTAATCTTGAGCTATCTTCTATATTTATGCTGCTAAAAATATAGAATGCCTCATTCTGGTTCATTCTATCTACAATATATTCTCCCGTTCTGCAGTATCTGTTAAGTTCCATACATAACTTAATACTCTATCTGCTTTTTCTCATCATAGTAGCTTCATCTTCATCAGCAGCACTGCTTCATTAGCTGTGCTGCTGCAATCAACACCTTTGTTTATAGATGTTGGGAGCTTGGCCTGTTTTTCAGTGTAATCCTGTTTCTATGACTGAGACTAACTGGATGTGCTCCATTTCATCCTCTGACATGGAAACTGGCTCGGAGCTCATCTGCCTGGCTGTTTTTCCTGGAAGTGGCCGCATGTGGAGCCGGTTGACATTTGCCTTTTGTATCTCTTTGAACCCCAGTCGGCCTCAGCAGATGGCCGCTCACACTGATACTGGTTCTGCTGGAGGTTTCTTGCTGTTCAAAGGGAGTTTTCCTCTCCACTGTCGCTGCAAGCATGCCTTTAGTGAGGGATAGCTTTTGAACGAATGAGTTGATGTAATCAACTTATTTTGATTATATAGAAAACTTTGAATCAATTTGACTGTATGATTTTGTTGAATCTTCTCTTTAAAGTGCCTTGAGAGGACATGTGTTGTGAATTGTTTTATATAAATAAACTGAACCGTAGACTAAATAGTAACATAAAAATGGGAAGCATGAAAAACCCCACAGTGTAACTATTAAAGAAATGTTATGCAATATATATATCTTTGTCAGAACCCTTACATTTTCACCTTTTCCGCAAGCCTGTATGGAGATAAAGATTTTTTACTAAATCAGATCAGATTCAGTTGGAGAGATTTTATCAAACAACCTGTTTACTCTGAAATACTGTGTGTAAAAATCACTATTAACTTATTCATACATCAAACATCTTATGTGAGAGAATTCTAAATGCAAGAAAAACATTAGTGCCACTTTTTTCCACATGTACATCACTCTAATTTTTACAATTGTTTTGATTTACAAACAGTGTTTATATAGACATAAAATATAAAATATGCAGAAATTACATTTATTCATCAGCATTTTTTTACATTTTAATCAGAATTGGGTTTCAGAAATAGTAGCTCTATCTAAAATGTTACTTTAATATAAGCTAAAACCACCAAGGAGAACAGATGCTGATAATGAGTTTAATAATCAAACCTGGAATCAATACATAAGATCATTAAAAGCAAAATACATTTTATATTCAGAAAATGTTGTTTTTCAAGCAGCCATCAGTGGATCTCTTCAAATCTTTGTTCAACAACAAACTCAGCAGACATTATACATGATATCAGGTGACAGACATACAGAAAACTTTTAGAAGGATCCTCTATATTATTAAAGCATTAAAAATTTAAGGACACTTCAGACACACAATGGACTTCATAAGAACACATAAAGGCTGTATGGCTTTGGCGCTTTGGTTGAAACTATTGGTTTTGTTGACCTATGCCCGTTAACCTTTCACTTACTTCCCATAGCTTCTTTGCGACACCATCATTTACCCCCTTTGCTCCAACTTTGTACAGTGCACAGTTTGAAAAGTAACTCCCACTGAGAGGTTCAATGCCCTCCTGGAGAGCGCAGTAGAGGGTGGTCTGAGACCCTCCCTTTGGGTCCAAGAAGAAGAGCTTTGCTAAGGGCATCATGAGGAGCTGCAACCACTGGCTCATATTACGGCATAGTTCTGTGTAGATTACTCCTGCAGGGGAAAGATTTGTAAATATTTACTTTAAACTGGATTGCAGAATATTTTAAATTCAATAATCACTTTTAGCTTTTTCAGAAGCAGAAGGTGTTGGTACTGACCTGGGTGCAGGGCATAACAGGTGACATCAGTGCCTTCCAGTTGGTTAGCCAACTGCCTGGTAAAGAGCACATTACAGAGTTTGCTGTTACAGTAAGCCTGAAAGTTGTGCCAGGTGGACTGGTTGGACACTACTTCTTTTTGTGAAGCCAGCAGATGGAAGTCTATGTTCCCAAAGCGGTGTAGGTGTGCAGACACAGTGATCACTCGACTGGGGTAACACTGCCTAAGTCGCTCCAGGAGAAGGTTGGTCAGAAGGAAGTGGCCCAAGTGGTTTACCCCAAAGGCCAGGTCGAAACCATCTTCAGTATATCCAGGACCGATTACACCTGAAACACAATATGAGTCACGGTTTATTTTTAATTATCTTTTATGTTCTTATGATGCACTCAAACAAACTTAGTGGAGAGTACTAACAAGGAAGCAACCCCACCTGCATTGTTAATGAGAATGTCCAGCCTGGGTTCAGTGTTTAGAAAGGTTTCAGCAAAACGGCGAACAGATTTCAAACTTGACAGATCCAGCTCCATTAACAGCACCTGGTTATTCCCGCTCTCCTGAAGCACAAGTAGGGAACACGGCTGTTATGAAAAATATCTACAAAACTTTCCTAAAGAATCGAAAACTGTGTTCATGTTTCTATGTTCATATTACCACAATTTAAGCTTTTTTCAAGTGTTTCTGTTGTTTTTTTGTGGGAAAAAAAACTTAAAGGAATAGTACACCCAAAACATGATTAGCCTTCATTTTCTACTCACCCCCATGCTGAACAACACTCTGGAGTACTTTTTTGATATCTCAAATGCATCTTGAGATCTGGGAGGCTTCTTGCTGTTTGCTGACATTCAAATAATGGAGGTCTATGGCGCCCGAGACAGAAAGGTCCATAAAAGTCCACAAAAACGTGTCAATATTCCTCCATACTGCTCGTCCAATGTATTCCAAGTGTCCTGAGTGGGTAGCATCCAGAATTTACTCGAAACGAAGTCATTTAGAATGTTTTTAGAGCATAAACAGTAGTGTATAGGATTTCCTGAAAGCGCGCGCCTGCAGACCAAATCAGATGAAAGTGCGCATTCAGCGTCTGCTCTGCCGATAATGCAAGCGTAGAAGAAGAAATGTGCTGTTTACCTGTGCAAAGAAAGAAACAACGAAAGAAAAATGTCTGAGGACTTCAGTGTTGAGGAAGAGCATGAGTTCTTTGCCGAGCTGAATGCGCACTTTCATCTGGTTTGGTCTGCCGTGGTTTCCGTAGACTCGTGAACGCGCTTTTAGGAAATACTATACACTACTGTTTATGCTCTAAAAACATTCTAAATGACTTCGTTTCGAGTAAATTCTGGATGCTACCCACTCAGGAAACTTGGAATACATTGGACGAGCAGTATGGAGGAATATTGACAAGTTTTTTTATTGGACTTTTATGGACCTTTCTGCTTCGGCCGCTGGGGACCTCCATTATTTGAATGTCAGCAGACAGCAAGAAGCCTCCCAGATCTCCAGATGCATTTGAGATATCAAAAAAGTACTCCAGAGTGTTGTTCAGCATGGGGGTGAGTAGAAAATGAAGGCTAATCATGTTTTGGGTGTACTATTCCTTTAATATGTTGGCATTAAACAAGGGCTAACCTGTAATGGTTTTACAAGGTTTACTACAATAGCCTCTAAGTGGGATTTTATTTTTGGATTATTCTAGAGGTTCCAGCCAGGTATCCCCCATGACAACAAGGATTGTTTATCTTTAGAGCAAAATGATGTTTTGTTAGTTTGTTTCTGCATTGCTGTTTTTCTAACTGGTCACACAAGGACCATACACTTCAATGTGTAGCCCCTTAGGTACAATGAATGACAATTTCTTTTTACACAGAGACAAACAACCGAATATTTAGTTTCTCAGTTCTTGTATTTGAAAAAATGGCCATCAAAAAATAACCACAAGTCCCTTCCCCACAAAATAAAAGGGACTTTTATTGTTATTGTTTTACCTGTTAAAAGGGAGTTTTTCCTCTCCACTGTCGCTACAAGCATGCTTAGTGTGAGGGGATTGCATTCGAGTCAATGAGTCGATGCAATCAACTGGTTTTCCTTAGATAGAAAACTTTAAATCAATTTGAATGGATGATCTGGTGAACTGTAAAGTGCCTTGAGAAAAATAAAAAAAACTGAATTAAAATTGAATTGAACATAAAATGTATTCATGGATTATTTCTTCTATGTTTGTTTTGTATGTCTGCCTTTGCCTCCATGATCCCCCAGCAGAGAGAAAGATAATTATATTTGTTTTTATTGAGTTAGTGATTTCTAAATTGACAGCGCTTTCTGTGTCGAGCTGTTTGGGTCTTTGAGGACTTACCGCGCGGATGTCGAAAGCTGCAGTCTCACCCTTCTCTTTGTTGCGGCAGGCCAGTATCACTCTCGCTCCTCTTTTTGCTATTTCCAAGGCTGTACTTTTGCCAATGCCAGTGTTGCTCCCTAAGGAGTAAACCAATCCAAACATTAATAAAACTCACACTCTGATAAAACAGCCCATAACAAATTTGGTTAAACTTCTAAAGATGCCTTAACAAAGTAAGTATTAGTAAGTATTATGTTTGGTTTGTTTTATTTTTTATTTGTAGTGAATAAGAATTAAATATAATGGGACACAAGGGATATATCTTAAATATTATGGAACTGCCTTGTTTTTCGGAAAACCTTAGCCTGATAAAACAGACTAAATGTGAGATTAAATGTGTAATTTAGTCTGGCCAAGATGAATGAGACATCAGAAGATTGTTGATGAGAACAACCGTTATCTTTCTAACCATGTCTGTGCCTATTGGCCAACTGACCAATGAGCGCAACTGACTGTGACGTAGTTAGCGGGACAGAAAGTTGGTGGGGGAGTGTGAACAAACAGCCTGGCGGTAAAATGGCGAAAACATCCTTCTTAAAAATGAGCGTAGAGCCTGTTCCTGCTTAACCTGACTCCGCCAGATGGATTTGCTCCGCATATCCATCTGGAAAACTTCCGTTGAAGTAATTTTGGGAAGGGTCGAAAATACTGGTTAGCTGATTGGCCTATGTTGGTGATAGACGGGCCAAATAAACCAATCAGATCAACGAAGCATATAACATAACAGAGCGACGACGAAAACACAACCACAAGCCAGGATACTCTTGCCGAAACCAGTCGGGAGAAGTGCAAAAACATCTTTTCCTCTGAGAAAAGCCTCCAGAGCAGTGTTTTGCTCTTCTTTCAGTGAAGAAATACTCTGTAATTCCGATAAAACTTGCTCGATAGCCACGCTAACGCTAGTTTCATCGGCTGAAGCCGCCATGTTCTTTAGACTGAACTGTCGCGCTTCTCGTTGCGTCACACCTCAACCCGCCTCAAAGCCAACGCTGATTCGACGTTCGTTTGGTGAACGGCTCCAAATTTTCTTCAACGGAGAGTCTCCAGACTGATCTGCAAGTGAAACCTTGAAAGCTCGGGAGATCAGGATGGTCTCATGAGGCTAGTTCCTGCTCGCGTTTCAATGAAAACCCCAAGTCTAATCCTTCCAAAGCTGAGTCAAACAAGAACTGTTCAATAGTTGTTGCCATCTTCCTTGTTGTGATTTCTCCAGCGTCGCGCAGCTTTGTCGTCCTGCCCTCAAAACCCCGCCAGCTTTGCATCCAAAAATTCGAAACACATCTCTGCGTTGTGATTGGCCAGCCCGTTCTAGGGCCTGGGGCATTGATCGAGGCTAGACCACTCACAGTCAGAAATGATTTTGGCCGCTGGCGGGGGGGCTAGTTTAGTACGCTACAAAAATCTGACTTTTTAACCAGAAGGAACAAACTTTTGGGAACCATTATGAAGAAAAAAACTGCTTTAAAAAACTGCTGGGAAAAAGGAAGTTATGAAGTGGAAGTAGGCAGGAAAGATGAACTTAAGCAGAAGGTGTTGAGATTGTAGATTTTGGTCAAGCAACACTACAAAAATGGGGGGTTTTAGTCTAGCCAAGAAAGCTATCTTTTTGTTTTGCACCAGTTTTTAAACTTCATCCACTTTATGTAGTTCTATGTCAAGGAATCACACTTCTCTAATATACTTTTACATAACACAAATAAAATAAAAACATAATTTATGATTAAAAGTAGATCAATTGGTCAAATAACGGGAAGAAATGTGTTAAAGTGTTAGAGATAATTACACTGAACTCTAAAATGACATCTAAAAACTCTATTAAGCCTGGTCACAGTGGCTCCATCCGACTTTTAAATCTCTGATCCGGTTTTTTAATGTCAAACTGACGTATAAAGACGCTCCGATTACATCAGGTGAACAGGTTGGCTGAATTTTTTCACTTCTGTCAATGTCCAGATAGAACATTTTGAAATATAGGCAGTACAATGGGAACTATGAAGGTTTAAAGAAAAGGAAAACACAGCAATAAACGATGTGTGACAAGTTGAGACTGATCTATAAATGTTTATATTTCATAAAGAGGGGAGAGTGATAAGCTGATAAGCCCTACATAGACCCCGGGCGCCACACAGTGGCGATGAGGGAAAGGGGGATGGGTTAAATGCAGAGGTAAATTTCTCCAGTGTGAGATCAATAAAGTTCAAATATTTATTATTATTCTGTTTCTCATTTTGTTTTTTGTGAAGCTCAAAGGGAACCCTATTTTACTTTATCCGTTTTAATCATTTGACCCTTACTGATAATTACAGATTATTCTAACGCAGCATTTTGTCACCATGGTATCTAGGAACTAAAAACAAAAACAGTGGAGAAAGACATAGAGCAGAGGAGAGGGGGGAGAAAGTTAGGGAATTGACTCTTTTATCTGCTCTGATCATCAATTTGCACTAATGTGAAAAGCAAAGTTGGTGAAAATTTGAGTCAAAATTTGTATTATTCATCAATTATCATGTCTTACTACATTGTACATTGTTCAGGAGGTTAACTCGAACAAGCAGCCTTTTGGTTTCTGCCCTTTTAAAGAAAAACTCAGCGATTGTTAACCCTGGTCCTCAGGTGACCTGCACGTTTGGCTGCCACATACCTGGCTTACATAACACAAGGATTAACAGATTTCTTCAGTACTTCATGGTTGCTAAGAATCTCATGCAATCATTTGAATGTTCTGCAACAGAGAGATATTTAAATCATGCAGGACAGATATACTTGGGGAGCAGGTTTGAGAACTACTGGAATAACAGGACTGGCTGGATTAGGATTAGGTTTATCAGACAAATTATTATATTATATTATGTTCCTTTCTGTTCTGAAGAGAAAAGTTCAGATCGTCCTCTCTGATGATACAGATTGTTTACAAGTTGACTCATTTCCAGAGGAAGTAGAAATGTCTTGAAAGTTTAAAATGTGTTGCAGGAACAAAGCAAAATGTTACAGAAAGACTGAAATTCTGAGTTGTGATTTAGTTAATATACGGTATGCATATCTGTGATATTTTAGGAAAAAAATGCAGACCTAGCGGTCTTCAAACATTCAAAAAGCACTGGAGAACACCTCCAGACTCCCTGTTTACTGTCTGTTCACAATTAATGTGTTAAATAGGGAGATTTTATGAAGTTCCTAGTTTATTGATAGGAAAAAAAATCTGGTTATAGTTTTAACTTTTAACAGCTATGCTGTAGAACCTACAATCTATTTCCAAAAAAGTAAAAAAAAAAAAAAAAAAAACAATCCACTGGACTTTGTTTCCAAGTTTGAAGACATTTCGCTTCCCACCCAGGAAGCTTTTTCAATTCAAAATATCAGGAATAGTTATGAGTTCGAGGCTTTAAACAGTAGTCCAGCAAAGCCTTGTTTTTGCTTAGACAACATACTAATTTGTTAGCCTGTAATGCCCCATACCTGTCTATGTCTCTAAAAGGCAGCTCCAGACGAGAACACTTATCTTCCAATTGTCCCATATTTATGCTGCGTGCTACCATTTTCCTAAAGTCCATATTTTACTGTGTTCTTCTCAAGTACATACTTGGCGAGGACACGAGTCTGGACTTGCGTTCTTGTGAATTGAGAAACGGCCCAAGACTCCTCCTTACGAGGCCTACAAATGCTTCCTTCCTTTTGCCCGATTTTAAAGGATGGGTCCGGTGTATCTTATCTATCCTTGGATATCCCAGGATTCATCGTGAATCTAACCAAGCCGGCTGCTACGTCATCAGAGGAAAAAGGCACTTGGTGCTGAACAGTGATGAATATTGGAAGTTTATAATATAATACAAGTATGTGAATAGCTCTGTCTGAAATTAATGAAAGTAGTTGTTTCAATTGTTATTAAGTCAGATATGTGGCGGTAATGTTTGATTTATCTAAAGGTTTTTATCTGTTACTGTGTAAATGAGTTTGGCTGTAATTTAATGACAGATTCTAATATATTTGCAGTGTGGGGACTATAAATCTGATAGGATTTTTTATTTTTTAATTGCTATTTTGCTAAATTTACTCAACTAAGTATTTTTTGTTGTTGAATATAAGAGATTTTGCAGATATATTTTTATACATACATTGTTTAGATTTATTTATACTTTCTACCCCTTTTATAGAATAGAATATTCCTTTATTCTCCCACAATGGGGAAATTCTGGTGTTTACAGCAGAAAAAATATAGAAAAAATTTGTCACACAAATGTGGACCTTAGAAAAATGTATAAGAATAACATAATAGTGAAGAGTTAAAATATAAACAATAAAATACTGTATTGCAAAGTGTTTTAAACATAAAAAAACTGTGCAGCTTGAGAATAAATAACCATTTTTGTGGAGTTATGCATGGACATCTTTACAGTAATGGATATTTGAAAATAGCAGCAACATCAGAGATGTGCAAAGTGACAGCAGCATGTTATTTAACTGACTAAGGTTTTTATCACTACATTTGCTTTTATTTTTTCCTGCTCCCGGTGGTTTTCACCTTTAATCCACTCTGTATTCTCATGAGTTTAGTCTTTGTTCACTTTACAATAACAAAAATGAAAAAAAAAAATTAAAAAGAAACACTTTTGAAAGGTATTCATTCTTTTCCTGCTTTGTGTGTCAACTGTCACGTTTGCTAAGCGACAGCGCGTACGGCGGTAAAAGCCTGTGTGAATCCACAGCCAAATTGTTCCGGTCTCCTTATTTTCCCGGACTTCGGGGGACGCAGACGCAAAAATCGAACGCACCCACAGAGGAACGCAAACCGACGTAACATCCGTCATCAAAACAACCAAAACCACAGAGGTAAAATAAGAAAAAAAGTGAACGGAGATGAACTTGTGTAATTTGGAAGATTAAAACCTATAAGTTTAAACAAACCTAATAACAGAGTCCGTTTACCTGTTACAATGACAGTTTTCCCCTTCAGGCAAACGGAGCTTAAGCACCTCGCCCCTTTAAGCACACCGTAGAAAAGCAGAACATACACACAAACGACTACAGATGCCAAGTAAAGGAAAAGACTCATTTTTCCACTTTTAAGTCTCTAATCGTCTCCTTTTCTCAAATGTGCCGTCCTGCCTCTTCTTCTTCCCTGTTTTTTAATGACAGCTCACATCCAGCTTGTTGCTTTACTGCCATCTTCTGGATTCCATTTTGATGTCTCATTTCTTAAATGGCTCTATGCACAACTCCACTACCTACTGAAATCAAGGCAGCTCTTTGTTTCCTGTCTTTCATTACTGGATCAACTAATTATCTTATTATCTTATCATCTTATATCAGAGATCTGATTGTTCCTTATGTTCCTAATAGAGGACTTCGCTTTCAATCTCAAAAAAAAAAAAAAAAAAAAAAAAACTGTAAAAAAGAGAGATCATATCTCGCCTATCCTGGCTTCTCTTCATTGGCTTCCTGTTAAATCCAGAATATAATTTAAAATCCTTCTTCTCACATATAAAGCCTTAAATGGCCAAGCTCCATCTGATATCAGAGATCTGATTGTTCCTTATGTTCCTAACAGAGCACTTTGCTCTCAATCTGCAGGTTTACTAGTTGTTCCTAGAATTTCTAAAAGTAGAATGGGAGGAAGATCTTTTAGTTATCAGGCTCCTCTCCTGTGGAACCAACTACCAGTTTTAGTCCGTGAGGCAGACACCCTGTCTACTTTTAAGGCTAGGCTTAAAACTTTCCTTTTTGATAAAGCTTCTAGTTAGAGTGGTTCAGGTTATCCTGAGCTATCTCTATAGTTCTGCTGCTATAGGCTTAGACTGCTGGAGGACATAGGGACCCCTTTTTCATCATTCTGCTTCATTCTATCTTTATTCTCTCACTCTGCAGAATCTGATAGTCCAATCTTTAATGTTTTGTTCTATATATATATATATATATATATATATATATATATATATGTGTGTATATATATATATATGTGTGTGTATATATATATATGTGTGTGTATATATATATATGTGTGTGTGTATATATATATATATGTGTGTGTGTATATATATATATGTGTATATATATATGTGTGTGTGTATATATATATATATGTGTGTATATATATATATATATGTATATATATATATATATGTATATATACATATATATACATATATATACATATATATATATGTATACACACATCTTCCTCACTCATCGCAGGTGGTCTTCCCCTCTTTTTCCTTGTGACTGCAACATCAGGAAAAACAAAAAATACCAGGGGCTCAGGGAAACCAGCTATATATATATATATATATACACCTACATATTTATGAACAGATCTTCCTTTCATCAAGCAAGATCATGTGTCACTGCTAATTTGATGTAGATTTGTTTTTATTCTGTGTGAACCATGCACATATATATTTGAAGAATCGCGCTAATACAAATAATAATTTTAAATTCCTCAAAAACTTCTTATTCTACTTAGGTTCTATTTTAAAGACCCAATTATTTAATCTAGGATTCTAGGAGATCAGGGGCTTAGTCCTGAAGGTGAAGATGAGAGAGTAGACTTTCTGGTAAATCCTGTTCTAAAGTAAAATATGACAGATTACTGGATTACAGAAATTTCTAGTATGCTACATGCTATCACACATGCGTTTATTCCTCTCTTTATCAACAACAAACTCTGTGGATTTGGGGATGTTTAATCAGTATTTGCCAAAGTTATGAGGGGGGAATCAAATATTTTAGCCATCTGATATGATCCGTTCCCCCATAACAATGGAAAAAAATAAACAAATCCTGTGAATTTTAAAACTGTCATTATTTTTCTATATTATGTTTGAAACATTTATTATTTTATATTTTGAAATCCAAAATAGTTAAAATAAATCTGACTGTTGGTTTGATGATCTTTCACTTCTCAATTCAAAATGTCTGCAGTAGCATTGCACCAGACATTTGGTTTGAACTTTTTTGGGAATATTTGTAAATTGTTAGATAAACATTTGAATAAAGATCATCAAAGGGGGGCCAATTATATCAGGTGGCTAAAATATATGATTCCCCTCTCACCACTCTGGCAAATAATGATTAAATGTCACCAAATCCACAGAGTTTGTTGTTGATGAAGAGAGGAATAAACACAGTTAAAGACTTGCAGGTGAATTAATTAATTTTTCCCATGTTATGGAGGAGGAACGGATTATTTCAGGCAGGTGAAATATTCATTCACTCCTCCTCCCATATCTTTGGGAAATAAAGAGCAACTGTTGGCAAATTCTCAAAAATCATTATGTGTGATATCATATCGTATATTAGGAATGTCCTTAATCCAGTAATTTTAGACTTGGACAGATTTATTGTCATTTTGTTTACAGTTTAAAACAAAAAGAAATTTGCTTTAGAACAGCTTTCTGGACAATTTCATTTTTTTAAAAGTGCAGCATTGCAAAATAGTAAAACAATATATAAAAACAGTAATATAAACATATGACTGTAAATTTACAGTTCTAACAAGTAATCTATAACATTTTACATTTACTTGAAAGTCTACACTCATCTTTTCAGTAAGTCTTAGTTTTATGTCCTGCAATCAGTCAGTTTCCATCCTCTTATATCACCAATGAAAAATGATAAATACTCACTATTAGTGACACAGTTTTGTAACACAGTTTTGTGTTTGGTGACCGACTTTTATTTGTGTCAGACTGAAGGGACAAAAGTTGGAAAAAGACAGATTCTCTTGGCATTTAAAATAACAATACAAAACAGCTTAAAAAGGACCTCGTTTATTTATCTATTTTACAAGTTTGTAAAGAACAGCTGCTGATTAAACTGGATGTTAAACTGTGACATGATTATAGGAGTTGTTTTTAGGGAGAAATCAATCAGCAGCGCAGTGAAAATGGTCCCATCCTCCATGTCTGCCTCTTTGGCTTTAATGCGCGCCTCCGACACAAAGGAACAGAATTCCATACAACACCGGGGCAAAGAATGCCTGGTCGGTCAGTCAGAGCTTCACATCCGGGGCTGTAGCCCCAGTAGCCGTCCCCTAGATCCGCCACTGTTTAATCCATATCTAACTCTCATCACATTTAATCTTATCGATAATTATTCTCTCTACATTAAAGAACACCATACTGATTAGTTCTTTTATTTTACATGTTTTCCTCATTCCATAGCATACTTTCACAATGGAATTCCTTGTAAAACGTTATTTTCTGGACCCACTTTGATAAAGTATAGATAATCATTTTTGCTCAGGGCTATTAATAGGGCTTCTAACTAATACCCTCTTTATCCACTTGCTTTAATGGAATGGTAAGGCGAAGGGAATGGAACTCAAAACTGCACTATTACATCCCAAAATTAAGGCGCCTGTATTTGTTAAATTTAGCATATAAGATTTTATTAAGAGGTTTAGTTGAAGAAAGCAAATTTGACAGAGAATTGGTGCTTTTGTCTGCACAACTCTGGGAGGAAAAAAGAGGAGGAATGGAAGCTAAATCCAGGGTCACAGCGCTGAGATTAAGATGCAGATTTTGAAACAGATTTCCAGCATTTTTTAAATCCCCAGCCTAAAGAGTGAGAAGCACTATTTGCAGCAATGAAAAGCCAGAGAAGATGGATGGATCAAGTACATTTCTAGATGACCATTTAAGGAGTCGATTATTTTGAATCTGATATTTATTTGAACAAAATAGAAATTCTCACCTCTTTAACGTCTTCCTTCTATTAAGGCACAGACTTTATATTATTATTTTATGTCAGCTTCTATATTTTTCTTCTTTTTATCTACCTTGGATAAAATTGTGCTACAAGAGGCATGCCATTAACCTTTTAAGAATGAATAAGTTGATCTTCTAATAATTATATGATTTTTATGGAAATGATTAATTAATTTCCTCAACTATTCAGATTGTGGGTCAGCAGATCAGTTCTCTCTGTTGATCTTTCTCTGTTGCCAGCACACAGATTAAGACTCTTTTTAACAATTGTTCACAGAAAAATAGCAGTAAGCACAGCGCACAATTTTTTTTATCCTGTATTTAATAACATCATAACACCATAATACAAGAAAGCATTTCTCTGGGCCAGTCTCTGCACGATCGCCATCTAGTGGAGCAGAAAAGTATCATAGAAAAAATTTAAGCCAGGGAAAATCTGCAAACTGGAGCAGAAAATTCTGCATTGCTAACCCAGCCCAGATCTCCCTCCTTAGATCTCTAGATCTCCTCTTAAATGAAAGTGATCCCTGAATGGTGGTAGGGGACAGAATAAAGAAGAGAGAAGAAGTGTGACGGATAATGGATGGATGTATGAGAACCACTGACCCTTTTATTTCAATACTATTTTCACGACTCCTGCCTCCTTTAAACTCCTTGAAACTTTACCTAAAATTAATGGATTATGCTTGAAAATCATCTTGCATTGATGTTTAAATTCATGCAAAAATAGGCCCAAACTGGAACTTAATGTGGATAGAAGTGAATATATATCTTAAGGTGATGATAGTTCTGTTTATAATATAATTTTCTTTATTTTATGTCATATTTAAATGAGACACATTACACTCTGCATGTGATAAACCTATACAACGTGAGTTTCTCTTACTGAAATGAATAATGGCTATTTTCACGATATTCTTATCTTTTTTTATTTGTACCTCTATGTCACACAGGAACACTACTCCACACTTTGTAGACACACACTTTTTAAAAGGGATGAGTCGTAAACTGAGTTGAAGAAAGGTTGGAACACATCCCAGTTATAAAACTGCAGTAGAAAATATTTTTTTTTAAAGTTTCACTGACAAATACTGACAAGACCAAACATAAAAAAAAACACATGGGAGTGGCCATTGTAAGGCCTTATTTTGCAATATTTGTTTTAAAACCCATCTTTGCAAAACAATATATACTTAAAGTTTGAAAATTCCCATATATATTAAACATTGTCTAGGTCTAAGAATGTTTATTTCTCACACTAAAAATCAAGCTGTACTGACTTATTTATCTTTTTATAAGTTTTAGAACCTGAAAGGAGATTAAGTCAACCTCTTATAAACACATTCCTACTGGCGACAGCAGCTTAGTCACCAGGACCAGACCATCAGGTTTGACTCGTCTCCTGTTAGTTAAAAAGAGGAGCGCAGAAAAGGTGTGACTTT